TAAATTTAGTGGTAAAAGTAAAAAGGAAGTAAGTTCGATGACTCCGTGGCGCAGTTGCCAAGGTATTGGCTCCGGCGTCGGGGATTGTAGGCTCGATTCCCACACGAGACAACTATTTGTGTGACCCATAGATAGCTGTTTCGCATCTGGGTGTTTGTCCGCGTGAAATTTATGTTTTACGCACAGGATAATGTTATCCTAAAGTAAGGGCAAAAAAAAGGTAAACTGTAAAAAAAATATTTTATAATTTCGACATAAATTATATCACACCTTACCGTATTTAGAGAGCGTATTTAATCTGTTGATTTATAAATTTCCTATATCTCTTAATACATTAAAACGTCCTTACAACACAGGATAATATTATCCTAAAGTAAGGGCAAAAAACGGTAAACTGTAAAAAAATAATTTTATAGGTATGACAAATTATAATACCGTATAATTAATTACACCTTATCGTATTTAGATTGTTATTTTATAAATTTCCTATATTTATTAATACATAATACATTAAATTTATTATTTACAGCTTGTTTACACAGAAAATAATATAATTTAATTCAATACGTTTACAAAAAACGCTACTGTTGATTGAGGGGCAGTCCTATCGAAGATACGTTATTAATCCAACTAATTAGGACTCAGCCGCGATTCGAGACGATTTCTAAAATAACAATAGGCAATTTAATGATAAAGGTTAGTATGGACGCCAAGCAATCAATGGGCGCAAATCGGATATCAAAAAAATGGGTAACCGATTTCATGACTTTTATACTGTTATACTATTAATTAAACTTTATTTAAAAAAAATTGCTTCACTATGTTTGTGTCCACAAAACTCAAACTAACCGGTAAACGTGCTAACAAAGTTACTATCGTTTTAGATATTTTTTAATTGGATATATATCTATACAGTAAATACTAATAATCATCATCAGCCGCAAGACGTCCACCGTTGAACATAGGTCTCCCCCTTAGAACGCCACTTTGCCATTTGCATCCACCGGTTTTTTTTTTTTTTTTTTTTTATGTGAGGAAGTGGCAAACGAGTTGGCGGTTCACCTGATGTTAAGTGATAACCGCCTGCCCATGGACATTTGCAACACTTGTAGGGTTGCAGATGCGTTGCCACCTCTTAATAATGGACCATCGCGTAAGGTTACGTTGCTCGATTAGGCGGTTCACTTGATGTTAACTGGTAATTGCCGCCCATAGACATTTGCAACACCCGTAGGGTTGCAAATGCGCTGCCACCTTTAAATAAAGTGGGCCCCAGCTACCTCACTCACCAGACGAAACGCAGAAGTGCAACACTTCTACTTTACGCCGGTCTTCTGTGAGGTCGTGGTACTAACCCGGACGGACTTGCCCATTCGTGCAACAGCGAACACTGTTGCGTGGCCCTACCACCGTTCACCGTTCAGCGGTTGCCCGCGACTCTTATGATGTCGTCGGTGCGCCTCCCAACGCTACGTCCTCCGGTTCGGGTCGCCACTCGAGAACCTTGACTCCCCATCGGTCATCAGTTCTTCTAGCGATGTGGCTTGCCCACTGCCACTTCGACTTGCAGATCCGGAGAGCTATGCCTAATAACACTAATAATAATACGTCGAAAAAAAATTACGTACATATATGCATACAATACGTAGCGTGTGGTTATTTGTGTTTATTTCCATGCAGAATGTTTTACTAAGTTTTTGTGCAAACAAAATGAACACGAGGACTTCGAATACAGAGGTATTCGAAGTCCAACGCATAATGTGTAGAGAAGTTGTTAAAGAACATCTTGCTATTGATTGCTGTGTTAGTTGCATCTGATCTCTCGTTAATTTAATGTAATATTTTATGTATGTATGTTATATTTGACAAGAAATTGAGTATCAAATGGACATTGATGGATCAGTATACTCGAGCAACGCTAGTTCAAAAACCGTTGCAGGCACCAACGAAATTGTTAGTCACAATTTTAAATGCTGACTTATCACGTGCTCAGCGCCAAGGAAAACATCGCAAGGAAACCTGCATATTTTCTTACGAAGACCTGCACACTTCTTACTAAATATGTGGAGTCTGCCAATCCGCAGTGGGGTCGCGTGGTGAACTGCCCTAAGCCTTTGCCCTGCAGTGGGACATATATAGACTGTAACATTACTTTTTCTTTAATATGGACCTTACTTTACTTTTACTTTACTATGGACCTTTTTATCTCTCGAATTCTGATAAATAATAGTTGTGGCTGTCGATCCGTTGGCAAGTCAAAAATCACTCGTGTATAAATTTTCTAATAGCGAAACTGTTTTATCACTAGTTAATCAAACCTCGTTATAACTTTTAACTCCTTTTTACCCAGAAGCCTACACTCACGGCATATATACTCGATTATGTCAGAAGATTGTAATATTTAAATGAATGTTATATAAATCATATTTATAACAGAGATACCCATAATCTTTATAACTAAATAATCCGTTTAAAACACGACTTCAAGATTTTGCGTAAGTACCTGTTACTAATTTAATACGTTTATGTCATAACCATAATTATAAATCTTTGGCATACTGTTTCTTATCATCGAGACAGCCCAAATAAACATGCAATGAGATTAAATCCATACTTTAAACTTAAAGCAAAAAATCTGTGGATACGGAAAAGAAAGACATAATAGATATTGGAAACGAAGAATTATAATCTTAAACAAAAAAACCGACTTCAAACCGAAAACTAAAAAACATTGTTAATACCTATAACATTTGAGGATTGTCCTCGATTTCTCTGGGATGCCATCATCAGATCTGGGTTTCCTTATCATGGTTCCAACCTTGGGATATCTCCTTTCCTTCAAAAAAAGAATCATCAAAATCGGTTCAAAAACGACGCAGTTATCCGTGAACTCACATAAAAAAAATAAAAATGTATACGGTCGGATTGAGAAACCTTCTTTTTTGAAGTAGGTTAAAAATCCGCGCATAACGACGCGTACTACCGTGTCGTGCTCTGTTATATAAACTGCTAATATGTAACATCACTAAAGCGACGCCTTTCATTTTTGGTTAGCCGAAAACAATAGGGCTCCCAAGCTCCCAAGCGATGTGGGTAATATGGAGGGTAACGAAAATACATTTCAATAGCCAAAAGCCAAATTGGTTGCGGGCTTACGAAATTAACGCGTCCGCGCGGCCGTAATTTATTTGTATGAATTCTCCCAGGCCGTGTGTGATCGCGCTGATGTGCTCTTATTAAGTTTGCATGGCCACTATCACGCGGCGGCCAGTTTTTTTTAATTGAAATACGAGCAAAAGTAAAATCCCATACATATTGTTCAACTCTAAAGGCGTACGCTGACCAGGACCTGCGTATTTCAAACATTAAAACAATTCTGTTGTTACAAAGTCAAATTTAATAATTTCTTTGCTCAAATTCAGCGTGTTCAACAAGAGCTAGATTCTGTACGAACTAATTAATAATTCTGAAATCTGAAGTAATAATTAACTTTTAGATAGATTTAATGTTGTAAATTATTGTATAAATAAATTCAAAACCAATAAGAAAAGTCAAATAAAGTTTCAACGTTTATTAATGGCAAGGAATTGTACATTGTGTTTTTTTTTTCACTAGATATTAAATTAACTAAATGAAACTACGGAAAAATGTTACATTAATATATCACACCTGAATAATGAGCAAAGTGCAAAAGCCCCCTCAGGCTTGTTCTTCAACATTATTTTTATAAAAGAAAAGACATTAGCACAAAATCAACAGGAACCAGGGGAGATACAATTGAAACAATACAATTTAAATATTTCTTACATATGAAGAAAACACCGTAATGCGTGTACCTTCACCGATAATCACGTTATCTAGCAGTAATAATAACAAAGCGCTGAGCCACCGCAATTTTGACGTCATAAATCCGTTACGTCAATGTCGTTCAATCTCTTAATGCGGTAATAAAAAAAATGCATTAAAATAAATCAAGCCGTTCGCGAAATTTCCGACACGGAAATAATGTTTACGTAATACGAAACTCGAAAGTCCCCAAATTAAACATACTAATTTCTAAGGAGTTAGTAACAAATAATATTCCTCCTTCGCCTAACAATAGCCGGTACAAGCGCCTTAGTGCTGCCGAACTGAAATAAGTCCCCAGCCATTCATGAGTCATGCGCGAATTTCAATAATAACACGGCGTTACGTTTTTTGGCGCGTCGTTGAACCCGGAACCTCTGTGCGTCATATGCAACTATGTATTTCACGCTAACCCTATGCTAAAGGCAAAATTGAAGTCAACATTAAAGACGAAGACGATGTTATACTTCTTTACAATTTATACTTTCGGAACGTATTTACTTAAGAAAATCAGATGCACTAATTCTTGATCCATCATTATCATTATTCTGAAATGCTAACCAATTCTGTTCACCTGTTGAACATAGCACAGACTGCCACGAAGCCTCCGGTTTGTACCAAAATTTATATGCGAATTTTATCACACGCACCATTTATACGCAACGTTAACCATGAGAATTCGTTTATGTTATTGTTATAATGATCCGATTGAAGAACGAGGACGATGAAACGTTTTCACCAGCGAATGTGATTGGAAATCAAAGGTGTACCGATCGACGAGGCGCTGATGCCTCTGTGTACACCCCTCATTATTTATGCAACGGGGACTTATACTGGTCACGCGATCATAGCGAACAATGCAAGGATAACAGCCAATGCCCATCACCGCGGCCTAGACTCCTTTCCACATTAATTACCCCTCACGTCGCCAACGTGTATTTCTCCGAAGACAATAGTTTAACCCAATTGGCTCACATTAACTGCGGCCGCGCCATTCGCTATTATCACTTTCGCGTCCTTGCCGCCGGCCCGCTATCTATCATGTGATCTATTGTACACAGTCGACATCGCAGCTTAGATTAAAACGATAATTAATGCTGATTCCATACGACCTAGTTTCGGGCGGGCGGCCCGATAAAGTTAATTTACAGTTATAGTTGTAAATCTCGTTGCAAAATAAATGGCCGCCGCGCGCCTGCCTGACCATAGACAACGCGCGGGCGACTCCCACACAACCTCGATACGTCACCGCGCCTTCCCGCCCGCGTGTGTGCGCCGTGAATGAGCCCCTTCGGCGGCGTCACGTGCATGAGCGTACAACCCGGCCCGTGCGGTGTCACCTCCCCCGAAGCGTTTCCCTCCGCATCGAGGGCGCCGTAACTCCGCCGGGTTACACTCATGTGGGGTGAGACGAGACGACACGTGTGCGTGACCCATGCAAGAGCGAGAGGGTGCGTGCAGTTTCGACTGAATGAACGGAGCGAAGTTTGACAAGTGTACACACGACCGCGAAAGGGTTGAGCCGGCGTGCTTTCGTTTTCATCACGCATATGGGGCGATGCGGATCGATCGTGAACTTGTGCGGGCGGGCTTTGCATAGCGGCTCGATGGTCGGCCGAATTAGGTTGCATTAGAAACTTCTCGAACGCGGCAACCGTTTAACTTGTGAAACCCAAGGAAAAAAGTGTCGTATCGAATGCGAACGTATCGCAACTGCCGGCCGGTGGATGTGTTTCGCAAATCATTGTTTATGGTCGGATAGTTCTGTGAAGGCGTCTCTCGGTCTAGAATTAGAAAGCGTCAAGCCAGTTGTCGGCGGGCACGACTAATTGACCGCAAACTTTACCAGAAATTGTACATAATACCTAAGTGAAAAGATGTAAAAATCACCCGTCGAGCTGTGTTTGTTTTTTGCAGCTTGTCTCTTCGTCACATCCAGTCTGTGCAGAGTATTTTTAAAAATAAACTCGTAATATGCATTGAAATCTAGACCAAACTCGAAAATTGTATTTCCCTTTTTTAGATGCAATTACATTGCTGCCGATTTTTACACCTAAAAAGTTCGAACTTACATCACTAACTTCTATCATTTTTACTCATTTTTTCCCACCTTTTAGTATAAATCAAAATTATTCATATATAGTGTCTGCGGAATTATTTGAGCATAATAGAAACAGTCAAAAGATCTTGGAAAACTCACCATAGTCCATTAATCACTAAAGTATAGCGGTAAAATATTCCTTGGTCAACGTGCAGAAATTCCACGACAACGCCAACACCACATCTAAAGTTTGTAGTGTACTAAAAGCTATACTTAAAATTATGTCACATCTCTTACTTATGGGCTGAAATCACATATTATTTTTGTGCAATTTCCACGCAACGCGAATACGGGCTCAGTGATTGGTGGTAATTATGCAAATAGTCAAGTATTGCCCGACACTAACGAGTACTTTAGCGATTGACGCGAATTAGCCGTTAGCTTCATATCCGGCGATACTTGAACGCCGAAAAGCCACGTGAACAGCATAATGGTCCGATAATAAAAATTTCACATACCTACTTCTTAATACTAAAAAATATCAGCTAACTTACTCGGTTCCCCATCGAATTATATTTAATTCTGACTTAAGATCTAAACGAGAAATCAAGTTGATAATTCTAACTTTATTCTTTATATGAAACAGGAAACAATGAGTCTTATCATATTATTCCAGTGTACAAGAACTAAGGTAGTGTGATTCATTACTAGCATGGAAACCTATTGGTCAGGGGTTATGCTGTCGAAACTACAAAGTTCAACATCACCTATTGCACTTCCCATTTCTAGTTCACCGACGAGCAACTCCGTAACTAGTCCTTTATACCAAAATGATTGTTAAGTATTTTATCAGATCCAAAGAAATTGGAATTTCTTATACACGTTGAATTAATGCCAAATATATTTTGTAAATCAACTTTTATTTGCGAATTATATTAAAAAAATAATTCAATAGGACATTTTTGACGCATGACGCCATCTATCGACGAAAAGTATAATAAATTTTAATAGGTAACCTAAACCTGATATTGGATACGTTAAAAAACTACCGATGCCCTGTCTTAATGTTGTGTATTGTAAATCGAATACATTCAACTATTGCGCATTACGTCTGCAGCTTGAAGGTTCAAAGCTAATTCAGACTCAGTTTTATGGATCAATTAAATTTTATCATTAACGTAGTATGGAAGTAAATGTCACTGCGGCCATTCTAGGGCAGTGATTTTATCGCTGCCTTTACGTGGTTCGATTTTGAGTTATGTTTATGTAATCTCGTATAAAGAACATCGTTTTAGTTAAGCGTTTTGACAAGAAAAAAATAGGAGGAATAATGACGTTCATGGGACACGGCCTACATTTGACAAGAACGTAATTATTTCTCGGGATTCAATAATTCTTCTGATATCCCACGACAACTGGTTCAAATTCGATATGGAATTAATGTAAAAGAATTTAATGTTAAAAATCGCTTTGTAGAGACTCGTTTTCTTTATTTCGGCGTAATAAGACCTTTTTAATCGCTAAACTAATAAATATTACTATGTACAATTCTTCTGATTGTGAATAAAGAATTCACAGTCAGCTCTGTACCGAGGAGGTCTTTGCTCAGCAGTGGGACATGTATAGGCTGATACTTTACCTTAATTTATACTAACTTAGTCTTTCAATTTGCGTTATAAACAAAGCTTTTAGAATCTGTACATACTCATAGGAGTAGTGTAGGAGAGCTATTACAAACATGATAATATTTTAAAGATTTAAACAGTTTTTAGCTCTTTAGCACCTCGCTGTACAACACTTTTGAAATGAAAGTCTCATCTGATCTAAGACCATCCCAACCCTTTGCTCCAATTAGTTTCACTTTTTTTTAATACTTACGTATTGGGCTTGTATCAAATTTGTGCTATCTTTGCCTCGGTACCTCCACGATGTGCAATAATATATTAGCCAAAAATATCTCTGTCTACATCGTCTACTTTAAAAATTCGAATATTTTGTGTCCAAAGACCTATTGAAATTATTAATAAAATTGAAAAGAATCTGTAGCATTAGCACTCGGGTAAAGTGCTGGTGTCACTAATCATCTATTTTTAAATAACAGATAGTGTTGGATGCATTTGTATGCACGTCATTTCATTATTCTTTTAAAAAATCGAAAACATCACGGAAAATAATCAGAGTAAATATTAATTTTTAAAGCAACCAGTTTGCTCCATTGACTTTACAAGATACTGATAGCGCCATCTTGTAACGAGTAGACGCAATTCGTGTACACTAAATCCAAGGTTTTGCAGCTCGGTCGGCGCCTTTCACTATATGTACTTCAATCAGTACCGTTACAATTCGTACCTAAATAATGCAGTATTAGGAACAACGTGATCTATTACATGTAAACATTGTTTATTACGGACATATTTATGTTACTGAAAATTTTGACATTATTTCTGAGCAAACTCTTAAAATTGGAGGAGAACAATATAAGTACTAACATGGAGCCTCAGTATCATAAGATTTATAATATTTGGATTTTATTATCTATTAAATTTTAACCTTTATCAATGAAATTAATTGGGTATAACATTTTTTGTTCGTTCTCTTTAATTGTTGGTTAAACGCTCACTGCATTCTTTTAGCGCGTCCCTTAGTGTTGATTTCGGATTGTTTTAAGTTTAACATTTGACTTTCTGACCCGATGTGGATGTCAATAGTGCCCTGCTCGCTTGCCAGCTATTCAAATAAAAAAAAAGATTACATTCATCCTTTTTCTGCAGTGTTCGGAATCGATTCACCGTTGGGCCTCTTCCCGCCCGGAATGGAGCACAAGATGTACCCGCTGATGGACGTGGAACATCGTGCGCCTCCGCTCGACGCTCAGCTGTTCACCAACGTCAAGAAGAAATGTGAGTTTGTTTTTTTTTTTTTTAATAATGTTATTGAATAGGCCGTTAAAATATTAAAAAAAAAGAACTAACGCTTTGACAGTGCCACTTTTTTCATTTCGTATTATAACCTGAGTTTCATAGCAGTCGGTTAATTTGTAAAAAAACGAAAACGGGACAAATAAGGTCAGTAACTTCAAAACTGTAGTCAAAATGAAGTAAGGAATGTCATTCTAGAGTCGATTTGGATTTAGTTGTGAGCATTAAAAACGTTAGAGATAAAAGAAATCGGTGAAATGGAAAAGATCTTTGCTTTATTTCATACATCTAAGGATAGGCACTCGCTGATTCTCACTGGGATATAAAAAACTTCTAAAGTTTTTATTAGAAATAGTATACCAGACGCATATTAAATGATTACAACAAATTCATTTGCTATGTCGTTTATAAATATAGTATTAATATATTTTATTAGGTATATTTTGATGCTTTTCAAAGACTTCTTATCACTGACATCTGTTAATGAGGCAATTAATTTGACAAAACAACTTCAGCAGCAAGCATTGAATAATAGACAAACATAACACGTTCATATGTGGCCGTAAATGTTTCATTTACCGCTGAAACGGTTTAAATAGCTAAGACCCGTGAACGGTAAACAATTGTGGTATTAGATGCTAGCTGTAGATGCTAACATTGTCTCCCGTTGAATGTTTATTAAGGAGATCTGATAGTTTATCTCATAGGGGAACAGGCGGCGTTTCTAACGTATGCTTTGAATGCCCCCGCGCGCTTCGCCTTGATTGTAGGGTTGCCATTATTATTTAAAAATTCAAAGTGTTTTTTCTTTATTTTGTGAAGAATTCCTGTTCATGTTACTTTATTTCTGAAGGAATCTAGTCTTGGATGTATAAGAGTTCTAACGATTTTACCTTGATCCTAATATTTTAACTATTACTGAACGTGAATATTAACAACTATTATAACGACAAGCAGCACTAGTGGTTATATAAACGTCTGGGAACGCGGCCGAAATCCAAGTGACCGCTGCTCCATGCGACCATGTGTCCGTTAGCTCAAGTAGATAAAGTCATATCCGGTATACAGTGTTGCCAGCGCCAACATTCGACCATCCTGCATCACGCCTTCGTCCTCGAATGGCGTTGTAGTCTGGTACAAGTAACCTTCATAAAATTAACACCTTACCCTGTGGCTTATCTCTCTCAACTGGGATGCATATCGCCACGTTCAAAACACCCTGTGGCTTATTCCTCACAACTGGGATGCATATCGCCACGTTCAGAACACCTTACCCTGTGGCTTATCCCTCACAACTGGGATGCATATCGCCACGTTCAGAACACCTTACCCCCCAGTGGTGGTGGATGTTCACAATGGATATCCATCACCAGTTCATGCCTAAATCTTCCAACTACTAAAATGCTCAGTAGTTTAACCGGGTAAACCAGTTGTGTATCGCTATTTTACATTCTCAAATATGAAAAGTAATTAATTAACTGGAAGGTACTCACCAAAACTTTTGTTACATTTAACTAAAAGATTTTATCACCATTACGTATAGTAAGTATAAAATACACTATTTTATCTACGAAGATAGGTACCCAAGGAAAAAATATGTCGCAGATTATTTGAACAGCCAAACGCGAGTTTTCGGATTGAATCCCACTTCTGATATAAGAGTTCTAACGATTTTACCTTGATCCTAATATTTTAACTATTACTGAACGTGAATATTAACAACTTTTATAACGACAAGCAGCACTAGTGGTTATAGATGCATTAAAAATTTAAATATTGTATCAAAGTCTGAGTCATCGTGTTATGAACGACAACTTCTGTTAATTATGAGTATATAATAACTACATTTTTATATAACATTAGAGTACTATTAATGGTACCATTATTTTTCTTTTTGTAAATTGTGCCACTAATCAATCTGCATTGTACACTAAATGTAAAACTACACATAAAATGTGTGTGTAATGTAAATTTGTTCGATTTAAAATTCCTTGGCATTAGATAGTCTGGTATTAATCTGAGTTAAATCTAGCGCGTACGGTGTAATTGTGTCTATTATACTAGCTGAACTGTTCAGGAAATAAAATCCAGATATTTTTTTACTTAACATTGTCAATCGAATTAAACCGATTAGATTTGGCAGCTGGAGTTAAAATGACGTAAGTATTATGGAGATAATGTCAAATACCTATCGCTAGTAACAATATCTGTAGATAGAATATTGAAACCGCCCGTTATCAACCCTACTCCAGAACAATGTCCGTCGATCGATTAGCGACATCGCCCGAGACGGCGTCTCTAGGTCTGCGTTCTAAATAACCAAACATACCAAGTCCCATGCTGGCGTGAGTGACGAACGATTAAAAGCCAAAACGGCCCGTAATGAAGCATCCGTTATTCCTCCCGACCGCTCCAAATTTATATCACAAGTCGTGAAGAGCAAGGGTGACGTCGCAACGTGTCTGTACCTTTCCGAGTCGCGTGCGGCGCGCGAACTAACGAGGGCCCAGGTAAATCATACGCCGCGAGTGTAGTCTCCCGCAAGAAAGCATTCGGTAGCATTCTGCCACAAGACCAATCGGGCCACCCACGTTCCAACTCCGCTCGTAAATCAATAAACTCTACCCAGCGTAACGCAATTAGCTAAACCGACCGTTTCGTAATGCACGCAACCGACTCCACGACATCTTTATTGCCGGCTAATTCGTGGCTTATCGGTTGTGCGTTAAGACGAATGGGTAATGTCACGAGTATAGCTTACTTATGTCTCTCTCATAAGACGTATACGAGATGTCTCCACTATTGCGTTATTCCCCTATCTAGTATATAGTTCATAACACCGTCATCATTTTAGCCTATATTTGAGTCCACTGCTGAACATAGGCCGCCCCCAAATACTGTCGCGAAGCATGATCCAGAGCAACCAAAGAATTCCCGCACATTAGTACAGGTCGTGGTCACACTCAATCTAGTGGGGGCTTGTTCTACACTACGATGGCCAATACGAGGCTGCCACTCGAGAAGCATACTTCCCCATCGGTTATATATAGGATAATCTTACTAATCCTCTGAGCTATATCGGTTACCTTTGCTCTATAGTGGATGTCTTAAATGTCAAGTCTAACGCGTAGAGAAATACTGAGCATAGCCCGCTCCATAACCCGCTCAGCGACTTTGAGCTGCTTCAAAGCATACAGCCTTCATAATATGTTCTTTGTCGACAGGGCGACCGAAAGGGCAGCACAGCGCGCCCCGCGGCGGGCCACCCCGTTCCTGGACGAACGCCGAACTAACAGAAGCGCTGCAACACGTGTGGAACAAGAAGATGACAACCAGCCAGGCGTCGAGGATCTTCGGCATACCGTACAACTCCCTGCTGATGTACGTCCGCGGCAAATACGGCAAGAGCCTGAAACTCGAGCAGCTGCGCAAGGACTGCATCGGCGGCCCGTTGGACGTGCTCAACCTGAACACGGGCAACAACAACAACAACCACCCGACGAGCAAGCACCACGACAAGGACGAACAGCACCAGAGCACGGGGCAGCGGCCGGCGAGCTCCGAGCCCGACATCGCCTCCAATCCGATGTTCAACCCGTTCCAGCAAGGGTTCTACCCGGAGTTCCCTCACGGGTTCCCGATGCCGCTCAACATGCTCCATCTGCTGCCGCCGAACGACAAGGCCCGGGACCTCTACCAGTCGATGCCGATGGCCCTGGACTCACTCTCGGGCGTCACAAAGGAGGAGGACTGCAAAAGCGACCGTTCGAAAGAGAACTCCGCCGACGAGGAGGGGGACACATACCGCGCGCCGTCCCACCCCCCGCATCCGCCCGACAACCGCACACTGCTGCACCACAACGGGCAAGATTAAATCCCGCGGCGCCGTCAGCGGAAGCCTAGGCATCGCCTAGATACAACCACCGCCGCTGTAATAAGTAAATCTATGTAAACGTTTCCCAACATCATCTCCCAGAACAGCCCGCCAAACTCGGAGAACGACGAAACTGCAATTCGTTCGACGCGTTTAGTTTCTTAAACCGCTCCACCGGACCGAGGGGGGCCTTTGAATTATCACGTGCAATATTATCTCGAAGATAAACGTTCGAAGAACTCTCCACTCCAACGCGCCGAATGCGTTTCAGTTTCGGTCAGTACCGTTCGATTCAACAATATATTAGAAAGTATCCCAATCAGCTCCGTAGCAAGGCGAAGTCCGCGTCTAATATTAGTTAAATTTATATTACAAATAAAAAGATGTGTTAATATTGTAAATGTATATGGAAAATTTCGCGTATAAGGTAATAGGCGATAATTTATTATTCCGAAGGAGTGCAATAAGTATGAATGGTGTTGTGATTGTTGTCGTTAGGATTCGCTGCGTCGGCGGCAGCGTCGTGGTCTCTCTTGTTGTAACATTCCAAATCAACATTCCTTATAGTTATTTTGTTTAGACATTAGTTCGTATTATTAAAATTTTATTATTTTACTTCGATTCGAGGGCCAGCCTCGAGCGTGTTCTTGCCGATTGGTGACGTATATTAAATGATCCCAATGTACATATGTTATATGTGCGACTTGAATTCTGAATCTCACCAAAGTTTGTAAAATATTTCGTAATTATAGATATTATTCGACGATAAACAACATTTAATTGTATATAGTTATTGGTAAATTAATGAAAATAACAATTATTGAATTAACCATCGATTAAGAGGACGTTCGGTGTCTAAATGGTAATAAATAGTAGTGTATTTGTAATTGTTGTAGTGTTAGTGAAGTGAATACGGTGAACTGTTCGTTTATCGATATGTCAATACGAGTGAACGGCGCAGACAGGTAGGAGGAAAGTCCGCGACGCACTAGTCACACACATGCACCCAAGTAAATTAACCGTAAAACGTAACACCAGCTAAAAGTTTTTTGAATTATTAAACAATTTATTCTAAATTATTTCACTCCATATTCACATCGATAATAGATGAGAGCATTGTTGGACTACTGCGGGTCCAAAAACAGTTATTACGTCACGAGTCCTGAACTTGGGATCGCCGAGTAATTCGTGATTCCATTCGCATGGGTTCAATGCCGGTCGGGTGGTCCCGTCGACAACGTGACGTAAGCAGGTTTTCGATCACAGATAATATAATGAACCGCATCGACGTCATCTAAACGTAATGACGTCGCCATGACAGTGCGCGCCCGGTTTAGACAAATAATGTATCTGCACTCAATGTTCAAATAAAAAGGAGCTTTCAAGATTTTTTAGTGAATAATACGAAGGTTTAGGGTAAACGGTTCATTCCAACCTGGCTTTAGATAATTGTATACAATCAATTCATAATTAGTGATAGCCTGACGGTAATACAACGCCACGAAGGGATTAATATTAATATGGTTTATTTCTCTTCACTAATGGTAAAATATTCTAGAAGGTTTTCTTCAATTCCGAAATTTCTCAAACACGTATTGTATATTTGTGTTTTAACACGTACGATTCAATGGTCTATAATTTACCTAAATTTACCAAGTGATTTGAGAACGGAATAATTTCCGCTAGTGAGTCACAATGAATTATCCAAAATAATTTAACTATAGTCGTCGTTACATGTTACAAAACCGCAAAACTCTTTAACAGAAGACTGAACACTATTTACGACACTATTTTATATAATTGTACAATACACATTATCACAGTAACTCTGAGCAGCAATGGATCGAAAAGCAGTAGTTCACACTAGTGTCACGTCATTATGTAACAATATTATCATTACAGGGATTTTATATATTAAAGAATTGTATAATTGAATATGTACCCATAGTTTAACGGAGCCATTTTTTTGCTTTATGTATTTTTTTTTTTTTTTCACTTGAGCAGTTGTCGGGTATAAGGGATTTTCCAAATCATAGTTCTGTATTATGATCACGGAACTTTAGCAAAATGTAAAATGGTATTGCGCCATGCAAATAATTGTTTGTAAAATATTCTAAGTATTTTAATGGAATTAGCCGGTGTTTAATAGATTGCTGTTGACTAAAACATGTCTAACGATTCGACGCGAAAAGTAAAATTTTTAATGTGCCAAAATTTCATTGAGATCTTAGTCTTTTCCGAGGCGGCCATTTTAACTCGTTTGTTTTTTTTTTTCTGTTATATTCATTCATTAATTTTTAAAGTTGTGCCTCACTTGTGTTGTGACTCGTAATCGAAATATTGTGTTGTCGATTTGTAGATTTTTACCTAATTCGTACAAATTCAGCAGTATTAGAGTGATTTTGTTAAAGTTTTAATTGAAAAGTTTTTAATTAAGTTTTGTTATTTGTTAATAATATGGACGACGATTGAAGAGATGATAATTAAGTGTAGGTACGTTTTCAGACTATATTCTCGAGAAAAATATTTTTCTTTACTCTATTTCCCCGATTTCTTTTAAATTTTAAACTTTTAGTTCTCAACCTACTTTAAAACTGCTTTGTTTTAATTATTGGAAGTTCCTGACAAACTTACCTAATAGCGTAGTCCTATTTATCATAATTTCTTTTTTTTTATCTACATTGAATTTAAGGTACATTTTCACTGCTACTGAACAAATGATTTTCATTGGGAGCCAAATGTACGTAAAGTACGTTAAGTATAATAAACGTGAAGTAAAGGTATTAAGTATTTTTAATTGATAAAAGTTGTGATTGTATTAATTTAGTAGATTCAAATATTTAGTTCCTTCATTTTTTGTTACGAGTATTTATATATATTGTAATTGCAATGATTTAAGCTTTTAGACTAATTGTTCTTCGATAAAGAGTATAATTAATTATAAGTTGTGTAATTATAATTTAATTTGTTGTATTTTGCATAATATAGTGACAAATTAAATTAAATGATATCGTTACATTAGGGTGTAAAAAAGATTATCTATTTGATCTTTAAATAATACGAAAAAATATTTATGTTCTTAGTATCATTCTATCGTGTATTTGAAATGAAACGATGGAGCGATGTAGAAAAATTCGTTTACGGTCACCGAAGTAAAGTGTAAAAATAAAAAATATGAAATACCATTTGGATGTTTTATTGTGACTGATCGCCTTTCGCCCGCTGCCCGTGTTATCGACTGTCACTTTTACCCGTTTCTACAGCGGCGACAGTTGAGACATGTATTAAAGTTTCTTTTCAATAAACGTTTCTTCTCAGCAATATAGTTTTCTTTTATCATGTGATAAGCACCTATCTATAAGATTATTTGAATTCTTCAATACGTTTATTTTACTTTAAATGCAGAAAATTCATAGAAGAAAAATTATTATTTTGTTATATTTTATTTTTTTATTACCTTAAACCTTACATTGTTGGTGACGTCACCAACAATGTTTACGTCATGTGTTTTGTCATTGAAATCGGTAGCGTTAAAATTTGGATATGATTTGGTTGTCTAACATCTCTGTAAAACAGATTTCTAGTTGTTTGATAATATTTTTGGTATTTAGTTTCCATTCCCGCAGTTTGATTTCCGAGCTAACAAAAACTTTTTTCTTCGATAGAGAAAAATTACTATTGAAATAATCAACACGCAGAATTATCTGAATTTTCGAGAAAAAAATATATTTTAAAACTTGTTATTTTCACTACGAAAGTCTGCCATTTTACTAAGTGGAGTGGACTTCAAAAACTTAGTAAAAAATTTAGTACGTACAGCCAACATGATAAATATAGGTAGGGAATGACGTCATACTCGTACCGATTGGAAAATCGATTAAATAAAAAAAAATAATGAGTCACAGATCCGACACAGAGCACTCCGACTCCATGTGGTCTTGAGGTCCCTACCCCTAGAATGAACATAAAAAGGCGAAGCCCGAAGGTCGCGCCACGATCCGGCGAGATCTGTAGCGGAGCGAAAACTTTACCCTGTCGGTAGCCCCCATTACTTTGTATTTTTTATACAAACCAACGTCTCATTGCTTAATTTAAAGGGTGTCTTTGAGAAACAAAGACGCAGATCCTGTCACAAAAATAGTTGTCCCGTGTAGGAATCGAACCCACGACCGTGCCGGGGGTCGTGGGTCCTTGGCAACTGCGCCACGACATAAACAAGACATAAATAAGACTACTTGAAGCAGAAATGATTTAATTCTGTTTATGATATTGGCCATTAAAAATGCAGGTATACAAATCTGAAACCAAGTCAAGTCATAAATAATCTGGGTTAAATTATTAATAATCTCCCAGACTCCATGGTCGTACTCCGCATTGCAAGTAGCAAGTAATAAAAATATCCAATTTTTTTGTATTGTGAGTGTCGTTTTTTCTACAAACGTAGAATAAGGCGAAAGATAAAATTTTTGAAAAGATTTTTATCTTGTTACGCCAAAGAAGTATAACTTCTAACGCGTGTACACACACACTTTTTTGTTTACGTGGGGGAAATCCGTACGCATACACGCCCTGGCGGTGGCAAGGGCCGGTTAACTCGTACTCACACCGACTAAAACCCCCACCATGTTCCACCTAGGCGCATATCGGTAGGGCCTCGGGAACGCTTTCGCACACGTCCGCGACCCTGAATATCTACAATACCTTGCCAAAATTCGTAATTCTAGGTCAACAGGAAATACCATATAGTTTTTCGATCCAATACCTATAAGGCTACTTACGGTTGACCTAGTAGCACAGCACAAGTAAAGGGAAAATTCCGAAACGTAAAAAAGTTGAAAGTTAAGGCAAATTTTTGTACTCATAAATTTTCGCGAAAAGCTCAATTTACCCAGACCTTTATTTTTATACATCTAATATTGACTATAGAGTTCTGAATCTCGTATAAATTTCAACTTGCTAGATCCACCCGTTCCTTAGAAAATCGGCGTTGAAACATGGACAGACAGACTGACAAGAGAGTGATCTTATAAAGGTTCCTTTCTTTGCTATTTTAAGTACGGAATCTACAAAACAAAGATTTTTTGCAACGTATAACGTTGCAAAAAATCTTTCAAAAAACCACCATACACAGGTTGCCGGATTAATTTCTGCGTTTTCTCAAATTGTATCCAATCCTTTTTCGAAACTTCCTATTCTCTATAAAAAAAAAAAAAAACAAACAATCACATAAACCCTTTTATTTTCAGTTTAATATACACTTTTTTTATAAATACAAAATTATGGACTAACTTAAACGGTGGATATTAATTGCTTACAAAGTCATTGATAATATGAAATTGAGCAAATGCAAGCAGCAGTTTTACAAGTAATTACAAACAGTAACACTTGCTTTTATTTTGCGTCGAATTATCACACGTTTTTCTTCTAGAGATCCGATATGTAGGTATGTTAATTGTGTTACCACAGCGTGAGTAACAAACTGCATAACTACAGAAAAAAGAAAGATATGTTTATTTCTTATATAAACAAATAAGAGCAAAAAAGAAGTAAACGTTCCATATCTACAAAATTCAAGTGTTACTAGTTGCAATATTTATTCTAAAAATTCGTTAGCACTGCGTTCCAATATTTAAAATACAAATTCAATAAAAAGAACGCTGGAGAAATTTTGAGACATTTTTCTGAAAACATAATTTTTAATAAAAAGCACAGAGATCGTATATCGGAACGCAGCAGGTATTATACAGTCTATGGCAAATAACTTCACATTTCTGATACTCTATAATTATACATTTGATTCCATCCTGGAATGAGGTAACTTCATATACATATATCTGCTACAGTGTCTTTATTCCCTGGTTATCACACGGTTTTGTATATTTTTTTCTTTAATTACAGTTAACTTGGCTATGCCTTAAAATCTTATCGGGACAAAACTATTTTCTACATACCACCAAACAACCTTTCTTTGTGTTAGTCTATGATTTCTGTTTGAAAATAAATACGTTAAGTACAATGTGTTAAACAAAAGAGAATGTTTTCATAAAGAACTATTTGTGTTAATACCAATTAAGTTCATGAAGAGAATTTGCTGTGAAAAGGTGCCTTAACAAATATACTCATTTGGGGTATCATAATAATACCTATGCATACGTCATAGACAAATAATAACATTCATAGACAAAACATTAGTTTTCTTGAAATTTTGATTGTTTAAATTTATTCAAAATTTGAATTTTGACAACTCTTACCTTAAGACAATAAATAAAACAAATCCAATTCAAACTTAACTGGATCAACCACCAATTTAAATTTTTAGCCTGTAAGATCATCAGCTTACATAATTATAACTAAAATAATGTGCGAATCTTGTAAGATTGTAGCGCAGGAATTCTGCAAAATAAACAATCTACGGAGCTAATAAACTATTTAACGATAATTTATGGCATTTAAATATTATACGGAATAGATAGTGAACTTATAATAGAGCATTTAAATAGGATGGTTTGGTTCGGTTCTTCGTTTCGTAAAGTATTAAATATATTGGCAATGTGTGACAATATCATGGCGATATTATAATACAATGTTATTCCTTTTAATTTCTAAGAATAAATTCAAGCCCCATTCACAGTAACTTCTCATAAAACATGATAAAATCACCTTTTTTTATTCTTGCACTCTAAAGTCTGTATGTAAAAGAATTCTCAATAATGTATATTGGCTAATTTTCTTTACGTATTTCAGGTAATACAAGTGTTATACCATGCAACTCCTAATTTTTAATTTCCAACAATAAATTTTCCATTCAATTATCAGTACTTTTTCAGACATTCGAAATATCAGATCAAAGAAAACTTTAAAAATATTCGTATTACATATGCAGGTCAGAATATTGTAACAACTTAATGCAAAATCAAAGTTTTTTAACAACGTCGTCTTTATTCCGTTATTCGGTGCATTAAAGCTAATTTTATTACAAAAAAAAGTAGATTTGACAATTTATCAAAATTATTAACACACTAATAATAATCACTAATCATTTACAGTTGGTTCTTCATCATACCTAATAATACAAATTTTATTTTCATATTTAACGGAATAGTCCGTAGCTAATAATAAATAATTTAGTTGTAAATTTAAATCAATTAATATAATCAGCGCTAAACTATGTTACCTTATTACTTCAGTAAGTAATTATTTGTAATTATTCTAGAAACTGGCAGTAATTTGCATATAAAAAGAAGTTAAAATTAACTAAATACCAAATGACGAATATGTTCAATACAAAACCCAATAAATTACTTTAGTACAAATTGTAATGTTTTCTTCTTTCTTTCATAATAATTAAATAAAAAAAATTAATGCACAAGGAGGTTAACTAACGCAATATGTGCGTAATTTAAGATAAAAATATTCATCTTAAGAACAGAAACATTTTTTTAGATGAATGAAAATCTAATTCATTTAAGTCTGTGAAAATTGTTATTGGTAGTTACTTTTATATTAACGTTACTTAAAACAGCAAATGAGATACATTGCAGTAACATATTTGTTAACATCTTAATAAAAATACTTAGAGATCTCCGTGTAAAAACCGTAATATACCAATGCGTTTAATTTTATAATTTAAACCTCAAGTTGTTTTAATTGTGTACCTTGAGAAATTACATAATTATTTGGTTTGGCTGGTTCACTAATCAAGTGACGAATCAATGGGACTCATACTTGAACCGTATGTATATTAAAACCCTGTATTAGACGTTAGGGTAAAAGCAAATTTGCAGAAAACGAGCAGACAGATCCACTCATAAGAAACCCTGACAAATTTTCTTCCCAGTTTTTCCTTAATAACACTCGGTAACATTAAGGCAGTGATTCCTTGGAAAAATTGTTAAAAGAGACTTGTACCGCCTCGAAAAATACGGAATGTGACATTCCAACGTCGACACACACACTATGTCTAAACATTTACACACTACAATTTTCCGATCATACGGCCATCTGCCAGTTGTTTGAAAGAGGTGATGGGTGCTGGGTAGGGTAAGGTTATGATTAACAGGGGTATACATATAATAGTACTATAGACGATAGAAAACGCTTTGGACGGCTTTGGAGTCTTTTTTTTTTTTCTTTTTCTAAAGAGATCAATACTATAAACGATCATTAGTACGACTTGCGGAAGATGTATGATGTGTAATCAGCGATTAAAAGTATGAAGTACATTTATTCGACAACCTTTAAAGAAATCTTTGCATGGATAAAATCAGTAAAATCCATTCGATCCTAATTAGTCGCGGACGAGGACAGAATGGAACTTACCTATAATAATATGTTTTAGTTGAATAAGAACGGGAGAGAGAACGATTCTACTGCCACTGAACCACCACTTCGTCATCTATTCAGCGTCCGAGTCAGCGGGCTAGGGACACGAATCCGCGTAGACGCGTACGTTTTCCGCTCAGCGGCGCACTTTGGGCGAGTCTGATCGACGCGCGGGGGAGGGGGCGTCGGGCGGCGCGGGGGGGCGCGGAGGGGCTGCGGTGACGTCACTTCCGCGCCAGCTGCAGGTAGCGGGCGACGATGGCCGCCATCTCGGAGGGCAGCCGCTCCCGCTCGCACGTGGCCGAGTAGGCGCGCACCGCCTGCGTCAGCTGCGTATGCAGCTCTAGCAAAGCGGCGGGCCCCACGCCGCGGAGCGCCTTCGCGTTCTTGTACAGCACGTTGTCCAGCTCGGCCTTGCTTATCGACACCCTCTCGGCGTCTGCAAGGTAACGTTGAGATTAACACCGACTTGTACGTGCTCATATATGTTCTTGACAAATTCGCTGGAGGTAATATTTTATTAATCTGTTGCAATTAGAATGTAAAAAATTAAGCGCACTAAATGAAAGAAACTTTTTGAGTTTGAAAGAGTGTAGAGAAAAGTGTATGTACCAACGCACTAGTACTATATAGAATTACCTCCACTATTGGTATCATGTCCCGAATTTCTTTTCTTTGGCGATGTCTTCGACGGCGTCTTCTCACCCGATTTCGGTGGGCTGCGAACATAATTCAAACACATATTAATCCGATAAAAAAAATTGGAATTTTTAATTTGATACAGGTATATATATATATATCATTAAAAAAAACTACTGTTACGAAAACTATTTTTATTCGTAATAAAAATTAATAGCGGAATAATAAATAACATAGTTTCGAAACAATATTTCGATATATATAATAAGAATAAAATAACATATATTTCGAAATACGTGAACTATTTGCATATTGCAACGATTAGCTTAGCTAACACCGAGCTCAAATGAAACTTGTCAATGGCCGCGGGCCTATTCGTATATAGTTGTGCGTACGAACGCACACCAGCACGCCCGTGTCTCCCAATTTCGTGCGTGGCACAGCCGTGCCGACGTGCGTGCGTTCGTGCGTCAGTTTGTACGCGATTATATGCGTGAGTGCGTATGTGTGTACGTGAGTACCTATCGAGCGTGTGTGCGTTGTGCGCGGCGGCGGCGAGCAGCGACTCGTCGGCGGGCGGCCGCCGCAGCGGCGCGTCGTCGTCGGAGCCCGACGAGGTCGCCGAGCCGTTGGGCAGCGGCGTCGAGGTGATCGGCTTGTTCTCCTTCGACTCCTCGTCCGTTATCGCCATGCTCGCGTCCTTGAACGACTGCGAACGGTCAGAGATTTTAGGGTAAACATAAATTCTAAGGTCTTTGAAACAACATATTGGACAAAATATTTGACATCCTTGAAACTACATATTGGACATTTGTGGATATTGGACATGTAGGATACTCAATGAAGAAAACCGAAGAAGTAAAGTACAAATTTTACAAGAACGGGCTAACGCTTCACTATTTTCTAGACGGTATAGTAAGGTTCCAAGTCCCAACTTTATGGTTTATTAACTTAGCCTGAGAGTGATAAAAATCTATGGTACCTTATGTGAGGTCTTCGGTCTTTTCACAACCAATCCCTTTGACCAGGCGTTCATTCTTCTACGCTTTCGCTTGGCCGAATGAGATTCGCTTTTCTCCCCATTCTGCGGCGTTCGAATGTTTTTGCTGTCGTTCGCCGTTGAGTCAAAGCCTTCAGCTGTACATATAAAAAGAACATATCATTAAAACTATTAATAACTAGCTTTTACCCGCAGCTTCGCTCGCGTTGAAGCCCTTGAATAAATATCTTTTTTTTATATTTTTTAAATAAAAATAGTTATATGTCCTTTTTAATCCCTATAAGAATATGTGTATAAAGTTTAATGATAATCGGTTGAGTACTTTGGCGTGAATGCGTAACAAACAAACTTACATTCACTAATTTTTTAAGTATGATCACCGATAATTCGATTTCGATAATCGAAAATATGTAATGAAACATTTACTTTATCTAATAAAGTCTTAAACGAAAGCTGTGTATATTAAAACAGCAAAATCGTGAATAGTTCGCTGTCGAGTAATCAGCTCACGCAAGTTGGAGGCGGTGTAAATGAAGTCGGGCAGGTCGTTGTCCTCGACGGCGCCCTCCTCGCGCCGCTTCCGAGCAATGTCCTGGCACTCGAGCTCGAAGTCGCTGTCCATCTCGACGTCGATGAGGGCGTGCGCGTGGTCCCGCAGGGAGCACGCCTCGTGCCGTATCTGTTTGTCCGACGACGTCCTGACGATGGCACAACACAAACGACATTATTTAATTATTATTTTTTAATATTTTTAGGGCACATTTTTAAACAACGCTCTCTAGTCGCAAACTAAGCAACGCTTGTGCTATGGCTACTCGATAACTGATAACAAACACAGTTTTCTTTTGTAAATAAATACATATTATAAGCAAGAAAAAGCAATTACTTCATTCTACGGCTGAAAGAGAGTGTGGCATATGAAGTGTTTTAATAAAATATTTCATATTTCCAAAATGAAGTAAAAACTAAGAAAATGCTTGAAATACTTAATTCACTACTGTTTTTAATAACTTCAAGCTAGCTACAAGTATAACCATGCAATAAATAAAAATTATTACCAATATTTTTTAGACACAACTCAAATTAAACTTGTCAATGTGTCCATATCGGACAAAAGGTCAGAGGATGTAGAATAAATGACTAAATCGTCTCAAAAGATTATACTAATGTTACAATTTATCGATTACTATTATGTAGGACTGCAAATATATCATACCTATACATCCCTCTAGGCCTTTTAATGGCACCGGACAAATGTGGAAAGAGAAGGCGGGGGTAAAACAAAAAACATTAGTACACAAAAGTAAAAGAAGTGGGATCAGTGAAAATTATAAAGAACATGATGCAATAAAAAAAATGTTAAGTCAAAAATAATAGCACAATAAACACTAAGAACACTATTGATTGCTTTATTGATAAAATAATTTAGGGTGTTATGTAAAGCATTTGGATGTAAAATGCAGCACTGTTTTTAATGTTTATTATATAATACTAAGATAAAAGTATGTAATGTCTGTTGATTATTTACTTGGTTTAACTCTGTTCACTCTTATTTTCTATTGGCCAACAAGTCTTATCAGGTTTCTGAATTGACAGTGAATGCATTGTTGTCTATTTTTTTTCCTGGTTCCTTGATGTTCAGTGATTACCGCCGCCCATGGACATCTACAACACCTGAAGGGTGTCAGACGTTGCCAACCATTAAAATTTTGGACCCCGTTACTTCACTACCAAATGCATAGTAAATAATTCCACTTTGCGCCGGTATTTTATAAGGGCGTGGTACTTCCCCAGACAAACCTGCCCATTTGTGCAACTACAGAACGTGCTGCGTCCTACCACAGTAAAAATTCATTCTGAAGTCTCACCTATCGGGATTGTACTCCAGAGCGTTGGCGCATATCAGATCGATGTCGTCGAGGAACTCCTTAGCACAATTGTACTTGTGCATGTCCACCTTCGTCATCATCGTCTCCAAGTCCATCGGTTGCTTTATTATATCCAAGTAGTCGGTCACCTGAAAAGTACATTGCCTACTGAATTTGCATATTTTTGACTGAGTTATGACTTGTCACCTATTAGGGACATCGTGTGCAATTGTTTTCAACTGCACTACATGAGAATATACCTTTTTTGTTATTGAAAATATTTCAATTTGATATTTATTATATTTCTATTTTTATTTAACATAGAAAGCCTTTTTAACGGAGGCTAAACGACGTAAGGTCTATAGATTATACTACTATCGTGATTTTATAAAAGCAGTATACTAACTTAATAACAATATATAAGAAACAAAATACGTCATTGAGATGGTATACTTGTCGGTTAATTATTGGACTGATCGAAAATAAATTCCATTAATATGACCGGCCGTACACTGCACTTAGAATTTAACTAGCATTAAATTTGTTCCTCTGTCAAGGAATATCATTAAGTATAAGAGTGAACTACGCAATTGATTTTTTTTTTACATTTGATCCGCTTACTTCCTCGAGGTCGACGGGCTTGGTGAACTTGTAGAAGCGTCGATTGGAGGCGAGCTTCCGGCAGATGTCGCGCAGGAAGATGCGCAGCTCGCGCAGCTTGTAGTCCTCCTTGCGCTTGCGTCGCGCCACCTCCTCGGCGCTCTCGCGCGGCGGCGGCGGCGGCGGCGCTGCTCACACCCACACGGGTCAATGGGGTAGACAGAGACGGATATACACTGGCGTCGATGACACGGCTTACTATAAGCGACAGATAGCGGTGCGGGGGCGTCGCTCGCTCTCGCACTGCCAATGGGAAAGACAGAGGTAGCGATATACACTGGTGAAGATAGCTCTGCCACCTCTCTGGCAGGTTTAGTTGATGAGATATAGTTATTACCATTGACCGGGGCGTTCTACGCTCTAGTAGGATATCAAAATCAAAACACATCAGAAACGCAATTTATTGCTTCTTTATGACTGAAGAAAAATCGTTTACACGAGGTAAATTATGTTGGTACGGCCGTAATCCGCACCATTTTATTTGTTTTTCAAGCATACAAGCTTTGTCACATAGTCTTTTAGAGTGAAATGACCTAGTTTAATGGAAGTGACTTCAGCTGCGTCGGCAATGTTTACATTAGTATGTGTTAGTCTTTAGAGCTGCAAAAAAAAGAAGAACAAAGAAGTCAATTACGACGCACTGCTCACAAAGCTGCTAAGGATCAAAAGTTACGGAACAAGTTACGGAACTACCCATAATCGTACTGTAACTTGTTCTACAAAGAAAGAAGTAGGCGTTAGAGCGGCATACATTGTTTGCTATCGTGGACGAAAATAAATATGCGCCCAACAGTTGGCAAATTGGACCCCTACGGTTTGAATGACGAAAGCAATGTATGACTGTCATTCATCGCCACTACAAAAGAATTTAAATGAACAACTATGAGAAAGATAAGGGCCAATACCGTTGTATATTTCTTTTTTATTTTTGCCCTCACTTTAGTAACATTATCCCGTGTTGTGACGACGTTTTACAAAAATAAATTTCACGTGGACTAACATACAGATGCGACAACAAACAACCTTCTGTGGGTCGCACAAATAGTTATCCCGTGTAGGAATCGAACCCACGACCCCCGACGCCGAAGCCAATAACTGGGCAACTGCGCCACGGAGTCATAATTTCATTATATATAGTTGCGTTTTCAGCATACTTAATAGAACAATGTATGTGGAAATTTTCTCACCTCTGGGTAAGGGAGGCGGCGGTTCGTTGTTTTCTATAACGGGAGGCAGTAGGGGTGTTTCGGTGATGATCGGCTTCAGGAAAGCGATGACCTCGGCGGCGGTCGGCTCGCGAACTGTGTACACGCAGTCCTTGTACGCCGGGAACAGTTCTTGAAGCTGTCACGCAAATGGTTCATTTAGGTCGTAAATAATAGTGTATATTTATCGTTTCGGCATAACGATACACGGTCAAATTTTGTGGATTTTATAAGGAACAGAATGCACTATCTCATGTAGCTAACACAGCGTAACTACTCTATCTTACTAGTAGTTAAAACTGATATCGGCGTACACCTCCTTGAGTAGCTATCCCCAGCGTAACGAAGGTCTACAATCAATAGTTGACTCAAAAACCCCTTTAATTTTTGACTCCATCCCAACGGTGGTGGCCCTACCAAGCAGCAACCTCGGCTGTTGCACGAATGGGCAGGCTCGTCCGGGTAAGTACCGCGACCTCACAGAAGACCGGCGTAAAGTGGAAATATGAAAAATACTTTCACATTTCGTCTGATGAGTGAAGTAGCCGGAGCCCAATTATCAAAAGGTTGTCAACGCATCTGTAACCCTCGCATGGAACAGATGTCAATGGGCGATGGTTTTCTCTTAACATCAGGTGAACCTTTTGCTTGTCTGGCAACTTTTAACATAAAAAAAACGGTGTCAAAAGCGACATCGGCGCGCACCTCCTCGAGTAGCTCTCTACCCGTAACGACGGTTTGTCGAATTGTTGACTATAAAAATTAAGATCGGTGGCACATTTGGATAGCTGTTAACTCTTGCGTAACGCCTGCGTTCAATTTTCGACTCTATCGCAACGGTCTTAAAACCTCGACTCCAGCGCAACATTAGTCTGCGTTCAATTTCCTACTCTATCCCAATGGTATTAATCCTCATCTCCTGCGCAACATTATTCGGCGCTCAACTTCCGACTCTATGCCAACGGTCTTAAAGTCTCAACTCGCGCGCAACATTAGTCTGCATGGAATTGCAGACTCTATCCCAACGGTTTTAAAGCCTCGACCCCTGCGCAACATTAATCTACATGCAATTTCCGACTCTATCCCAATGGTCTTAGAGCCTCGACTCCTGAGCAACATTAGCCTGCGTTCAATTTTCGACTGTATTCCAATGGTATTAAAGTCTCAACTCCTGCGCAATATTAAATCTGCATGCAATTTCCGACTTTAAACTGAGTCTTGCCTCAGCTCCCGCGCACGATTGATCAACATGCAACTTCCGACTCTATGGCGACGGCGTTAGGGTCTAGATCGGCGCGCACCTCCACGGGCAGCCGCTGCGGCTCCTGCGCGGCGGTGGCGAGCAGTGCGGTGGCGTGGCCCGCGGCGCGCGTGCGCCACAGCTGCAGCAGCAGCGCGCCGCCGGAAGCGCCGAGCGCCGCCCACACGGCCGCCACGTCGCGCACGAACAGCACGCAGCCGCGCTCCGCCCGACGGCACTCGGAGAACACCTGCGCGTGTAACCAGTGATGCTTCCTTATTTTCAACAAACTTCTAATGTGGTTGATAACACCTGGAGAGAAGGCATTCATGTTGTTACTGATATTTCCTTATTTTCGATAGACTTCAAAGGAGGTTCTCAAATTGCCGTGATAGCGGTATCAATGTACGGGCGCTCGCCTTTAATTCAAAATACACGAGCAACCGTGTATTTTGAATTAAAGGTGTCGATGACTCCGTGGCGCAGTTGCCAAGGTATTGGCTTCGACGTCGGGGGTCGTGGGTTCGATTCCCACACGGGACAACTTTTTGTGTGACCCACAGGTAGTTGTTTCGTATCTGGGTGCCATATGTTCAAATTCCGGTACCGGCAGCTATGAATATGTTAATTTTAAAAAATATTTCGATGATATGTGAAGTCCGCCAATCCGCGATGGGTTCGCGTGAGGCCTCACTCAATATCCTAGTACCCTTTATGTAGAGAAAGCAGCAAAGAAGGTTTGTTGCTTTATTTTTTCTTTGTCAAATGGTATTTTCATTTTTATTGGACCATGGACTCCGAGAATACATTAGGTAACTCCTCAAAATCAAATTGAATGAATAATGAGTGAGATATTTGAAGTCCGTTTTTTTTAACAAAAATGTATTACTTGTATAAGGCGAATACTTGTCTCGTAATACGATATATTATGCGTCGTGTTTTAGCTGTCAGCCGAGGTAAGGCAAATCAAAAACTGAAGCGAGTGAGGCAACCGACCGATATGAGCGCCTGCTCCTGAGTGAACGCGAGCGCGGAGTGCAGCGTGGCGACGCTGAGCTCCCTGACGGTGAAGCGCTCGAGCCGCTCGAGCAGCGCGGGCGCGATGTGGCTCTCCGCGCACTCGCCGCTTATCAGCAGCGCGCTCGGCGCCAGCATTTCCTCCGACGCCTTCACGCTGTTCACGCCGATCACGTTCAAATTTATCCATCCGTCCATATAACAACTAAAGATCTTAGATTTAATGATTTGCGATTACAGCTTGCAGTATCGGTCGTAAAAATGCGAAGGAACACAACAAAAGTACTTTAAAAGTTCCCCATCAGGCAAACTAATGGTAGTTTTGTGAAAACTGTTTGGCGTGCACCGATTGGCGCACCATTACCGGATTGAGGGAAACTATGCCGCAAGTAAATCAGAAATCGTACAGCGACAGGAAGATAGACCACCGGAGCGGGTAAGTTGAGTGAAGAATTAGCGAATGAGAAGTGCCAAGCGTTGCTATAGTGGGCACGTTGGGCGGTAGACAGAAGCGGTGCGCATAAGGGCGTGGCAAGTTTACGAGCGTGTTGGGCGGTGGACAGACGCGGTGTGAATAAGGGCGTGGCGAGTGTGCAAGCGTATTGGGCGGTGGACAGACGCGGTGCGCATAAGGGCGTGGCGAGTGTGCAAGCGGATTGGGCGGTGGACAGACGCGGTGTGAATAAGGGCGTGGCGAGTGTGCAAGCGTATTGGGCGATAAACAGACGCGGTGTGAATAAGGGCGTGGCGAGTGTGCAAGCGTTGTTTGCGGTACCTGTCCGCGTGCGACGGCACGATGGCGCGCAGCATGGGCGCGGCGGCGCGCACCTGCGGCCCGAGCAGCGGCAGCGCGTGCGCGGGCAGCCGGCGCGCGGGCGGCGGCGCGCTGCGCGCCCCCGCCGCCACCATGCCCGCTATCGCGCTCTCCAGGTCCTCCAGGCGCACCTCCACCTGCGGGAAGCGAGCGCCTGTAGCTCGTCATCACATATCGCCACGGCGGTTGTTTTGCATGACGACACAATCTTTCGTCAGACGGAAATCTTGGTTGGGAAACACTCGAAAGTGGAATTGGAAATTTGAAAGTGTCGCCAGAGTTTTCAAAGCTGAATGCCAATCGGTATGAAAGTTGTGTGGAGCTACATCTCGATTATTGTTCTTTATTATTTTTTCTTTATTTTTAGCAATTTGCTACTCTTAGTATGGAACAATTAGGCAAAAATAACCCAAATGAACTTAGATAATATAAGATAATCACTCATTACTAAAGTGAAACAAAGACATTTCAATTTACCTAGAGATTTCAAAATGATTAATTAATTGAATATGTCTATCATCGTTTATACAAAATGTAAAAAGCAAGTATTTTTTAAAGTGCAGAAATCATTATGTTAACAACCGAAACACAAAACGCCTAGTACTTCCACTTCAGTACGGTTATAAAATAATTTGATTGAACTAATCCATACCATTGAACTGAAATAGTTTTATTTATACATACTAACAAGTAATTCACATTAAACAAAAATAATAAAATTAAATAATGTAAATATTGGTAAATAAATGATACAACTTAATATAATTATTAAATTATAAGTAGTAGGGCGTGTTCACTATCGTACACTTGCGGGTACACTCTCCTCAAAGCTCTTAAAACTGCTTCCGAACACAATGCTTTCAAATCCGAACCTGCAGATAAAATTATAATTATGTTTCAACCTCATTTAATAGCAGTTTAATAAATGTCGAGAGTACGCAGCGTGAATAACATTCAATAACCATTGAGTATTCTCCGACGTACCCTAGCATGCCTTATTATACTCTATCCCGTGCGTCATAAGGTCGCATTCCGCTCACCGCCGTTAATGGTGGTATGTCCGCGACGTGGTGGAGGGTCCATGAAGTTGGCGGCGACAAGTACACCCCTCAACATCCACTGATCATTCTCCGTCGTTCCCTAGCATGCCTTATTATACTCTATTACAAGCGTCATAATGTCTCATTCCGCTCACCGCCGTATCCGGTGGTGACGTCGGCGACGTGGCCGAGGGTGCGCGGGCGCGTGCGGCAACGTGTACACCCCTCAACACTCATTAAGCATTCTCCATCGTACCCTTGCATGCCTTATTATACTCTATCCCCATAATCATAATGTCTCATTCCGCTCACCGCCGTATCCGGTGGTGACGTCGGCGACGTGGCCGAGGGTGCGCGGGCGCGTGCGGCAACGTGTACACCCCCCCCTTCAACACTCATTAAGCATTCTCCATCGCCTTATTATACTCTATCCCCATAATCATAAGGTCGCATTCCGCTCACCGCCGTATCCGGTGGTGACGTCGGCGACGTTGTCGAGCGTGCGCGGCGCGGGCGGCGGCGCCCAGTCGCGCGTGTAGATGTGCAGTATGTCGCGGCGCGCGGCCGCGTGCGGCGGCGGGAAGTGCAGCTCGCGGTCGAAGCGGCCCGCCCGCCGCAGCGCCGGGTCCACCGCGTCCAGGCGGTTCGTCGCGCCGATTATTATCACCTCGCCCCTGCGTGCAAGAGCGCTAAGTTAACGTGCGCGTTTCGCAAAACCTAACGCGCCCGATTGGAGCATGTACCGTCGAGTGCAAAAGAGTTACAGTATAACAAACTTGTCTATCGAGGCTTTAGGGGATATTTTTTTTCTTTTCTCACTCATCGCTACAGAAAAATTACTGAACGCGAAGCTAAAGAAGATTTCAGTATGTTTCACTGTATTCAACAAATATTGTGTGGAAGAGTTTAAAAAAAGTATTTGTAATTTATAAATTATATATCTCGTTTTCATATAGACTGCCTTTGCATTGCATTTTAGTCGTATTCTAGAAGGTTCTAGAGGCACCTGTCGCAGAGGCCATCCATCTCGGCCAAGAGTGTGCCGACCACGCTGGTGTGCACCTGCTCCTGTCGGACACTCCTCACTGGCGCCAGAGCGTCGATCTCGTCGAAGAATATTATCGACGGCTTCATTTTGTTCGCCTTCAAACACACACAAAAATGATATTAGTTTAACATTGTAATATTACAGATTATATTAGAGATAGATTTATAGAATTATAGATTAAGTTAACATTGTAATATTTATATATTTCAAGACAAAAAGAAATTTATTTTACAAATGGATATAACATGGACAAGTTTTATTTTATATACATTAATTATTCATAAATACTAAATGAAAGAAATAGATATTTGTAAAAATATGTCTTTTTGTCTTAATATCAATCCCCATTAAATATTTGGCATGCAAATTACTCAAATGAATTAATTTTACTATAATAAGATAGAACGAATCGCATCAACACACACTTCCATGCTTGCTTTGTGTGCATGAAGTTAGCAATGAACATAAAAACAACATGACATTCCATTCGAGACGTTAACGCTCTTAGCGACGATAGCAAATAAGTTATGCTTGCAACAACATATTAATAATGTATTAACCTGCTGAAATAGTAACTTAAGATGTCTTTCACTCTCTCCAACCCACTTCTTCAGGCAGTCCGCCCCCTTCCTCATGAAGAATGCCACCTTCCTGCCACCCACCAAACTGCATTCATTCGCCAGCGCCCTTGCCAGCAATGTCTTGCCAGTGCCAGGCGGGCCGTGGAATAAAACGCCCTTGGCCGGCCGCGTCTTGAATTTGTTGAAGAGGTCCGGATACATTAGAGGAAATAGGACCATCTCGCGTAAGCACTTTATGTGCTCCTCCAGCCCACCGACCTGTGCAAAATAAAGACACTTAATTAATTAAAAGTTACAAAAATAGGAACTATGTCAGTGAGGGAGGTGAAAAATGTGACTTTACTGCTCAACTTAGATTTAACGCAGGAAATCTCATCATTTCCCTTTCCTTATAAAGGTACGAACGAAAGCAAAAGTTTTTAGGATAACAAAATAAGTTATAATTTATAAATAGATAGGAAAAAGAATTCTTTACATATTATAAAAAAAAAGTTAGCTAACCATATTGCTGCTTATTTTAATTTTCATTTTTATTTCATACTATTTATTTATTTATTACACTGACGCACACAACTATCATTACAGGCTGACCCAATGCGATAGTGTTGCCAAAAAATATAAAATAAAATAAAAACAAACAAAAAATAAAATCTAACAATTCCATAAAACCAATTATAATTTAAAAATTACTCACGGAAGTAAATCTGACGCTTCCATCAACTTCGACCGGCTGAATGTCTCTGAGCGCTCTGTCAGTCTTCTTATCGTCCATAGATTTCGACTTTTGCCTGAAACGTGAAATGCGACCTAATGTCATATGTACTACGGTTTGTTTTTGCGTAGTTTATTCAAAGAGAAAACGCAAACATTTTTCGCTCTTGTGCCTATTGCTTCGGAACGCGTAATCCGGAATGCGTAGGTTTGAATCCTGGCAGTAGCTATTTTGGGACAGTTTTATTTACAAATTTAAGTTCCATTAGGTGTCTAGCAGTGTAACACAGATTCGATTTTGCACAAATTTGCAGGTCCGTCCGGGTAAATACCACGACCTAACAGAAGATCGGCGTAGGTAGCATGGGCCCAGTTTATTATAAGGTGGCGACGCATGTACATGGGCGGCGGTTGTCACTCAGCATCAGATGAACCGCCAGCTAACTTGCCACATTCTCACATAAAAAAAAATCAATAAATTACAATAACATTTCAAGAAGATTAAAAGATTAAAAGACGACTGTTATGAGCTAGCGACGAGAGTCGCATATACTAAAGACTTGATTTTAACAGGTCAGATATGAACTGGCAAGAGGTTGTTATGTCATCAGATGCTTGAAAAACACACCTGCCCTTGGTCTTATTCTTCATGGAGACATTGAGGTCCTCCTCTGTGTCGGAACTGGATGTGCTGCTGCTACTACTGCTGGACGGTGATTGAGCTGAAATTGAAACAAATAAGTAATCCTCACTAGTCCTTACTAATATTATAAAGGCGAAAGTTTGTATGTATTGATGGATGTGTGTTACTCTTTCACGCAAATACTACTGAATGGATTTTAAAAAACTTCACAATTACATAGCTTATACATCAGAATAACACATAGGCTATAATTCATATATATATTTTTATGTATATCTGTCTTTCTATCTGAATGTTTCGCCTTCAGCCTATTCTACGCAGACGTAGTCGCGGGCAGCAGCTGGTAGAAGATAAAAATACATAAAAGACAAGTTCTTGCATCTTTAGTTCTATCGGAAAAAACAGTAATGTGTGTTTATATGCACCCACATACAGGGTGTTCGGGCCAAATAACCGAACACTATATGAACACGTATGGGTATACCTACACGATGCCAAAATAATTGTGATATAATGACAATGTACCACTAACTCGCGTGTCGGCCGGGTGCACCTAACATTACAGACTAAAAACACTATTTTAAAGGTTTGACCTTTAACTTACTTATATCATTTAAACATTAAGAACATTTTGCGAAATCTAAATAAGCTATTTTAATATCACTTAAACTTTGTAATTAATCTTACTACCGCCACACAGGGTACAAAAGACCCATCAATTCATCTGGTGATGAATCCAATTCCCTTGCCCCCATACTCATAAGATGGTGGGTCTCCAGTTACTTTATTCGTCAGCCGAAACACAAAAGTATTCACATTTTTGCTTGTTAAGTCTGTCTATCTGCCCTGTTTAGTGACTTATATACAGCGTGTCGTTACAACCGCGACAATAAATGAACACACATATAGAGGATAACTTTTTAAAATTATATTAAAAATTTACATTCTTTAAACATCAATATTCAATATTTACCGAGTTATTAAATTTTCCAAAACAAACAATTTTAGAACACCCTAGAACGGTAACGTTAAGTTCATTTGTAAAGATTACAAACCGTATGATTGTAATGAATGAATTTGAAAGAGATAAAACATCCAGTTAAAAGGAGATATTTGTAGTGCGACGCTGCGGCAACGAATGAAAAAGTATCTGAATGTATGAATCAGTCAGTTGTAGTTGTATAGGATGTAAAAAAAATGTTTCTTTTTTATTTAATTAGTTTGTTTGAAAAATATATTTTTTTTAAATATGTATTTTTTAACGTTTTATTTTTTTATGATTATTGGCAAGTAGCGTTAGACGTGTGTTAATTTATTGCGGTGGTAACGACACGCTGTATATCAGTACGGTAAATATGGAATTATTTACCGTATTAATACAGTGTCTTACTTAACCGGCGTGTGTCCCGCTACACGTCGGTGACGGGCTATTTTTAATATATATTCTAAATCAAATTTTCATAAAAATATTGTTAATTCCTATTTTTTTATCAAACAAATCGCATTTCACATAAAAAACTTACATCTGATAGTTTTCCTACGAAGAATTTTCGGCTTTCTTTCTCTTAAGCTGTATGGTTTTTTTCTTATTGTAAATGTTTTACCTGAAATATTTTAAATCATAATACATTTAAAGTTATTTTGGATGCCACATGTGAAAAATGAGCTCTATTGAAATGGTATTGTGATTCGAATTTGCAGTTACGATGATCCAAGTACATTACAGAGCTAGTAATACCAGACATAATTCTGCCATAATTACGATCATCTCCGCAGTATTTTGCAAACGGTACTTTCCCAATAGAGCCCCGGTCTACTGTGCGGTGGTACTTCTCCAGGCGAACCTGCCCATTCGAGCAACAGAAGCTGCTTCATAGCCCTACCGTAGAACAAAATTGAGTCGCTCGGCAATTGAGCAACAGAAATGGAGTCGATCAGCGATTGAGCAACGGAAATTGAGTCGCTGAGCAAATTGAGCAACGGAAATTGAGTCGCTCAGCGATTGAGCAACGGAAACTGAGTCGCTCAGCAAATTGAGCAACTGAAATTGAGTCGCTCAGCGATTGAGCAACGAGAAAGAGAATGCACTCGCCTCTGCCCCTGGTCTCTCTGGGCGCGATCTCAACGAATGCCGGCTTAGGTTTCCTCGTGCGCTTGGAGCGGCGGGGCTGCCTGCCGAGCGCCAGCTCGCTGCTGGTCTCCGACGACGAGGACTCCGATGCTGCGAATTTCCAATTGTACTGTGGGTTTGGACGACTCTGGCGCAGTTGCCAAGTTATTGGCTTCGGCGCCATGGGTCGTGGCTCCGATTCCCACACGAGACAACTATTCGTGTGACCCATGAATAATTGTTTAGGATAGGGTGTTTGTGTATGATGTTATCCTACGGTAAGGGACAATGTTTTCGAAGGGCAGACTACGATAGATTTTCTATTTTTTTTTTTTGGTGAACAGCAAATATTTTGCATAATTATGATCATTAATTTGATAAATATTTTATGGGAAGTTTTTAATGACGTAAATATTTTTGTATGATGAACATGATGACTTCTCAAGCTCAAGGGGGATGAGCGGAATCGGCGAACTTGGAGATTAAGATTCAAACTAACTATTTTTTCTGTTTTACTGACCCTACCTATTTTTTTTTTTGATTTGACAACTACTCGTATGGCCTCACATTGTGGGACCATGCATATTCTTATTTGCAACGAATTGTAAAGAACACGGTGGGCCAAATTTTTTTTTTATTTATTCACTCGAGCACTGGGCGCTAAACCAGAAGACGCAGGTTTGAATCCCGAAGCGTCGTAAGTTTTTGTGCATGTATCTACAAAAATTTACAATTTAAAGAATATCCTTTCATGAATTTCTTATTCGCAAATGATAATTCATTATATTTCATGTTTTCGAAATATTGTTGATGCATAGCGATATTGCTAAGTTGTATTTGGGTATTTTTGTATTTCGTGCCTCATATTATATTGTGTGCATGTATTTTCCGGCCATTTAGAATTGTTGACTATACTCAGTTGCAGCTTATAGGTACTATTTTGAACATTTTCACCTATTGTTTGTTAATGATTAATCATTGATTTACTACTTTAATCTTTTCTCGATCTTCGAGTTAAAATTATTTACCGCTTTAATCTTTTCTCACAAATTCCGAACATGACAATCCGCACAATTAAAGAGTTTTACAGAAACACTTAATTTTGTAAATAATAATAAAAATTATCTAAACATAAATGTATCAAAAAAACATGTCAAATTAAATTTTGACACAGTCTTTCAATGTTACGTCAGAAAAGGAACCATAGACATTAAATCAAAGAGTTTCAACTAATTTGGCACAATATCCTAATAGAGTTAAAAAAAATTAAAACTGAGCCTACAATATTTACGTCGAATAACCAGACTTGAGGAAAAAGATTGTTCAATTATATTTATATATATTATAACCCATTGTAGTTAATTAAAAGGGGATTTCTTTTTATTCAAAGGAGGCAAACGAGCAGATGGGTCGCCTGACACGGACACTCGAAACTCCAAAGGAGTTACAAATGCGTTGCTGGCTTTAAGTAAGGAATAGGCTCTCTTCTTGTAGGTCCCTAAGTAAAAGTTTAATAGTCAATAATTACATACATATAAATTCATTCGTGTTATTAGGAACATTGTCCTTTCAACCAGTATACATTTTTTTAAGTTATTAATGAAACGTTGGTGTCATTGAACTAAATTGGTACAGCAAAGAGGTTCGTTCATAACTAAAACGAAACCTCGTTACTATATACATATTTCTCAAAAAGTTGAACAGGTAAGTCAGCAATAAACCGCTATGAAGAAAAATTAAACTTAACACGGCGATAAATATAGATAGAAATACAAATCAATTTTCACCAGATTTTTGACGTTAAGTCAAAAGTCGTTAATATCAACTCCATGGGAAGCACCAGCTTTCAAATAAAAAAGAATCATCAAAATCCGTTTACTCAGTCGAAAGTTCTGAGGTAACAAACATAAAAAAAAAATACAGTCGAATCGAGAACCTCCTCCTTTTTTGATGTCGGTGAAAATAAATTACCAACATTTGCGCTTATTAACAAAATTTATCGCGCAAACATTATAAGTTGGGCCTGGGAGTTCTACGCATATACTGTCGAGCGCCAAAATCAGGTAATTACTTAATAAAACCAAGTAATAGCCCGAAGAATCTTCGGTGCAAACAACACAGTTAGCAATGCACGAGCGGGAGAGCAATACTCCCTGTCCCTCTCACCCCGCATGTACCGCCCCTATAATAACTAGAAACTGTACCGCACACTGATCTGGACATCAGAGACGGATACGAGTTTTGTGCGCTTAATACTACATTGAATTTCCTTAACGCTTTACTCACCAGTTTCATGTTGACTGTCTTCTTTCTTCTGCCTTCTGCCTCTACCTCTGGTGGATCGCGCCGGACCCTGATTACTGGAAACCAAAAATCTCATCATCACATATTTAAAGAACTTTATTTCTTTCTACTTCTTCCACCTAGGTTTGAAGCACCCTGATCCAGGAAAAATATTTGTGGGTAGTAGAAACATATGTCCCTAGTGAATCAAAGAATCGAAGCGCAGTCTCCCTAGAAGCCAATGCTTAGCAACTGCGGCACGAAGACATCAATCATCCTATCCTTCGAAGTTAGCAAAGCAGATGGAAAACTACGTATGTCTGTGTATCTCTACGTATAACTGTGGCACTCTTGCCAGCTCATATTCAATTAACTCTTTAAATAGTGATCTGTTTAATAAAAAAATAAACAAATTTTTTGTAGATAGATTAACAAAAGTAAGTTTTTGCGGCGCTTTGGGATTGATTTTGTTTCTAATCAGTTTTAATTTCGGATTCATTCAGATTTAGAATGTCTTTACTGAGAATTACATTTTAAACTTAGGTATGAACAAGAAATATATGAACTTGACGGTGGTAGGGCCACGCAACAGTGTTCGCTGTTGCACGAATGGGAAGGTCCGTCCGGGTAAGTACCACGACCTCACAGAAGACCGGCGTAAAGTAGAAGTGTTGCACTTCTGCGTTAAGTTTGGTGAGTGAGGTAGCCGGGGCCCACATTATTAAGGGGTGGCAACGCATCTGCAACCCTACGGGTGTTGCAAATGTCCATGGGCAGGCAGTTATCACTTAACATCAAGTAAACCGCCTGCTCGTTTGCCACTTTCTGACATAAAAAAAACCTTACCTCTCACTTTCTTGATTCTGATTCGACTGCTCAGGGTCACTTTTGACGGCTTCGACCTTTTGTATAATCACCCCTGTCTCCATCTCTTTGTTCTCCAATTTGGTTTCTTGTACCGGTTTCTTCTCTATCACAGTTTGGTTGTTTTCATCCTCTGATTCCGATTCAGTGGCATCCTGTCAACATATCAAAATAAATACAACGAACTTCGAACTACCCAGTTTATGTGAATATAATTAAACATCTGGTTTAAGCAAACGTTATAGAGCCGTGATAGCTCAGTGTCCGGGCGCTCGCCTTTAATTCAATATACTCGAGCAACCTGAGTTCGATCCCCGGTGCCGGCACCAATGAAGTTTTTAACTTTAAGTGCTGACTTATCACGTGCTCCGCGGTGAAGGAAAACACCGTGAGGAAACCTGCATATTTTCGAAATAATAACAAAAAAAAATATTTCGAAGACATGTGAAGTCCGCCAATCCGCAGTGGGGCCGCGTGGTGGACTATGCCCTGATACCCTCTGTATAGAGGAGGCCTTTGCCCAGCAGTGGGACATGTATAGGCTGTTACTTTACTTTTTTTTAAGCAAACTATGACATACCTTTTTGTTGTTGAATCTAGCTGAGGTTCTTCTTTGCCGCGACAGCTGAGTGTCCTCGTCCGTATTGGTTGGAATATGATTTGGTGTCTGAAAAGTATTTCATCATTAGAAAAATTATAGATTCTAACGTTTTTAACGCTAACGGAGCAGGTAGAGGTAACCATAAATACCTACTATCTAATACTGGGATTTTACACACCTTATCATTACATATGAAAAACGTTGCAGTTTTAATATGAAGAAAAAGAGAAACTTTTATTTCTATTATAAACGCTTTGAATACTTCCACTTTAACTATTAAAGTGGAGAATGAAATTGTTTCACGACGACATTATAAAATATTTTATAGTTTGGTGTTATATCCCACAATTGGGTATATGTCAAAACGATTATATCCAATTTTTTTTTGCCAAATTTTTTTGAACAATCTCACCTGAAGAGGACGACTTTTCAAATAATAGCGATTTTTACAGCGTTATCAAGAACTATAGCAAGAAGCACAGTAATTAATTATTTTCGTTGCATAGCTTATATAATATGTATGTCCCACTCCCGGGTAAACGCCATTTCTGTACAGAGGGTATTGGGGCATAGTTCACCACGCGACCCCACTATGGATTGGCGACGAATTTTTTTTTTGTTATATTTCTTCTTCGATATACCATTTTAAATAGCTCAAAATATTGTTAAATATTCTGCGTTAATCAAAAATAATTTAAATTGTGGAATTATTTAAAAGGCAAAAATTAAAAAAACCCTGATGACGTTTTTTGGCGACTGCTATCAATGATCTAATGCAATCCAGAAAATGTTGAATAGAATAATTGAGAACTAAGTTGAAATCATCACAAACCATCTTCTTATTTGCTACGGCCGCTTCATCGCCTGATGATGACTCGTCCGACGAACTTGAGCCCGGGAAGCCGTAGAGGTCCGGGTAGCCCTTTACTTTCAACTCGTTGGTGATCCAGCTCTCATTGAAATTGTGGTGGAGCAGCTTGCGTTTGCGACAACTTCTTCTCACATCTGAGAAAGAACCTTTAAGCTCACACATTACACCTACGATTAATAGAAACCAAAAAATTAAAAAAAAAAACTAATTGTGGTCAAGGAAATAAAACAAAACTATAATTGCAATTGAATTTAAAAAAAAACATGGAAAATGAAAAAACATGCAAAATAATTTTGAAATAAGAATAATTTGTATTTTATAAAGATTCCGCCAGTGGATGAATATGGCGTTCCGGGCACGGAACGAGAAGACGCAGGTTCGAATCCCGGAGCGCAGAAAGTTGGTGCTTATTTATCTACGACAATTTCCAATTTAAAAGTGGATGAATTTTTCATATTTTATAAAAATAACTTTATACATGTAAAACGAATTACGTATGAAAAAGGCGTTGCGTTGGGTGCCGTGAATGTTAACCAACGAGCAAAAGAAGAATCTAGGCGATATTTCGGGGGTTATCACGAAAAGTTGCACTGAAGAATTTTTGCCACGTTTCATGACCATCAACCTTTTGCAAACAGAAGTAAAACAGCCACCGATGACTGGAAACGACCCTCTTCACCGAGGCCGAAGAAATTCAAAGTGTCTGTCAGCAGGAAAGGTTATGGCATCAGTTTTTTGGTGTAATAATTACGCAGACAAAATAAGAAGATAGCGGCAGGCGAAAAGGGAGGAAAAAGAAAAAGGACTGCGAGCCGAAGTGCTGTCCATCAAGAGAAAGCACCGATTCGCAAGGCAAATATTGCGAGGGCTGCAATTCAGGAAACGGGTTTGGAACTGCTTAAACACTCGCCAGATTTATTTTCCAGATCTTAGTCAGTCTACCTCTTTCCTCGGGTGAAGAACACCTTAGTGTCAGAAATTTGAAGATAATAGCAAAGTGATGGCAGCTGTTGAGGCTTTTTGGGAATTTTTCTTCTAACGGTATTCTGGGTTTGTAAAAAAATGTTACAAAACATTATTTAGTTCGACGTTGGTTTCATTATCATTACCTCGTAAATAACACTTGAGTTGACTTTATAATGGGTTGTTAAATAAAGTCTGGGTCGGATGATTAAGACCAAACCGTGTAAATAAAAAGAGCAACAAAGGACCAACTCACTTTGCTGGATAGGCTTATCTTCACTGTAATTCTTCCTGGGGCCACGGCATCGCCGAATTTTCATGCTCCTATTCGTGGACTCATTGTCATCGGCAAAGAAAACTCGTACCTGACGAGACCTGCTTCAAAGAAATACAAAGAATGAGACTGAGTAATTAAATCTTATCCTTTAAACGAGCAATTCTTGTATATATATATATAGTACCCGGAGGACCGAGCTTTGCTCGGTTTGTTTTTTTTTTTGGTAAATCGTGTATTTTGGAAATTACATTTAGATACAAATAACTGAGTAATGAAATATGCATAATATTTTTCGATCTTACCGACGTAATAATAAGAAAATACGAACTGATGTTTTTCACAAAAGAAAGAACTTAAAAAAAAAGGGAAAAAATTACAAAATAACAAATAGACAAAAAATTAAAAATAAAGAAAGAAATGATCTGGAATCGAAAAAAAAGTTAAAATATAAATGTGTAAATGATCGTGACGCGAACCACGGCCGTCTGTTTTGGGGCCGCCCGATTACCGACCGAGCTATTATGACATTTTCCTCTCTTGCGGCGAAATTTACCGTCATATTCGAATGATATTTTTCATTCCCTGAAAACAGGGATAAAAGGACATTTTCTAAAAATGAAACCTAGCTAGATCGATTTTTCGCCCCCGAATCTACGCACATACTAAATTTCATGAAAATCGCTGGAGCCGTTTCCGAGATTCCGATTATATATATATATACAAGAATTGCTCGTTTAAAGGATAAGATATACATATATATTTCGGAGAATGAAGTAGATTTATTTCTTGTACGATATCGTTGCTGTCGATTATGTCGTTATTCATAAGAATCAGCGCGCACAACCGGCGCGGTCGATCGCCAGACGTTAGTGATGGTTAATTCACTTGGGTCGGACCGAACTACTGACTCAGGGATATGATCGTACGCCATTCACATTCGCTCGTTCACTCTTTCTTACAATATACACGGCGCTAGTAGTCGAAGAGTACTAAGAGTACATAGATGGAACCACTTATATGAAATAACATTATTTCGAAACTTCTCTCATATGTATATATATATGAGATATATATATATATATATATATATATATATATATATATATATATATATATATGAGATATATATATATATATATATATATATACATATGTATATACAGCGTGTCGTTACCATCGCGACAATAAATGAACACACATATAGGGGATAACTTTTTAAAGTTGTATTAAACATTTAAATTCTTTAAACATCAATATTTACAGAGTTATTAAAATTTCCAAAACAAAGAAATTTAGAACATCCTTACCTATAAAAGCAACGTAAAGTTCATTTGTAAAAGTCACAAAGCATATGAATGGGTTGAATGAATTTAAAAGAGACAAAACATACTGTTAGAAGGAGAGGCTTGTAATACGACGCTGTGGCGCGAGTTGTATAGGATGTTACAAATTTTGTTTCTTTTTTACTTAGTTTGTTTGAAGAATATTTTTTTTTTAATTATGGATTTTGTTTAACGTTAATATTTTTTTATGATTATTGGCAAGTAACGTTAGACGCGTGTCCATTTATTGTCGCGATGGTAACGACACGCTGTATAATCGGAATCTTGGAAACGGCTCCAGCGATTTTCATGAAATTTTGTATGTGCGTAGATTCGGGGGCGAAAAATCGATCTATGAAAAATATCATTCAAATACGACATAGTAAATTTCGCCGCAAGAAAAAATGGTTTACAGCTCGGTCGGTAATAGGCCGGCTCCAAAACGGCCGCGATTCGTATCACGATCATTTACACACTTATTTTTTTTACTTTTTTCCTATACCAGATCATTTCATTTATTTTTTATTTTTTTTATTTCCCATATACATGATTTACCAAAAAAAATCCCTCCTCCAGGTACTATTCCTAAAATTAGCAAACGTTCTTTTCGACTACAAAAAGACGACTTTGATTATAACTAAATATGTATAGGTTTTCACTTTTGAAACTGAGGTTTCTCATCCTAAATATTAAAACTCAATTTAATATTACATATATGTTATTTTTTACGAAAACTAATCTAAACTACGCAATAACGAATGTTTCTACAAAATTTATAAAATTTAAAAATACGAGAGAAGTTATTTGTTTAATTACTAAAGTAGAGATCGACACGATTAAAATTTAATACTCCAAATGTTTCTGTTTTTCATCATACCAACAGGCTTATTGCAGCCCACTTTTTTTAGGAAAAAACATTGCTCTTACTTTAGGATAACAGTATCTTATGTTGTACGGACGTTCTACATACATAAACTTCACGTGAACAAACACTCAGATGTTAAACAAATATCTGTGGGTCACACAAATACTTCTCCCGTGTGAAAATCAAACCCACGACCACCGACTTTGAAGCCAATACCTTGGCAGCTGCGCCACGGAGAACAGACTTCCAATTTTTTTTTCTTTAGCTATATGTGGCATAAGATATTAGACTGGGATTTGCCGTGTCCCGGAATAACATAGGTACCCCACGTTAGAACCGTTACCCAGTATAAACCCCTTTACTGTGTTTGTCGTATGAGACGGGGTTACGAAAATATGACGGTAACGCAATATTCTGCGAACACGACTAGACTGTAGCACTTTCAAACCTTATATCAATCTTATTGTGCTTGTGACATACTGGCCGTCCCTAGGTTAACAATTTTTTTGTTGGTATTCGACCAGACTTCGGAATGGAGCGTGGATCCCAACAACAACCAGCATTGGCATGACGTGGACACTTGGCATAATTTAAAACTAACCTCAATTAATAGGTCACAATAGGACCCTATTGAACGCATTGAGCACAGAGCGAATTGCCTCTCCATTAGAATTATTTCGTCAGCAAATATAAAAGTGTATGGAGTGATGTATTTGGTAGTGATGTTGATTCTCACCAGTTCAACAGCTTTAAAACATATTCCGTTGGATATATTTTAGATTTAATACCATTTGGATAAGCTTCCTTCTTTACTTCTGTAGTAGGATAGATATCTTAGGCATCTATAAGATCTCTTGATATCTCTAACCGTTTAGGTAAGGTTCGACATACCGAGACACCAGACAATAATAAATTGTCTATTGAGATTTATAAATTGTATTGATATATATAAATTGTAATATTCTTTCAACAGGTGAAAAGTATTCCCCGAGCCACCGTGGTTGTTGTTGATATAAAAGTTAGCAACTTCGGCTAGCTTTGAAAAATGAATGAATTGAAAAATGTCTTGAGATTCAATGAAGAGAATAATCCAATTACGTGTTAGTTTATTCTGAATACGAAGTATTCAACGTAGCGTTATTAAGTTTGCCGTAGGTAAGGTAACGAGTGAAAGTAAAACCCCAATATTTTTTCCTTAACAATATATTCATCAGTTTATACCGTCATAAAAAAACCTTCATCACTAGTAAATTTCTTTCCACGTACTTCTTTTTTCATGAAACAAGTAACAATTAGGAGCCAGATCTCAGCTATAAGGTTGGTGATTCTAAGTATCGAATGCCACCTTAATCAGCACACGCCCGCAAAACACGATTCTTAGGCCGTCTGGAATGTAATCTGCATGTGTTGGGTGTTGGTGCAAATTTGTTTACTGAATTGACTCTTTTAATGTCTTGACTCTTTTAATGACTTGAATTACTTGGACTCGGGTGCAGAACCGTAAACCCAAGTATCAATTTCACCCTATTCACGATCCTTGTCTTCAAGGGTGGATAGTATGGACGGGTATACCAATGGAAGCAAAAACCTTGTTGGTTTTCATCGAAATTGGAGGGAGGTTCATGTCATTCTTTACGCAGGCTTTATTACCACTGGACATTTTTCGTCCAATTACTGCAGCTTCCGTTCGGCAGTACATGCTGTAGGTCGAAATTGGGTGCATGAAGTCAACAACACGTGGTTCGGACTTAAATCTTATTGAGTATTAATCATAAAAAAAGTAAAGTAACCGCTTATATACATAACTAGCGACCCGCTTCGGCTTCGCATCCTCCTGAATCAATCTATCTAGTAAAAAAACCGCATCAATTAATTGCGTAGTTTTAAAGATCTTATCATACATAGTGACAAACAGACAGCGGGACGACTTTGTTTACTCCTCTCCTCTTGGAAAGAAACAGAAATCTTGGAAAGATACCGTTATACCCATTAGAACCTCGGTGGCAACCGTCGTTATATTGGGAGGGGATGCCCTACAGAACGCAGCGGTGCCCCCCCATACTGCGCAAAAAGTTGCACGCTTCGGGGAAGAATAAACCATCCCCTAATTGCATCACCGCTTTGAGATCACTTTTTGTTGCCGCCCCTATCTTGTTCACTTTGGTATACATTTGGTATATCAGAGAGAAGAGAGTAGTTTTAAGTTTAGTACCAACTCGTACGCGCCGTATTTACAACATTGTGTGCATAATGTGAAAGATATAGTTGAAAGTTCACTTAGACAAGGTATCTACTGCCAATCCTTTAGGGCACATCAAAGTAGAATTAATGCAATTGAATACCAATCCCTTATACTGAAAACTGCTGCCATGAAGTTTTTACTGCTGTGAGCACTAACTGACCAAAGATATACATTTGCAGACTACTGTCTGACCTAAATGGCATTTAATTAATTAAACATTATATCGAGGTAAATAAAATTAGAAGTATCAACATGTATCACATAAGGAAAGTTTTCCTTTAAATGAAATTTAAATATATCCTGTTGCCTTGAAATTATAACAATATGAATGGATGCATATTGTTATAATTTCTAAATAATATTGACAGATTCGAATAAATTTGCAATGTAACAGATGCAAACACTGCTGTTTTATATTTAACCTAGGATCTACATTTAAGTATGTTGTAAAAAAAATGTAACATGGTCTTAGTTGACATGCAAAATGCATTCCAACATGATAAGAATTTTGCGTATTAGGAAATTTGGCAGAATTCTGCTGTAATCTCTTTACATGTATTGGGAAAATTTTTAGAACAGTATGGTCCATATATCCACAAAAACAAAGCATTCTAAACCGGTTTATTGGTAATGTTCATGTTTAATTATAAGGTGCTAGTAAGCACTTTGGTTCCCAATGAAATAAAAATGTTGCAGATGCAGATAGTAGTTACAACATTAAAAAATTTAACCTAATGTATTTATAACATTTTATTTTATGTTTTTAATTAGATGATTATAATATTTACATATACAATAAAAAGCAGCTTATAAAATAGTATTTTCATAATTCTATATAGTAATTTCATAATTGGTATACAGAAAATACAGAAATTTAAGAACTCACCTCCTTGAGTACTTCTCTGGCTCAGTGTCACTTTCTGGAAATACAATTTGTGGCATTCTAATTCTTCTGAGCCTACTTCGACTATCTGAAAGATATAAAAACAATTGTATTAGTATGAAAGCACAAAAACAAAAAAGATATATATTTGAAAAATATGCATCAAGTATCTATCAATTCTTAAACTTATTCAACATGAAAATAATAGATAATCTCAAACAATATTAATTCCTATGGCTTAAGGCTATGCCTTTAAAAAAGAGAAAGTTTCATATTCTAAATCATTTCTGCATGTACATAATCAAAAAACCAAAGTATGCAAAAGTGCAGTATCGGGGGCTCAAATATGCTACATAAAACTATTTAGGGATCCAGCCACAGATCAATATAATACAAAGGGTTGACTCACGTTTCGTAGGCCACCGCTGGATCTTTCTTTTAACTTTATATTGACTACTCCTAAGCTCACGTGGGGACCAATTGGGTGCCTGTGGTAAAAAAATCTGTTTAAAAATACAGACATTTATTGAATACAAGACATTTATCATTGATTACAAAAAACAATGCTGATTTTGATATTGTAATACATGCACAATTATCAGCATAACTTATATTAATATTTTGCGTTTTTTCTTTACACAAATCACAAATCATTACTAATAAATAAATAGTCATAACAATATATGCTATCTACATTTAAAAATTATCAGAATATAGCAAAAAATATCATCTGGAAAGAAAGCATAGAAAGCCCATGCAATGCAATTACAACCGATGCAAGTACGTGCGTCCGCGACTAGTACCTAAACTGAGAGGAAAACGGGGACAGGAAGTTGACTTACAAAGGGTCAACCAAACAAAGCAATCGTGCAAATAGTTCATTATCATTACAATATCATTCTAGAGTGTTCACCTTCACATCAGAGACGCTGGCAACGTCGTTTAAAGCGTAACTCCCTTCCTCAACCTCCCCATTCTCTCCATTACTGCGTCGGGTTTTCACCATTGCAGTGATGTCTATATGTCGTAATAATACGTTCAAGCCCTCAATAAGCTTATGTAACAAACGTGAAGAGTTATGTAAAATGAAAACACAAGAACGTAAATCGTCTTAACACTCCTAACTAGAACTAAAACGACAAAGGGCGAACGTTATCGTCCGCACATGTCGTTACAGAACGCCATGTTAATCAGAAAGCCGTGTAGTCCCTGCTCTCACGATAATTTTATTAAATTTGAACTCAACCAAAACATCATTTCGTACTTGCTTACCTCACTTTTCTTAAAATTAATGTTTAACACAAATATGTTTTTTTTTAACTTAATAATCGATGATGGTTTCAAAATGAATCCACACTCACTGTTTTTATTGACAAGTGTCAAAAATTCCCGCAAATTTGACATTTTTCTGAAATGTTTGGATACCTTCACGTGAATTTGAAATTGTAAGAAAGAAACCGTAATTCTATAAAAAGATCATTTAAAAAATCAAAGTATTTATGAATGTTTCATAAATATTGAAATCTAATATTTACAAGATTAAATCTATTTAAATTACATATTATCTAATAATTAATCCACGCGGCATGGTGCCAAGAACAAGAACGCTAGCTGCATTTTTTTTTTATGTGAAAAGTTGCCAAGCGAGCAGACGGTTCACCTGATGTAAAATGAATACCGCTGCCCATGGACATCCGCTACACCCGTGGGTTGTAGATGCATTAACAACCTTTTGAAAATTGGGCTCCGGCTACCTCACTCACCAGACGAAACGTGAAAGTATCATACTCCCACTTTACACCGGTCTTCTGTGAGATCGTGGTACTTACCCGGATGAGCCTGCCCATTCGTGCAACGGCCGAGGCTGCTGCGTGGCCCTACCACAGTTAAAATTCCTGCAATTCCATTTCCTCACCTCGCTGAATAGTTAAGCTTAACCTTTGAGCGAGAAAAGAACCAGCTCTCTTGTCACCAGCCATGGCGTTAAGCCTAGGACATATACTTTTAAAAATTTTTGTTGTTGGACACTTTAGGACCACGGACCTAAGGTTTCAACAGCAAATGGCACCAATAGATAATCTAAACATATAGTTTCCCATTTGCACCATTTACTTACTTCCGAAGCCTCCGATGCCGCCCCAGCCCTGACCGAAGTACCCCTTATAAACGAAGTAAAATATACTTTATTGTACACCATAGAAACATTACAGTATTTATAATTAAAAAAACACACGGGTACAACAGGCGGCCTTATCGCTTAAACAGCGATCTCTTCCAGGCAACTTAGGGCAGAGAAATTCATTAAAAGTGGCAGGGTTGTACTAAATAAATATTAAGAAAAATAGCTGCATATAAATACATAATATTATAAACATATAACCTGTTGCCGCCATATCATACTAATTTGAATATTCCCGCATTAAGATGTCAATTACATTGACAAATCATACTTCCTTTAAATCCTTCATTTCATTCGTTCGCAACCGGCACTGTCCGTTCAAACCGCACGCACGATGGACAATTATATAGTGTAACCGCTCGCCTTTAACACCGCATCAACGCTTCTTCTACTTTAAATTATTAACTTTATAAATCACGGCCGTGAATGTGTAAATCTGTGTAACTGTACATGACTTATAATCCGAGTGCCTCGCTGACTGAAGCCGATAGAAGATTCGTCGCTGGAAGCCTCCAGGTCAGTGCGTGCTCCATGATTCGTCTGCCGGTTGCAAATTAAATCCTAACTAATCCCGCATATACAGTCCACTTTTATCGAAATAAACCTAATTCCGCACCATTTTTTTTGACCACTTCGCCCGGATTGCATTATTTCCTTCATCCGCATATCCCAAAGCATATTTCACGACGTGATTTCTCGCCTCATTCTATATATTCCTTCACGCATTCATACATTCAATATTATTTTTTATATATTCACGCATTCTTACGCCTATAACGAAATATTAGAAATAAAATATTATAAAACAATATTTTATATACTATCCCGCATCCCGCATTATATATATATATTATTTAAACCCGCTCGTATACATATTACCATTATAAAAATACAATATCATTAGTATTATATACCGCAATACAATACAATTACTTGGTTCGTTCGAACGCAAGCGCAACTAGATAGTTTTATTGATCTACCTCCATTGTCGCAATTTAAAAATGCTCGCATCGCTTTAACGCAAATTTCGATTCATAATTTGTTTTTGGATATTAAACTTCTATAGAAATATATTCAATATTGTATACGTTATTTATTAAAATGTCAACATCAAAAAATAAATCAGAAACGCCAGATTCTAAATTAAAAATGTTACTGAATATAGCTTTGGCCAGACGCGATTCTTTATTTAGCCGCTTACAAACAATTTACGATCGTTCTCAACAAGTGGAGAATGAGGAGGACATAGAGGAGTTCCTTCTGGCGCGACTTCTATTGACGCATTACGCAGTGATTTCGAAAAGGTGTTGACCGATTACAATTTGTATAATATGCAAGTTTACCCAGGGGCTCAGGTGGAATATCAGTCATGGGTTGCATTCGAAGAATTGTATTGTCATATTAAGCGTGTAATGTCTCGTCTTACTAGTCAAAGTACTAACGACAATAATCCGCAAGCATCGCTAAAGTCGCGACCATCATTACCGCCTATAGAACTCGTGTCATTCGATGGAGATATACGCTCGTGGCCTTTATTCTACGCAAGCTTTAAATCCAATGTGCATGATAATTCATCCCTGTCCGACGCTGATAAACTATATTACTTGTTGGGTAAATTATCCGTAAAAAACGCAGTCTGTTTTCGCCGGTATAACTCCTTGCGCCGAGAACTATAGACTTATTTTAAATGCGCTCATAGATAAGTACGATGATAAACGTATGCTTGCGTCGACTTATATTAATCAGATTTTCGACTTTAAGCCAATTTCTACCGCTACCGCTCGAAATTTAGAAATGTTTCTAGATACTTTTGTAACCGCCGTAAACGCATTAAAAAATTTACATCTTCCCGATCTAACTGATTTTATTATATTGCATACCGCGTTAAAAAAGTTAGATCATGAAACGGTTCGTTGTTTCGAAATGCATTCTCGCAAAGAAAAAATTCCGCAATTTAATAATTTAACCGATTACGTAAAGGAACAAACTAATATATTACAACGTTCTCATCTGTCGAATTCGAGTTCGACCGCGAATTCGAACCCGAAAAATCGACCTACCGCAAAATTTCCGCAACTTCAATCTTACGTTTCCGTGATCGATACATATAAATGTTTGTGTAAAGATATAGTGCACGATCATTTATACAAATGTCCTACATTTTGTAAAATGACAACGAATGATCGTTTTAAATGCACAAAAGAACGTAACGCTTGTGTTAATTGTTTGAGTGTTAAACATAAGGCAGGGACTTGTAATTCTAGTTCTAGATGTAAAACTTGCCAGGGTAAGCATCATAGCTTATTGCACTTTGACAATGTCAAACCTACTGCCGCTCACGTTGTAAACACCGCCGCGCCGCGGTCATCGGGAACGGAGCGCGCGCCGGCTACTTCATGCCTCGCTCCTACATCGCCACAGCCGTCGCCCGTTGTGCGTAATGACAGTGTGTCGTTGTGTACTACGTCCAATGCTGCGCCGCTATCGACACGCTCTTATTTATCCGAAGATTTGTTCGCGCGCAATGTAAATACTACAGTTTTGTTAGCCACTGCGACCGTTGTTGTACAAGATATGCATGGCATAAAACATAGTGTGCGCTGTTTATTGGATAGCGCTTCGCAGAGTAATTTTATAACGCTCGAATGTTGTAATCGATTAAGTTTGTCGGTGAATAATTATAACATTAAGGTAAAAGGTATTGGCGGTTCCGAAAAATACGCTAAAGGAATTGTTGAGTTCCAGTTTGCCTCGCGTTTTAATGATGACTTAAAATATAAAATTTCTTCACTCGTAGTCGACCGAATAACAGATAACTTGCCTTCTACGCCTGTTGACATTTCCGCTTTGCCATTCTTACAAGGTTTGCCGCTAGCCGATGATAAGTTCTTTAACCCATCACAGATAGATGTTCTGATTGGCGCATCCTTGTTCTCGCGACTTTTACTACCCGGTATAATACAAGATAATTCCGCTATTCCGCCCGCTATACAAACCACGCTTGGTTATGTGATTATGGGCACTGTGCCCTCTCTTCCCGCCCGCGAAAACGTAACAGTGTCGTATTGTACTACTACGGCCGAACCCGCAGATCAAGACCCGCTTGACATACTTATGAAAAAATTCTGTCAGATTGACGAATCTCCTTTAGGGGCTGAGCTCACCCATACACAAGATGATATAGAGTGCGAATATTTTTTTCGTGAAACCACTGAACGCGAAAACGATTCAGGCAGATATATTGTTTCGTTACCTTTTCGTGATGACATATTTTCGCTTGGCGATACCTACGAAACCGCCCGAAAGCGTTTTATGAGCTTGGAAAGGAAGTTTGCAGGCTCTCCTGAGTTCAAGGCTGCATACGACGCCGTTATCCATGAAAACCTGGAGAAAGGCTATCTGTCACCCGCGCCACTCGTTGACTCTGGCAACCGCTATCCCGTGTACGTCATTCCACACCACGGTGTAATCCGCGCTGATAAAACCACTACTAAACTCCGCATGGTTCTTGACGCAAGTCATAAATCAAGTTCAAGGCTTTCGCTGAATGATATTCTCCATAGTGGTCCTAACTTGCAAGGTGATCTGTTTGCGATTATTTTAAATTTTCGTCTTTTCGCTACCGCACTCTCCGCTGATTGCAAACAGATGTTCCTTCAAATAATAATGAATAAACGCGATCGCCGCTTTCAAAGAATTTTATATCGTTTTCAACCGCAAGATGAACTCACCGCTTATGAATTTAATAGGGTTTGTTTTGGACTACGGTCCAGCCCATACCACGCGCTCCGTGTTATTCAGCAACTAATTGAAGACGACGGAGATTCGTACCCGCTAGCAAAGTTAATTGCTTCTCGCTATATTTATATGGACGATATCGTTTTTAGTTTAATGTCTGAAGAGCAAGCTATAACAGCTGCTAATCAGCTAATTAATTTATTTAAACGCGCTCAATTCGATTTGGTTAAATGGACTAGTAATTCCGCCACAGTCTTAAGTACACTGCCTTCGTCACATAAGGCAACCGAACCAATAGAATTTGATAGAACCGCACAGCTTAAAATTTTAGGTTTGAGTTGGTCTAAATCTCATGATTGTTTTGAATTTAAAATTACCGCGCCTGACAATAAATGTTCGAAACGGGTTATTCTAGCCACTGTAGCTAAAATATGGGACATAATGGGTTTCGTAGCACCTGTTGTGCTCTTCGCTAAACTGCTCATCAAAGATCTGTGGATGTTGAAAATTGATTGGGACGAATGCCCGCCGCAACATATTGGCGAGATTTGGAGAAGGTTCACCCCGTCTAAGGACAATATAATTCGCGTCGCTACGGTAAAAACTGCAAGAGGTACACTTATTCGACCTGTAGTTCGATTGTGTCCTTTGCCTTCACAATAATATTACTTTACTTAACCGCTTATTAAACTCCTGTTACTGTATATTTATTTATTCTATATTTATTCATATTATTTACATACGCATAAACTTATGTCCATTTATTTATACTATTCCTTTTAAAGGTGACCCTTTAAGGGCGGGGGAAATGTTGCCGCCATATCATACTAATTTGAATATTCCCGCATTAAGATGTCAATTACATTGACAAATCATACTTCCTTTAAATCCTTCATTTCATTCGTTCGCAACCGGCACTGTCCGTTCAAACCGCACGCACGATGGACAATTATATAGTGTAACCGCTCGCCTTTAACACCGCATCAACGCTTCTTCTACTTTAAATTATTAACTTTATAAATCACGGCCGTGAATGTGTAAATCTGTGTAACTGTACATGACTTATAATCCGAGTGCCTCGCTGACTGAAGCCGATAGAAGATTCGTCGCTGGAAGCCTCCAGGTCAGTGCGTGCTCCATGATTCGTCTGCCGGTTGCAAATTAAATCCTAACTAATCCCGCATATACAGTCCACTTTTATCGAAATAAACCTAATTCCGCACCATAACCAGAAAATAATATATAATGGACGACAGATAGAAGATTAAGAGGAAAGGTAATGAAATTTTAATTTAGTTTTAAAAATGTTAAGAGATTTAGATTTTTTAATATCTAAAGGAGAGAAGAGAATTCCAAAGACGTATAGCAGTAGCAGTAAAAGAATTAAAATAAAAGTTATACTTCTTTAGCGTAACAAAAAAAATTAAAAGTTTTATTCCCTATACCATATTATAACGGTTAATGCTATTGATAACGGTTATAAATAAGATATACAATTTATATGGAACATGTACAACATTAAATCTATCTAAATTATATGTTTTGTAATAAAATATTATTAGTTATAATTTGGAATTATAGGTAAATGTCTAAAAGTTGGTATTGGTTGCCAACTCAATACCTTGAGATTGGTCGAGGTCTGTCTGTGTGCGAGAACAACATAAACCCTTTCTCTCAAAAACTTAAACTGAAAAAAAAAAAAACATTCTCCCATTTTTTTCCAAACACGCCAAAAAATATAACTTCAAAAAACAATAGAAAACCAAAACGTGGTGATTACATTCTCTTTGTAGAAAACATCGTTCAAGAAAAACGGTGTCTCACAAATTTTCATTTCTTATACCCTTTTTTATTTTTATACAATCACAAAAAAATATAGCAGATTTGCTATTTTCGTTTGACAATAAGCGATAAGTGAATTTTATCCTTTTTGCCCCGGAGAATTGTATTGAGACAAGAAGGAAAATTCAAACAGCTTGTAACTAAAACATTTTATGTGAACTGTCAAAACATACAACATACACGTCTGAAGTTTTTAAATAATGTGAAAGTCTTGGCCTCTATGTCCTTGATAAATCCATAAAATCCAAAAAAAAAATCCAAAGTCAAACATATATTGTTGTGTATGTGTCAGATATCTCTAAGTACTCTTTGGTATCAGTCTGGCAAAACTAGGAACAAAAAAATGTTTCTATGGACTTTACGCGGCAAATAATGGCGGACATTGCTATCACTCGCCCTCAATGCGATTTCTCTTTCTTGCAATACAAGAAGTGTCATGTTGTTTGTCAAAACTTAATTTTGCACCGCGTATTTTGAAAGTAAATGCTTATTTCATTGTAAATTTAAATTGTTTAGAGTAAACTTTCTCACGAAAAGTAGTGACAGGTGATCAGAGTTGTACTTTTAATTGAAACTCGCTGAAAATCGAGCAAGTCAATCGAACCTTGAATAAAGGATGTTTATGGCGAGATTTCCCTTAGATGAAGCCCAAGTAAGCACTTAAATATGATACTTTGCAGCCATATGTAAGTAGAGCAGGCTAAGAACAAATAAAATTAACAAATTTATCTCATTTAAATTGTGTGCTAGTGATGTGCTGCAACTGTAATATCCAAATATCGATAACTACGTTTATGTTAATGATCAATAAATGGATCGGAATAGGTGAATTTTGCAGGATTTTGAAACAATCTCTGTAATATTGATACGTCATATAATTAATTTCGTGCGCTGAGTATACAAGAAAACTAAAATAACTTTTGGATTTTGATTCTATTTGTATGTTTCAATTATTTCCAGACTCGTGTACAGCAGGACAACAGCTGTTGACTGAAGAATCAAGAGACAATAAATAAATTTCATTTCAGTAATAAAATTTTATTTAAATTATCAGAAACCGTTTTTTATCTTATTTCGGCTGCGCATTTAAGTCCAATTTTGTATTAGTACCAAACATCCCCTCATCAACATTGGACATAAATACGGACTCGATACTTACCTAAAATTAATAAAAAAAATATTAAGTGGAAACCTCGCTTTCTACCTAGTATATTTTATCGATATCGATAAGAAGCTAAGCTAGCTTGGTACTCCTGTTGTTTGACATCTTTGTGGTATTTTTGTAGTATGGTTGGTATTGGAGTGCCGCGTAAACTGATATTTTTGGCTAGTATGGAAGTCCCGTCTCTTAAACGTAGTGATTACATTCTCTTTGTTTGGTATGTGTATTTTGTATAAAACATCAGAGAAAAAAGGAAAATGAAAACTGGACTTAAGACATAGAAGGCAATTACCAAAATAATAGGAGTAATACCAATAAATATTTTTTTATAGTCAAACAAAAAAATCAGAAATATTCTATAATGACTGAAAACACCAACGCAGCATTAACGCCCATACAGACGGAACAAAATATTGGAGACAGCCAATCTTCCAAACAACAAGATGTTGATATGGATGAAGAGGTATCTGCCCGGATGACGGCGTCATATAGTGAAATATCTTTTAATTCGGATCATGACCAAGGCAACGATGAGCAAAGGCGCGCTGGACCCTCGAGACCATATGATTTACCCTCTGAAAATCGAAGGCAAGATAAGCTTCCCCTAGATATTGGTGGACATGTTCGGTATGAAGGTGATATGACACATTATGTTGCTGATGATTTAGAATTTAAAATTAAATTGTCTAGTCCAATTGCTAAACGGGGTGAAACTCCTGTCTTTGGCAGCTCCAGTGTGTCTCGGTCCAGTACTCCTTCAGGTAAACTGTATAGACAAATTTTAGCACCACAGATAGGTCAAATTGATATAACTGTATTGAATGATCTTGAGTATGAAGCTCAGAAAATAGCTCAATCAGTTGATAACTTGATAGAGAACTTGTCAAATATTTTACATGCTAACTCCTCCTTAACTGCTGAAAATATGGATGTTTATAAAGATGCAGTGGGGAAAACTTGTGATGCAATGGATAACAATATAAAAAGTATGTATACTATTTTGGCAAAAGGAGAAGAAGTTTCTCAAGCAATGGTCTCAGTGCAGGCGCAGGCTGCTAGGATAGCTGAGATTAAGAGTATGCTACAAATTTTTGAAAATAATTTTTAATTTGGTTGATTAATTTTATTTATATTTTGTAAAGTAATAAATATAAGTCCCCTTGTTTTAATTTCTGTAAAAAAGTCATTAAAAGTTCTTCCTTTACTGTTTTATTTTTTCAGTGCATCCATCTTTATTTATTAAAATTATTATGTTGACGACCTGATAGGTATAGTGAATACAGAACCTGTCCCTTGCGAAAAATTTTTTTTGAAGAACATAGTGTTTTTCTAGTTTCAGTGTATTTATATATCTATACTACATATTAATATATTAAGTAGAAGTGTGTTTAATTATTTTATCTTTTAATAACATTGTGTAAAAATATGTCTACAAAATATTAATTTTATTATCGTAGTTGAAACTAGGAGTACTACCCGTTTTTTGAGAATGGACAGTTGCCCAACTTTACCCATTTTTGATTCTTCATTATAAATTTTTTATTCTCAAATTTTTTATTTGTGTCATGCATCACTTTCAGCACACAAATATATCTGAATTATTATTTAACTGAAGGAAAATTATTAATTTAAGTATGAAATAAAGACTTTAACAATAGAAAAAACTTATAGTTAAAATAGACACCTCGGAGAATATTTAAAGAGAGGGCATTTATTTTGATGAACTCCTTTTTCAACCGACTTCAAAAAAGGAGGAGGTTCTCAATTCCACTGTATTATTTTTTATGTTTGTTACCTCAGAACTTTCGACTGAGTGAACCGATTTTGATGGTTCTTTTTTTATTTGAAAGCTGGTGCTTCTCATGTTGTCCCATTTTAATATCATTAGTATTGGATCTTGGGTTCCGGAGATACTTAGGGAACTCCTAGAAATAATTATAAAATGAATATAGAGCGAGATATTTCAAGTCTGTTTTCTTTTTCGTTAATAACAAAATGGACTTGTTTTCTAATGTTCATAAGATCTTCTGTATTCGAATGTCGTCATATAGCGCCATCTCATAAAGTTATGAATTAGGTTATATGAAATAATAACAACGCAAGTACTTCAAAAATACACATGATGGCGTTTTATAGTTGTAATGAACCGAGATATACAAAATAAAATTTTGTATATCTCGTTCATTAAATTAAGTCGGTTTTGTTTTTCTTTAATATAAGTTACACAAATTTATTTATTAGGTAAATTTTAATACATTAACATTATTTTGATTTTCATTTCCTGAAACTGAAAATACAATTTATATACGTAACGGTTTCTTGGATTAGAATATATATATATATGGAGGATAAAGACCACCCATGAATTGTAAAGTTATGATGAAAAAGTTATTACTTTTATCATTAGTTTTTATTTTTGGATTTTATGGCCCGGTTTCAAGGAACTTTAGGCCAATTATTAGTTATTACTAAAACTGATAGTAGAAGTAATACAAAATAAATTATATTTTTTATCTGTACCAAAGCTATAGTGCCGTGCTGTTTGACATATGATAATGATGCTCTGGCCTAAAGGTCCTTGATACCGGACCATAAAATCCAAAAAAAAAAAAATATGCTCTATGTATAGATATACAAACAACAACGATTTTATTGACTTTGACAGTTCAGTTTAGTCTTTTGCCATGAACGTTGGGGAGTTAGTTGGGGTAGCTAGAACATAAGGTTTTCTCATAATGTTTTACAGAAAATTTAAGTTCAGTTACTGCAATGACTGTTAAGGTCATTAAAAAATTATACGTAATGTTTTTGGTCTCATGACCATTTAACATTTAACTACCATTGCATTAGAACGTACGGCATGGGTGACGTTGTAAGCTTATTCTCTGTGATAATAATGAAACTCAAATCAAAGTTCAATCAGAGTAAAATTTATTTTCATTATGATCTGCCCTGGGAAAAGCTCAAGTCTGTGAAATGGATGAACGAGAGAGCCACAGCCAACAAAGCCTATGTACCGACGACGGTAAGAAAATAATACTTAATTCGATTAAATTTTTTGGATATTATCACACGCTAAATCTCATCGATTTTTCATGTAAAAATAAAGATTTCTTTATGATTTGTCGTGTACTTTGTTATTGTGAAGTGTAAATATTACACTTTCGCATTCTGTTCCGTGGCCCAGGGCACGGAACAGAATACTTTTTATAAAAATTGTCAACGCATTTGTAAGCCCTTATTCATAGTGGCGGTCTATGGGGGCCTATTTTAAGCAGTGGATTCAAACAGCATGAAATGATAATGATGATGACTCAAATGTGAAATAAATAATATTCAAAGTAGTGCTTCATGTTTGGATTTTTTTGTATAATTTGTTAAACTGTTTCACACATTGATTGATGAACTTCCTTATTAATTTTCTAATTATCTATTAAATATACATTTTGAAGGTATCAAAATGTTAGCTATAAATCTTCTTGAATGATATAATAGCTCCATGGATTTTAGTAGAGAATAAAACAAAAAAATTGCTATGTTTGTTAATAAACATTGCTCTTTCAAAGATAAAAATAGCGGGCTTGCTCTATGCAGGAGAGTCTTCTATTGCCATAGACTAAGGCTTAACCACATTACATTGAACTTTAATTTAAGAAAATGTTAAAGAGTAGGTACTATTAGAGTCATATTTGCTCAGTGTCTTGCCACTCGCTAATAATTCAGTACACTCAATTGACCTCAATTCAATAAAAATTAAAATATTCATTGCAGCTGAAATTACTTTCAACATTTTTTGGGTATTTAATATAGTGCAAACTCTTTAAACTAAATCTCTCTGAGGTACACCTTGATTGTGTTGCTATGCTTAGTCCATTTCACTAAGACTTGGAAATATACTGTTTTTCAAAAGGACATATTGTTACAAAAAAATGGCCTCCAATTAATTTTATCATAATTGACATTAAGGTCAGATGTAGATAAAAAAAATATCTTTTGAAGTGTCGAAAATAGGAATGATTTTCTTATATATTTCTTTCTGAAATCATTTTTTTTATTCCCTTAAATCAGACTTAGTATCCAAATATGGGTTTTCATTTTATGAAATTGATCTAACATTTGTATACATATCATCAATATACTGGATAACTATTGGTGGGAATAGATTTCAATGTTTATATATAAATACCTAATACATAAAAGTTGTTTTTTTTATGTGAGGAGGTGGCAAACGAGCTGGCGGTTCGCCTGATGTTAAGTGATAACCTCCTGCTCATGGACATTTGCAAAACCCGTAGGCTTGCAGATGCGTTGCCCCCTCTTAATAATGTGGGCCCCGGCTACCTCACTCACCAGACAAAATGCAGAAGTGCAACACTTCTACTTTACGCCGGTCTTATGTGATGTCGTGGTACTAACCCGGACGGGCCTGCACATCCGTGCAACACTGTTGCGGCGTTAAATTTATAAACCTACACCCTACAAATTTGTATATTGTTTATACTTCTGTCTTATGGACTGACTGACCCATCGTCGGACTGAAATCCTTCCAGGTTCTATGGTAAGGCATTGTATGTACTAGCTGGTGAGTTGTCTGTTCCCTTGCAGGTCGAAAATGTAGCGAACGTCTGCACACACGCACTTTGCGTGGCCCCCGCTTCATTCGGTGCTCGCGAGTTGCTCACTCGCTCGGCGAACGCCCCCCAAGCGATTGCCGCCGTCGTGTACGGCCTGGCACTATGCCTGCTGTTCGCCGTCTCGACCACCTTCCACTCAGTGTGCTGCTGTCGATCTGACACGTAAGTTACCTTCGTCCTTTCGACTTCTCAAGGTTTCATCTTCTATCAGAAGTTGAGTGAGTTAACTTCGCTAACACAAACGTTCATTGACATATTATAGTAACATAGGTATATTATAATCATCTACACAGTTTACAAAGGCTACACAACGCAGCAGTTTCTGCTGTATGAATGGACGGGCCATTAAGTACATTGGGCAAATCTAAGTCCGATGTGAAATTGGAAATGTTTAACGCTTTAACGTTTATTCCACTGAATGAGGTAACTGGGGGTTCTCAATGTTACAACCTACTTGTGGAAACAGTTCAAGACAGCGGTCTTTCTGGACCGACACGACCTAGGAACCTTCAAGAAGAGAGCCTATTCCTAACTCAAACGCTGGCTGGCAAAGCATTTGTGACTCCTCTGGTATTGCAAGTGCCTATGGGCGGCGGTGAAGGCTTCCTTTTCCATACAAATAAAATTAAAGTTTGCCAGAACACCCGCAACCCTAACAGCGTTGTGGACGTGATGTGTTATGTTCGCCAATCATTTAGCGCTCGGTGATCCGCTCGCTCCTATATCACCTTCTTTTTTTAGAGACTGTTCACGATTACTAAAATTGCCTCATAAGGTTTCCCGCATAATCTATCGTTCAATATCCTTGTTACGGCTATTTTTTTTAAATAACAATAACAGATATGTGTATAGACGAAGAAGCCGGGGGATATAGTCCTATATCTCTTGGTGATCCGTGGTGTGATTTTTTTATCTATAGACCGTTAAATTTTTAAGGCGACTGGGTAAAATAAAGAAAACAAACCAAGATAAACGGAACCTCCGCTTATGGCTAATATAAGCTGTACACTGCAAACCCTTTTTTTAGTATTTGTACACCATATAATTATCAATTTGTTTTTTTATTTTTATAAAGTATTGTGTCTCTATAAAAAAATAAAAAAGGCTCTGGATTACCCCTAGAACTGTTTGTAGCCTCCACGGAAGAGTTATTGTATAAATAAGTTGGTCTAGAAATTTTGCATGTCTACGTCTAGCTCCAACAATGGCATGACCAAATTGGAACCACAGAATTCTGATGATCGATTTCATAAAATTGACCCATTGCCGTAGAGCTATTGAAGATCTGACAGTTACCATTATTCAAGCAAAGCCCTATGTTTATTTTCTTTATCTGTTTAATGCCTAAGTCCAAAGTGTATAAATCTGTTTATAGCTGGTTTCAGAATTTAAATGCTAAGTAGAATTTAGAGCATGGGTGTACGCCGCTTACTACCGACAGGCTTAGATTAGAAGTCACATTTCATGAATTTATAAAGAAAGCTACTAAATTTCCAAATGTTTCATTGAGAATAGGCCGCGACAAAACCATATCTTCATCCTCGAAAAAAAGTACCAATAAGTGATATCTTTGAGTTCTTTCCAAAGTAGCCGTTAGGAACGAGGTCGAATACACTACGGAGACACAAAAAGCAGTTGTAGGTTCATTGTTGAATGTAACGAGCGCTATGTTTGGAACTTGAATAGGATCTGAACGAAAACTTTCTTCTACATGATGTAAGACTGAGCTACTGTCCAGTCTGTCATTTAATGAATTGTCGGAGAAATAATAATAATAGATAGTAAATAATAATAATTAATAATAATAGCAGATAATTCCTATCTGCCACGTAACCTAACTTTTTAAAGAAACTAGTGGTCGCCCAGTGTTCGAAATTCATTCATTAATTATACCGAGTGTAATGTTTTTTTTTTTTTTTTTTCTTTCATTTTATTTAATGTGTTTTTATTCATGATTTAAAAAAAGCTTCCTATGTAAACTATAAGTACGGGAAATTTCATACTCCTCTAAGGAAGTAAAAAGGGGTACAAAGTTTTTGCTGCACGTATTAATGTATAGATTAAAGTCGTTTGCTTCAATATATGTCAGCGAGACAAGCAAATACATTATTAGCACTCTCGGATATTTGGAGAATGAGCTGTGTGTTCGATTCTCGACAATGGGCTCGTCATGTCCTTATTTCAATAATTTTTATAATTCAGGTTCAAGGCTCATCGTCAACCTTTCTATGCGAGTACGGTCCAGTGGCTACTTTCTTAAAATTCTTGTTTTTTTTTTTTTTTTTTCTTTTCAAAATTTTGCGCATTTTACGCATCCTTGTAATTCTGATACACGCACCACTACTAGATTAATTACTTTGATGTTCGACATGGCTACGCGCATCAGGCACGTGACTTTATACTCAGAAGTGATCCTAAACCTTATAAAATAAAAAAATGGAACAGTAGTGTTTTGCGAAGTCAAAGAAAAAGTCTTTTCAATTTTACTGGCCCACGAGGAATTCATGAAATGTAGCTCTTACAGTCATATTTTTAATATTAATTAAAACAATAATACTAGCATTATAAATAATATTTAATCTAACTACATTTAATGTTGCATTAATGTATCTCGCCTTTTATGTCAACCGCTGCCTGTATGTTTACTGCGCTAATAACATCCGAACCCATTATCTAATAAGATGACTTATTTTTTGTTCCATAAATATGTTTCGGTATACCCTCGGTTATGATAAGTTAGTTAACATGTTCACGAGAATTCACGTTTTTCGGGGACACGGCTGCATTTTTAAATGAAAAGCAGCATGCAATCAGGTCAATGATCAACACTCCTCTGTTCGCTCATTTGCGGAAATGTAGCGCATTCGTCATTGCGTTATTGAAGCAACGTTTTACGTTGACGTAGACGTTGCGAGTTCTTATGGAAGTATAGATGAAAACTCTCGTTTTTGCTAATGAATACAAAACATCTTTATTAAGAATATTTTTATTTTCTTATATCTCTTTATCTTCATTTATAATCTGAAAGCTTTAGTTGCGTTCAACATATATATTTAAGGATTACCTTAAATATATATGTTGAACGCAACTAAATTATTATTAAAAAAGTATGGTGATTGAGTTTTAAAGAACAATGGGTCACAAATTCATCCTTCCGTATTATTTGTAATATCATTCAACCCTTGTCAATACAATATGGAAAATGACAGAAACGTTTACAAGCCGAGAAACGGCCTCTTCTTTTATTATATAAGCAATTATGTTTATTAATATAATTGTATATAATACAGTAATATATTTGTATACAATATCATTGTATATGAGTGTATATTATTTCTTTTTAAACGAACCATAAATTCAGACGACTCTATTTCGAAGAAGAGATCGAGACCACGTGTCTTACATTGTAAGGATAACACACATACGTATGTACATGTGTGTAATGACCTATTGCATGGGTCGTTTATTATGATTGACTGGTGGAGCGAACCCGAACGCTGTTTATGAGATGATAGCTACTGCCGTCCCCTGCCACGGCCGCTTCCTGGCTATTCACCCATTGAGACATATGCAAGGCTCTCACACCGCAAGTCTCCGCGGGACTATTTGGGATGTCCGCGCCCTAATAGTTACAATGACTAATCGTTGCAATGACTTAGGACCATCTGCATGACCCTCAGCTATTGTATGAATATTATACAGAGAGATAAACAAAATTTTACTTTATTAAATTCCTGGTTAAAATTACGCCATCATCATCGGTTCATCACCATATGACAGTGTGAAGACAATTATAGATTTTATTTTAAGTCCACAACAACGCCGCATCAAGGGCCAAGGGTAAACTTATTACGCGGCTTAGCTATAAAGCCAGTGCGAAGCCCTAAGTCGACTGCTGTAGCGATTGAGTTTATTTTTGGCCTCAACCTTATAACTTAACTTAAGTTACAGGGTTAAGGCCAAAATAAACAACAATAATAGTTGATGATGCTTTTGCAGATGATGATACTTTAGCTAAGTATATACTTCGCTAAAGTATCAGCATCTGTATTTAAACGGTCAATGAAGGTTTCTGAAAACTGACCATCGTAGATGTCAACTAATCATTAAATGGCGTCGTGATCAGCGTTTCAGAAACCGGTTGTAGTCTTTTTAACTTAAATTTAACTAGTCCATTTTTTCACTAACGAAAAACAAAACCAAATATCTCGCTCTGTGTTCATTCTATAATTGATTTTCAGGAGATCCCCAAGTATCTTCGGAGCCCAATATCCAATACCAATGAAATTAATATACGACCACATGGGAAGTACCAGCTTTCAAATAAAAAAAGAATCATCAAAAGCGGTCCACTCAGTAGAAAGCCCTGATGTAACAAGTATAAAAAAAATACAGTCGAATTGAGAACCTCTCTCTCATTTTGAAGTCGGCTAAAGAGTAGAACTAATCGCCGACAGCAATACTATTTTGGAACACTGCTAAATTTATCTGCGTGAGGGCCCCGGATAGGCAGTCTCTTGTGGAAAGGTGGATGTGAAGTGAAATGCTACACTTGCGTTTAGTCTGGCGAATGAGGTAACCGGGGCCCACTCTTCTAAAGGTTGGCAACACATCTGAGGCCCCAGAAGTGTAGACCCCCTTAGGCAGCGGTAATTAACGAACGCCAGGTGCGAACATAATACGCGACTAACCGAATTGCCAGAATTGCCCTTAGGCCAAATTCATCAGAAAGAGTAAAATGAAAAAGAAATAATTGTATTTTATTTAGTACCTTCTAATATGGCCGGACTATCTCCACTGCAGCTTACTAATCTTCTGAGCTATGTCGGTTATCTTTGTTCTACTGAGGATGTCTTCGTTGCGAAATCCATCACGCAGAGGAATACCGAGCATAGCCCGCTCCATAGTTGAGTGAGCGACTTTGAGCTTCCCAATACGGTCAGCAGTGAAGGACCACGTCTCAGTTCCGTAAGTCACTACTGATAACACACATTGATTGAAGACTTTGGTTTTCAAACATTGAGGGATAGTAGACGAGAAGATATGCCGAAGTTTCTCGAACGCTGCCCATCCGAGTTGGATTCGCTGATTGATCTCTATGTCGAAGTTGGACTTAACTAACCGGGCTAACGGTCTTAAGTAAACGTACTCGTCCACAACTTTCGACACTAGACATGAACTTCGTCTTGTCCATGTTCATCTTAAAGCCCAGTCCTTGGCAGACACTGTCAAGATGGACTGACGACCTATGCAAATTGGCGGGAAGACGATGGATACAGGTGGCTCAGGATCGTGCTTCAGTGCAGTCTGTGTCCCCTACAGCCTGCACTGAACACTCGCAACGGCCTATGTTCAGCAGGGGACTGTAACAGACCAAAATGATAATGATGATCAATATCGACGACAGACGTCTGTCCTGTGAAATTAAGATTACTAGATATTTAGCTTACCTAAAAATACTGAAGTATGGAAGTTTTTTCAACTCAAATTCATATTATATTTTTTTTAAGAATTGACAAAATAACATAAAACTAAATTAAAATTGCTAAACCAGAAAAAGCTTAGCATTGTTATTACGTTACCTTCATAGACTTTGAAACGTTCTCCGACCACTGGGAATTTATTTATGTAAAAACATTTACGTGCAGCATACCACTCGGGAAAATGAACTTAAATAACTTCCCCACTGCAAAGGTCTCCGAAGTCATTACTTAAGTACATACATGCGTTTTAGTACTGCCTAAGTTGATATGAAGATATAGATCATAACATAAAATATTTGAAGTAAAACTTCTTTACGCACGCTTGACTTGGAGAGTCTTATATACTCGGCGTTACGAAAATTGTGATGTTACGCGAACGGTGATTTCTTGATTATTTCGTAATTTCATTTCGTGTATAAAATTAAATTAAAATTTTAAGTTGTTATAGATAGCAGATGTATCACCATCTGTAACATTCACATAACAATCTGTATATTACAAATAGATGGAGGTAAAGAAGTTCAGTATTTCAGTCGTGTTGTCTAAAGCACACTCGTTATTTTTTTTTGCAAGAAGGAAGGGAGGGGGGAAGGGTTGCCGCTCTTTTATATGAGAGCAGATAACAAATGAACAGATGCTTTCTGCTTCACATTTATCATCATCCGTGGTCCTTCATAGCGTCTACATCTAGTTAGCATCAGAAACGTATATCTTTATTACATTTTTTATATACTTATTATTAATACCTCAGTTGTTGTATCAATATACAGCGTGTCGTTACCATTGCGACAATAAATGAACACACATATAGGGGATAACTTTTTAAAGTTGTATTAAACATTTAAATACTTTAAACATCAATATTTACAGAGTTATTAAATTTTCCAAAACAAAGAATTTTAGAACATCCTTACCTATAAAGCGTAACGTAAAGTTCCTTTGTAAAGGTCACAAAGCATATGAATGGGTTGAATGAATTTAAAAGAGACAAAACATACTGTTAGAAGGAGAAGCTTGTAATACGACGCTGTGGCGCGAGTTGTATAGGATGTTACAAATTTTGTATCTTTTTTACTTAATTAGTTTGTTTGAAAAATATTTTTTTTAATTATGGATTTTGTTTAACGTTACTATTTTTTTATGGTTATTGGCAAGTAGCGTTAGACGTGCGTTCATTTATTTTCGCGATGGTAACGACACGCTGTATACAGCGTGTCGTTACAACCGCGACAATAAATGAACACACATATAGAGGATAACTTTTTTAAATTGTATTAAGAATTTACATTCTTTAAACATCAATATTTACCGAATTCTTAAATTTTATAAAACAATCAGTTTTAGAACACCTTACGTATAAAACTGTAACGTAAAGTTCATTTGTAAAGGTCGAAGCGCATATAATGGGTTGAATGAATTAAAAAAAAAAGTAAATCATCCTGTTAGAAGGAGAGACTTGTAATGCGACGTTGTGGCAACGAATAAAAAAGTCTCTGAATGTATAAATCAGTCATTTGTAGTTGTATATGATGTTACAAAATTTTGTTTATTTGATAATATTATACAGAAAGAAACAAAATTAGTTACATCCTATACAACTCGCTTTTGTAGGTAAGGGTGTTCTAAAATTCTTTGTTTTGGAAAATTTAATAACTCTGTAAATATTGATGTTTAAAGAATTTAAATGTTTAATACAACTTTAAAAAGTTATCCCCTATATGTGTGTTCATTTATTGTCGCGATGACAACGACACGCTGTATACTGCAGCGATATTTTAATAAAAAATGTAATAAAAACAATTTTTAAGTTAAACGGTTTTGTTGAAAATATAGATTAAAATGATGTAGACAATGTGCTAAAAGTTAAGAAAATAATTCGGTAGGTCTTAGATACTTTTATATGTTTTATATTATTACTTTTATCTGTGATTTTTTTTGTCTGCTCAATGCCCTAAATTGACGAGGAGAGTGGTGTGATGACTAGTATCTATTCTAGATCTATAGTAGATAACTCTATTCTGCTATTGAAGCCCTTTCATTTGATACCCATATTGAGGAAGTTGTGATAAAATATGTAATCTGCCATTTTGTAGCGGCGGTCATCTTGGATTTACAATGATACCGAATGTATTAGATTGTATTGTCATCAGAACTAAAGGTGCGCACCAAATTTCAGACCAATCCGTCAACAGGAAGGGGGTCAACTTTCAATTACTACATTTGACCCAAACAGGGCAAGCTAAATAAAATCATAGTATGAAATATTTATGACAGACTGTAAAAGATTTATCACTCATAATGCTACATTACGTGAGTAATCAAACAATTATCGTATTTGAACTTTCAATATTACAAATAGGAAACAAACACTAGCAAATTGTTGACGTTCAACATCGTTGACAGCCATTGCTACAGATGGCAAACGAGCTGGCGATTCACCTGTTGTTAAGTGATTACCGCAGAATTTTTTTCTGGAAGGGACACCAAAACTGCTCAAAGAGCATTATAGGGTTTAATACAACTTATTTCTTACGCTTCGATATTTGGCAGGGCACTGAAGATGTGTATGTTAAAATTTGAAATATTTTTTTTTTGAAATTTGAATGTATTTACATTCAAGTTTTAAGTAAAATTAATTCTGTCCTTTGTAATGAGAATCTGAAACTACCTTTTTATGTACGATAAAATTTTTGGATTATAAGTTTTTATTTCTATTTATTATAGGTTCCGGGTTATACAACCCGGAACCTATAATAAATAGAAATAAAAACTTCATATATATCAATTCGAAACAAAACGTAAGAAAACTGACTTAGCCACGTAACCCGTGGAAAACTTTGTTTGTCATATACTAGGGTTTTAATAATATAACAGTTCTATTATTATTATTATCTTTTTAAATTTTATTTGAAAACCATAATACTTTTACTGAACACAAATTTTTACTTTCTGATCAACTGTGATGTCGCTGTCCCGCGGATAAAATCAATTACTTACTCCACACCCTGTACATAATGTCAATTGATACACGCGCGTGTGGTAAGCGGGCTATTTATCGCTACTACCAAGATAATTGTTTACGCTTGCGTTTACTCATTAGATAAATGGAATGGCGATAAATTGACAATTGAGCTTATCGAGATATTTTAGTAACGTCGATAACCGTAAGCCGCTTTTTTATGTGAAAGTAAAGGGAGTATATGATTCATTTGAAGTTAAGTGATTACCACCGCCCATGGCCGCCACATCTTACATAGCCTAAGTTAGTTTAGTTTTTAGTTAGTTAAGTTTAGTGGGATAAACTGCAATGTGCGTTTTTGTCGAATTCCGTCATACATATAAATCTGAAATTGAGTACGGTCCGCTGAAAACTAGCGACGTAAGAAATACATTTTCTTTCGCTTAAAGTCATTTGTCGGCTTCTAGAAAGGTCTATGGAGAGTCTTGGCCTAGTTAATACAGAACGTCTTATAGTAAGAGACTAACTATAGTAGGGCACTCCTCCGGTAGATTCAACCCCTCTGCTTTTACGATTTACTTTTCTACTACATTATACATAATATAATAGCAATCCATTCAAGCAGGTCATATTTTTATATACTTTTATACTTTTTATATACGTTATATACTTTTAATTTGTTATACAGTAAACTATATAATCATAAACATCTTCAGCCGATAGATGTCCTCTGTTGAACAAAGAACCCTCCCTCTTAAACGCCACAATGCACGACACTACCATTTGCATCCACCGGAAGAACCGGAGTCACCGACATAGCTCTCCAGATTTGCTAGTTGAAAAGGTAATGTGCAGGCCATATTGCCCGAAGAACAGAATACCTATGAAAATTAAAGTACTCGATAGCGATTATGAACCGAAAGACCTATACAATAACTTTCATAAACATCCACCGAACTCAAGACATTCATCTGAAGTCAGATGCTAGCTGTAGCATCTTTCGATTACTGTCTAAAAATTACTTATAAAAGCCCTTTTATTATATATATATATTATAGAACAAACGGAATTTTCCAGTAATGCACACTGACTGGTGCGGTGCGTCGCAGCGAAACCAACCGACCAGCGTCCAATTGTTGGTATATCTGAAATTAACCAAATGGTCGTTCCCCACTGGTGGCCGAATCACGGCAACCATCACCACAATCTGTCCAGTCTCGCCTCAAAATCGAGCAAAGCTAAACGCGCACGTGGCTTTCTTTACGTGAGAAGGTGACAAGCAAGCTGACAGTGCAGCTGATGTCACGTGATAACCGCCGCCCATTGACATTTGCAACACCTGGAGGGTTATAGATGCGTTGTTTATAATAAAGTGATCACCGGCCACCTCGCTAGTCGAAACGCGGAAGTACAACACTTCCACTAAATAATCACTTGGGTCTACTGTGAGTTTGTGGTAGTTACTAGACGCACCTGCCCATTCGCGCAACATCTAAGTCCGTTTCGGGGCCCCGCCACGTCTAAAAGCTTGCGCGGTTTTGCAGCAAAATGAAACGCTTCCTGCACCGTTGCGACCGCGCCATGATATACATCTTCATCGCGAGCTCCTACTTCCCCTGGCTGACGGTGGGCACGCTCTCCTGCTGGATGCTGCGCGAGCTGCGCTGGGCCATCTGGCTGCTGGCGGTCCTCGGCATCACCTACCAGCAGATATTCCACGAGCGGTACAAGATGCTGGAGCTGCTGCTCTACTTGGTCATGGGCTTGGGGCCGGCGGCCATCATTGTCACGTCGAATGTATGTCCGTGTCCGTTTGCACGTCGGCTTTTGTTTTTTTTTCTTTTATTTTTTTTAGTTGTAGTGTTACGCTTTTTAGTGCCAGTAATATCATGTATAATTTTTTTAAATAATCTTATTATTAGAGTAAATAAGATAATCGTTATTTTAATCGCATCGCCTTTAGATAATCCATTCATAGATCTGAAACGCAATGATGGTAAATAGGATAACTATGTTTTTATACTGTCCCATCACTATGCTATCTCGTGCAAATCCTAAGTTGTGTATAATCTCAGTGGTCGTTTGCATAATTCTTGTGAATTGGCACATGTAATGCGGCAGGCAATCAGTTTTCTAGTCAACAAGGATCGCCTTTCACATTATATCTATAATGTAGGCTGTAATGCAATGCTTTGCTGTCTGTGTGAGTGCGAGTGTTGTGATCTTGTTTCTTCGTTGTTTGATAATATTTGTACAATCTTTGTATCAAGCGATTTCATGCCGTTGTTTGCCCGACAAATAGATATTATTATACGATGTTAGATACTCTTTTCCACTCTTAGTAAGTTTTAAATAATGCTTTTCCGCTTCGATGTTATCTATTTTCGAAGGTAAGGTGAGCAACGACGCGTGACCATATTTGTACCGAATTCATAACCGACACAATATTAATAGGGTTGTCAAGAAATTGTTGGTCATTGACACGCTGCCAACCGCAGGAGTTATGAAGAGTAGTAAATTAGGTCTAGTACAAAAATTCATGTACGTTCCATGAATTCGATTTTCGAGTACGATATGGGACCACCAGCTCATCGTTTGACATGTTTTTGGGTTTAATAAGCTGTTTCCATTGATTTGAATGTAACCGGCGCGGGTGTGGCCTACGCAAAGCTCCTGTCGTTGCTCTAATTGGCAAGCTCGTCCGTAAGTACCACGGTGTCGCACAAGACCAACGTGAAATGGAAGTTTTATATCGCGTTTCATGCTGCGAGTGAGGTAATCACACTTTTTTAAAGGTTGTCAACGCGTCTGCATGCCCTCGGGTGTTGGAGATCTCGGACGGACCTCTTGCTCGTTTGACAATTTTTCTCATAAAATGGTATACGACGGTAGCAACTAAATTGTCCATCCCAGTAATAACTTTTGATATTTGCTCAAGTCGTGGGAAATTTAAAACGCGCAATACACGACTGCATCACGTTAAGCGACGTAACATTATTTAACAAATACAAGCATCACTTTTATAATGTATCATCAAATCGAAATTACTTTTGCACGCCGCACCATATCCGAACACATAGATAACTAGTTGTTTCCGTCAAGGGCGTTTTAATATTCTAGTGTACCAATACGCCGGGTCCTCATCTTGCTTCGATTGCAAATTGCGAAATTGTTTATTGTTATGTAATCGTACATTTAACTGCGGTACACGTCTATACCCATATTTTACGGATTTTATTGTTTTTTAGTTGAAATTCTTTCCGTTAAGAACACAGCGTCCGTGGTCACCGGAGAAATGTTTTCTTTAAATAATATGTAGTACTCGATAAACACGAGAAATCGTTATACATATAGCACCGTTGAGCTGTATTATGTACCTATATAATTTATATAATCCGATCCCAAAACTTCATTGAATACAACGTAAACATGAAACTAAATCCTTACTAATTTATAAATGCGAAAGTTTGTATGTATGGATGGATGTTTGTTACTCTTTCAAGCAAAAACTACTGAATAGATTTTAATGAAACTTTACAATAATATAGCTTATGCATCAGAATAAGACAAAGGCTATAATTTATATACATATTTTATCTCTTTCTGTCTGAATGTTACGCCTTCAGCCTATTCTAAGCAGAAGTATTCGCGGGCAGCAGCTAGTACAATATATTCACTACCTATATGCTATACTACATGTCGACATCTTCAAAGCCGCGGAACCGTTATGGCGATTATTTGAGTTTATGTATATCCGAAACATTAACTTCTCAGTAGAGATATTAGCTCATTATTAATCCTTTAATAGATTAACAATGTAATCATTGCTTCAGGGGAGGGCCGTGATAACTCAATTTCTGGGCGCTTGGTTTTAATTCAACATACTTGAGCGACCTGAGTTCGATCCTCGGTGCCGGCACCAATGAAATTGTTAATTTGAATGCTGACTTATCACGAGCTCAGCGGTAGAAAGGGGCAGAAAAACATCGTGAGGAACCCTGCATATTTTCGAAATAATAACAAAAAATGTTGATGTGATTATGTAAAAAAGAAATGTTTAGAAGATATATCATGTCAGCCAATCCGCGGTGGAGTCGTAATAATTTGTGCTAATACCCTTTGTACAGATGAGATCTTTGCAGCAGTGGGAAATGTATAGGCTGTCACTTTACTCAAGGAAGGACAAGCTTAATCTTACAAATATGCAATGTGTATATTTATTTATTTATTTATTTTATACATCAACTTACAACTATCATTACAGGCTGTACCTAATGCGATAGTGAAATTCGAATACAATTTAAGATAACATATAACTATACTTATAACTAAAACTAAAACTAAACACTCAGAACATATATATAATTAGTAAAATATAGATAACGGCACTGTATTTAAATCGAAAGATTGCAATTTTTATTTTTTTTTATTTTACTATTATACATCCGACTTATTTGAAATCATCAGATAAAGGAGTTACCAAATGTCGCCTCATGATCTAATTTAGGAGCACTAAATTAAAAAAAAATCCTTTCTGGTGTTTAAGTAAATAAATATTTTCAGGACATATTTTTACACAACGTTATCTAGCCTCCTACTAAGCGAAGCTTGTACGGGTACTAGGTAACTAATAAACATACATTTCTTTTGAACCAGAAAATAGATAAACACAATATTTTTCCAGTGGTGTGGATCGAAAAGACAGAGAGACAGGTCCACTGCGCCAATCTGGATGTAACTCGTACAACTTACGTTTAATACTTCTCAGTAATTTCATACAATTTAACTACCCACTTTCATTTACAAAACTGAAAGCTATCGATACTGTATGTACTGTATTAATTACTATCACTGTTCATGAGATACAACCTATTGACAGACGGACAGACAGACAGACAGCGGAGTCTTAATAATGGGGTCCTGTTTCACCTGGTTGACTGGAAGAGTATGCTTATTAGAAATAAGTTTGCCTTTTGTTAGGCGTTATGTAGGATTGCAAACATTAAAGTTTTAAATAAAATAAATAAATACAATTTTATCTTATATTAAAATTACAGGTTGTCCTATATCTTAAGATACTTACGAATAAGAACGTACAAGTCTTACACGAGCAATTCACTAACATGTAGGCAACATCATAAATATATTTCCACCTTATTAAAAATACCGCGTTATTCGAAACGGGGATGGAGGTTGCAAGGAAAAATAGCCGACATACATAATAGACGACACGCCCGACTAAGTTATTTACGGACGCCCCTGTGAGAGAGCTCTCATATTAATATTCGTTATGCATCCAACCAAAAGAAAGTGCCCTTTTAATATGTGATATCACTATGCACAAGTGTCTCTTTGTTTTACAGCATAATAGAGTTGTGTGCATACGTAAACAGTAAACCGTAACAAGCGCTCGAGGCCTTGTCTAAAATTAAAAAGCGCTTGGGAGAAACGCAATTAAAGCTTTGCAACACGAAATAGAACTTAAATGTAGATTTAATAATAAGAAAAAACTTAGAGGAAAAGAATTATTTATTACATACGAGTGCTATGTTAATATAAATTTAGAAATCAATAGAATTTATATTAAGACTGTGGCAATCGAAAATTCTAAGCCATAGACCGTATTGGATGACTTTAATCGAAGTCAATGAAAAAGTGAATAAAGATATATGCTTGAATGGCATCGTCCTTCAAAGATTAACTTAAAACCACTGTTTACAATATTTTCGAAAGTTAATTAAAATCAGAATAGTACGCAAATTTACGGTGCGTTCCCAAAACACTGGTTAAACGGATTGTAAATGCTTCCAACGTTGTGTTGAACTGGATCTGGTCATAGGTTTGTCTGAACAGCGATATTGACCTACTTTATCGGGCATTTTGTATCATTGCAGCCGAAAACGGCAATTGTTAATGTTCTGTACTGTCGTACACTCGTTGACAATCGTTCATCTAATGATGAGTTACGAAAACGGAATCCATTGTTTATATATATGCCATTGTTTTGAAACGGTGATTAGTGATCTTTAGATCCGAACGGCACCGTCGTTAACAATAAGCTTATCGTATTCCTTCCGTCACTATTTCGCTCTAGAGCCCGGGATAAGGCGACAGGTTCATGATATAGATCTATTGACACGCTACATAACCTCAGTCAGAAAAAGGTGATGACCTTTTTCTGACTAACTTGGTAAAATCGCAAAAGGTTTTTCTTAAGAGAGATCCGGCGGCCGGCGGCGGTTTTATGATATTCGATTACCTGCCAACGGACTTCCACGTCACCGTTTATAGTCGCTTTGATAATTTCTTTTTTTTTTTTTGGAAAACATTGCCTCTTAACCTAAAATAACATTACCCTGTGATGTAAGGACGTTTACATAAATAAATATTGACCTGGACAAACGCCCAGATCCGAAACAATTATCTGTGCGTCACACAAATAGTTGTTCCGTGCGGGAATCGAACCCCGGTGCCGAATTCAATACCTTAGCATCTGCGCCACGGAATTAAATTGAGCTGGGCCCTGGTTATTTTACCCGAAACGCGAAAAGCAAAACTGTAGTTTTACTCCCGCTTTGAAACAAAGTGCTGTGAAAAGTATTTATTTTCTTGCGTAAAGAAAACGAACTTACGCAACCCTATGTAAACCAATATGCTATTTATAGCCCACTGAGGTCCATATTCAAGGCCCTCTACGAGACTGTTGTCGGCAATTTTGCGGCTAGCGAATCAGCATACGTCAATCTGTCCGAGTAAAATGCAATTTACTTTACGATATTTTTTCATACATACGATCGGTACGACCTCGTCTTGCTATTCCAAGTTATTGGTCCACTGCTTCCGATGTCGTAAACATGTTGTGGATATTGTTGAGGTGCAAAAGCGTGACAAGCGATTTTGTGACATTTATCAATGATTGCTTTTAAGGCCAGGCATTTCCACAGAGGTGCCATTAATATTCAAAGCGAAACGAGATGTTAGAAGCGTCTATCGTACTGAGTTGGCATTTATATTTATATCACTATAATATGATGAACTTTTGATTAAAAACACTGTTTTATTTTGATTAAAAACTACGCAAGCAAAGCCGCGCTCAAAAGCCAGTGAATAGCACGCACATCCCGCACGCACTGCCCAAAGGATGTTCGTCTATTTTTGGTTTCAATTGACAAATTGGCTTAAGGCAAGAAAATTATGTCGCTGTTATATCATTTATAACGTGTTAGTGAAATTAGGTTAGTTATTAGGTCTTTTGACACATTTCGGTGTTTGTAGTATTTGCATTTACATTTTATTTTGACGTTGTTCCAATGTAAAACTCAACAAAATAAAAGAAAATTCTAAAAATGCACAGTCTTCAACTTACACATAATTTTGATGTTTGGTCATACTTTTCTCAACTCAATTACCTATTCTTGTAATCATAAGATGGCTCGGTTTTTATTTCTTTGCTCGAAACTAATAATAGTAAACGGCTCGGTTTAAGCCAACGATTTGTATGCGGCTTTGAAGCAGACATCGTGCATATCTGTGTATCGTTTTCCTCTGATTATTATTCTTTAGGCTTTCACATACTTTGGAAAGTAAAAGTCCATGACCTGGAACAGTGAGATTAACGATCTCTGTAAGTTTGTTTACAAAAGCAATTCATTACACAATGACCTGCCGACCTACCTATTCAAATGTATTCCAGGTTACTCGACGCTTTACTATGTTAATGATATCGCGTGAAATTCTAATAACCTTGTAATAATTAAATTCTTATGCCCGTACCGCAGTCTCTGCATTGTTATACAAATATCTTAACTTGAATTGGGCAATGATGTTTGACTAAATGATAATTGCTTTATGGTTATTCAGTCTGCACCTGAAATGAAACTTATTTTTTTTTTCTTTTTATTAAAAACGTCGCCCTTACTTTAGGATGACATTATCCTGTGTTTTAAGGATGTTTTACAAACATAAATTTCACGTGGACAAACACGCAGATGCGAAACAACTATCTGTGGGTCACACAAACAGTTGTCCCGTGTGGGAATCGAACCCAAGTCCCCGACGCCGAAGCCAATACATTGGCAACTGCGCCACGGAGTCACCGATCTATCGATCGTACAAATAATTGTCCCATAAAGGGACACGTTGCGCGCCGCCCTAGCCCAGGAAATACTGCAATTTTGATGTGCTATTATTATTATATATTTGATGATTTCCCCATGTCGATTCAAGGTATCATAAAGTAACCATCGTCGCCTAGGCGCTTGAGGTGGTTACTTAAGAATTTTTTGTTAGGGTCCGGGAGTTGTATTACTTTACACCAGTTTTTTACGTTACTACCGTAACTGGTTTGTATTGTATCAGATTATAAAAGTTTTTGTCTCAGACTTCAACAATCACTTTTGTCTTGCTTATAAAAATGTTATTAAACTGTTTATTGTTTAAATACAATATTTTATCTTAATACCATAGGTTAAAATAGCCTTAGTATATCGTATTTTAAATCACCTAATTATACAACAGTATATAATTGAAAGTTTGTAGATATGACGCGTCCATTTCAATGTCACTTATTACACTTTTATTTTGTGCTATAATTACTGGGAAGGTCAGACGATTAGGGCTTTTGTTTTATTTAAATAGGAGGCAACATTTCTAAGAATGTTGCCGCGAATGCCCCAAAGCTTTTAAAACCATGTTGGCTTTAAGAATTCTGCCATGAAAACCAGCCGAGAGAGCCGAGCCGAGCACCAGCGAGTATTCAGTGCATTAAATGGATCCCACAAGTTTTATGTCTTTCAAATAAGGAAGAAGAATTAAAAAAAATAATGCAGATGTATACTTGACCGGAAATATGTTTTTAAATTTACATGACACTTATATGCTTTTATTTATTTTCCAGCACCAGTTCCCAGCGATGCACGATCTGAAGTTGGGCGGGATGCTGTATCTGGCGGGCGTGTTCTTTTTCAAGTCCGACGGGCGAATACCGTTCGCCCACGCCATATGGCACGTCTTCGTCGCCCTAGCCGCGTCCGTTCACTACCTGGCGATCCTCCGACACCTTTTCCCGGAGCTTAAATCTCAGTAAAGACTGCCCTTATGAACTACAAACGACGCTCTCTCCGGATAATTTTGTACGCAAACGACTAAGCGACCCTCAACACACTTGACAGCTGTGAAATGTCAAACGTCACTTGGCGTGTAACGTCACTCGTATCCCACCTTTGACATTTATAAACCACCATAAAGGGAGAAGAAGAAGAACCTTTGACATTGGACATAGATGTGAAATAGTAACCACTATCGTTATCGTTAGGTATTTTGTAGTCATTATATGACTTGTGTCTCTCTCTCTCCATTGTTTCTGTTTACGTAGGTGTTAATTTAGTTACCTCTGGACCGCAGGGTTTGTAGCGTTTTCAACTCGTAGATCTAGCTTAGACTCACCAAAGTGGTGCCACGCGATGTTGTTAAATTCTTGACTAAGCTCTTGTAGTTGAATCTATAAAAAAAATTCCGTTTATATAAATTGCCCGCGAATGCGTTTGCATAAGCGAATCGCTCATCTATGATACATCGATTTAAACTGTTTGGTGCGTATATAGAAGCTTTCATTGGTCAAATGTATATATTCATTGTTAGTTGTGTTGCAAAGTTTCACAGACAATTCGTGACGGTTTCAATGAGTCATGAGTAATTGACCGCTGACCGCTGACCTATTAACTTTGAAATTCATCCGCAGGAATTGTTATCTACGTAAATTGTATAGTATGAGATCTTTTTGCCGATATAGTATCTGCTATTATATTTGAATTACGTCCTCCGACTATGTTTATATCTATTGTGTAACGATATTATGTTTGCCAAAATGAGCCGTATAGTTTATGTTAAAAACATAATTTAAGTTTCTACGCTTGAAAGCTATTTTTATATTTCCACTTTGATTACGATTAGGGTCGAGTCTCATTTTAACAACGCGTTGTGGACCTTGTATCGGCCAAATAGAGTAGCCGACCGAAAGTTATGTATATTTTGTAAAGTATTGTTGATTCTTATTATACTATTGTTGTAGTGCTCGTAGTATTTCAAATATCTCAAGACCAATCCAATCTTTTTAGAGTGTTTAAAGTGTATAGGAGTTTTTAGACACGTTTATATATCTATACTTATACTACTCCAGTTTTTCCAGTGAGATCTTTTTATACATCTCTATGTGTATTTTCCTTAGAGTAATTAGTAATTCTACATTGTAGCGTAGAATTTCGATGTGCGCGTTGTCTTCTCAAAAGAATCTTGTTTTATTGTTCGCCCTACATTGACTTTGTCCTTGGGTGTAGATTATGATCCAATATAGATTTATTGCTGCTCAATCGTGTGTAAATTTGTGGATTTTAAATCGTAAATTTAACATTTTGAATACCTCCTTCATATCATGAGACCTTTCCACTTTTGGAGTGTCTATTTTTATATTAATAGTATAGTCCCCCCCCCCAGATTATTCGACTATATTAAGCAGCGAACCCTTATAATATACCTACATCACTAAAACCACATCTTTAAAACTGCTTCTTCTGAGAATTCAAATGAAAGAAATAACATCCAAGATAATAAATACAATCCAATATCGGAATACTTTAGATTAATGTTCATTGTTACATTCAAACTGGCGATGACAGCTGACATGTTCTGGCATAAAGGCACAATGTATTGTTTTCTGAATATCGCAACTGGAGAAAACAATCAAGTTTGTTTGCTAACTGGGTCAAATGATGGTTGGCGACGAATGTCATCCATTCATAATGACCATTTTATTTACATATTCATTATATTATTGTCTTCCGAAGTACGATATAAGATAACATTTGAAATCATAGGAAAAATGCGGCAAAATTGTTCTGAATTATTTTTGTGTTGATATGTATTGAGGAACAAAAATATTTCCGTCTTTATATGATTAATTTTAATACTTATTAATATTATTCATATAAAAACAAATAACAGTGGCTCAAAATTGACATTTTGTTTTAATGCGGTTTTTTTTTGTAAATACTCCATGATTTAATAATAATTTAAGTTAATCATGATATTTATATGACTTTAGATCTTCGATTATATCTATATCTAGTCAAATTTGCCCGTATGATATGCAAAAGAGTGATCAGTTTATTTAATGGTTATATATTTCCGATTTTGTACCTAAGTATATGTTCAATGTTTCGGACAATTTGGTGATTTATTTACAATTTTATTTTTAATTTCATATTGAATGAATAATATAAATATCTGGTAATAATCTTGAATTTTATGTCCACTTATTTTTACGAGTATCACTTCACTGCTATTATTCAATATCGGTTAGTCAAGGTTGTCACAGGGTACGAAACTAACTATATACGCAGATGACAATTTTTATAAATCTTGCCGAATACACTCTCTGCAACCCAGTGAAAAGCTTTTCATACTTTATTGTTAAAAACACTTCTATTTGGATCCAAAATAAAAGTACAAAATTATTAAGGGCAAATGTTCAGCAAATTTCGAACTTGATTTTGCAATTAAAAAAACATTTAATTATATAAAATTAGAAAAATCAATAATGAATTAATCAACAAGCAGAATTCTCTGTCGCTTATAGTTTTCGAGAATAAATTTTAATGGAATATCAACTTAATAATTTGCTGAACATTTACCTTATTCAGAAATAGAACAGAGCTCTTAATAAAAAATCTCATTTTGTTAAGTAGATAATTTAAGATTTAAACAACTTGGTGTGGTATTAATAATTTGCACGTGTTTAACTAATAGCCTTCCATAAATATAAAAAAATTAAAATAAAACAATCCCAGAAATGATAATTATTTATTGCTAAATTGTAATAGGGACATTTTCGCCTCTCTATTAGTCCCGTGTCTCAAGTCTTCCAGAGATACTGGATGTTTTTACCTCGGAGTTAGAAAGTTAGCATAATTAAAATCATTATTTTAATTAAAAGACATTATTTCAGGCCAGCTGTTTTGCCATTTAATTACTACAATATTTATACTTAAAGATTCCATTCCTAAGCATTAGTAAAACTACGGAATAAAATATGTCCTTTCATAAAACTTCATTAGAACTGCTTATTACATATTTATTGCTACAGGAATTGTTCTTTACTTTGATAATTTAAGACTAAATGTATTGGTGTAAAGAAATATAGTAGTAGCTATTGTAGGATTTGGAGTCAGGTTTTTAAATGGCATCAAATATTTTCCTAGGAGAGATTTATATGTATTGTAATTGTGTTTTATTGCTGGAATCTCATGTATATTTTAACATTTTTTTTTTAAATTCATGTTATATGTTTCTATGTAACATGAATTAAATTTTTATAACACTTTATTCCAAGTTATCTGTTTATTCGACATTGTATCAGGAAATTAATGTTTTATGTACTGGAGCTGCCAAAAACTGTTGGAAACTTGTATCTTATTATTATATTTTTTTGAGGGTAGAAATTATGAAAATTATCTGGAACATTATCTATTAAGGCATTGTATTACACCTACATTAATGTTGTTTACATTTTCACAAAGGTTAACTTTGCTAATGGATTGAGGTATAGTTTTCTAGAGATTTTTGGGAATTCAATAAAAATTTACAATCCTTTGTTATCTTTTATTAATGTAAAATTATGTCACTCAGTGTATAAAATACTTCATATACATATTAAAAAGTGTAATAACATATTGAGTTGTTACATTTTCGAAACTGTTTTAATACCTAAAATGTTTAGACATTTTTCCATAATTCTAGCTGTGACTTCACAAAGCATCAGCCTTTCGTAAAAAATATTTACAATTTTCCCATCTTTATCCTTTTCCACACAGTAGCACTTGTCATAGAATTCGGTGAAAGTTGATGAAATTTCGTACAAATACTCGCAAAGACTGTGCAAATATAAATCACTTGTTACCTTCAAGATGACCTCTGGGAACCGTAGGAGCACTTTCCCCAGTTTCCATTCAGATTCATGTGCAAGTTTAAATCCCAATTTTTGTGATTCAAGTAATAATTGGACATCAGAAATCTGTGCTGTTCTAGCTATAGATTTGATGCGGGTTAGTGCATATAACAAATAAACTGCAGTGTTACCTTTATCATCCAACATTTTGTCAAAGGAGAATACATAGTCATTGACCCTGTTGTGTGAAAGGTCAGCGTACTTAATGCATCCATAAGCAACAGCTTCTTGTGCTATTCTTAACTCCTCAGGGCTTAGTACCTTATGTCTACCTTTTTCCACTAATTTATCAAGAGCCCTCTTCAATCCTTCATCAAGTAAATCAATGAGCTTAACAGTATCACCAGATCTTGTTTTAAATTTTTTCTTATCTTCTCCAAGTACAACACCAAATCCAACATGTTCAATTTTCTGTCCTTTTTTAAGTATCCCAGCACGTCTGGCACATGCATCAATTGTCATGAAATGAGTGTATTGGCCTGCATCTGTCACATAGATGAATCGATCTCCATTTTCCTCTTCTACTCTTTGCTTTATAGCTGTTAGATCAGAAGTATCATATGTATATCCTCCATCAGATTTTACAATTGTCAAGGGTATACCTTCATGGGTTTCAGGATTTCCCCACATAATAAGTCTGCCTTCATCTTCCTCGAGAAAACCATTTTCTTTAAGTTGTTTCACTACAGCATCCATCCTGCTCTGATAAAATGATTCACCCCTATCTATTATATTAATATTAAGGCGATCATATATCTTTTGAAATTCTCTGCGAGAAACTTCACAAATAAGTTCCCACGCTGCTATGAAATCAGGTTGGCCAGATTGCAATTGCACTACACATGAGTAAGCACGCTTCTTGAACTCTTCATCTTCATCAAATCTTTTTTTTGATTCTTTATAAAAGGCTTGTAAGTCAGAAATGGGTGGCGAATTAACTATGTAATTAGGAAACTGGTCTTGTAAGTGAGCAATTAACATTCCAAACTGAGTGCCCCAATCACCCAGGTGATTCAGTCGCAAAACGTTATGATTAAGGAATTCTAGTACCCTGCAAATACTGTCTCCAATGATTGTGGACCTCAAATGACCCACATGCATCTCTTTAGCAATATTTGGAGATGAAAAGTCAACAATTACTCTTTCTTTTTTAACTGGAGGAGGTTGTACACCAAATCGAAGAATACATTGCAAAACATGTTCAGCAAATTTTTTATTTAAATATATATTAAGAAAACCTGCACCAGCTACTTCTATTCTTTCTATAAGAGGGGATATAGGGGTTTTATTTAAAATATTGTTCGCTACCTCTTTTGGGTTTGTTTTCACTTTTTTGGCTTTAAGTGTTTGAGAAATGGGCATGGCAGAATTACATTGATAATCTCCAAACTTGGGATTCTGGCTAGACAGTGTAATGACAACTGGTGGGTCTTCCAAATCAGGGTATGCAGAAGTTATAGCTATTTCAAATACTTTTTTGAGTTCATCTATTATACAAACAGTGCTCTCAACGGAGTTCATGTCTGTAATTAACTTCGGCCTCTTTCTGGATTCCCTTTTCGCTCCTTGGCTTAAACGTTCAGTTTTAATGGCATTTTCAAGAATTGCCAGACGATGTTTCAATTTTTCATTTTCTGACAATAGTTGTTCTAATCGCGGATCTGTGATTTTGCTTAAATCACCTGACGTAAGTTCATCAAGTTCTACCTCGACAGCCTGCGCTTCTGTTTCAACTTTACTGGTTCTCGCAAGCAGTGTCTTCTCGTCAACATCCGACATTTTCACTGAAATCTAAAAAGAAATTCTTTATATTCCTTTCAATTTAAAACAGGATTATTAAAATAATCAGAAGTTTAGTACGAAAAAAGTCACTTTTCCGGAATAAAATATAGGTTAATGAAAGGATTTTAAGCCTACATAATGAATAGACCTAAGACCTGACATTGACACTGACAGCTGCAACTGAAATATACAATGTAAAATGGAACGTTCTCAAAAGATAACGAAATTATAAATAAGAAGAAAAAAGGTAAGGGTACCTGCTGCCTTAAATCTTTAACAAAAATGTTAAGTTTATGAAAGCAATATAAAAAATCCTTTAGAATTATATGATAAAAGATACACCATAAGTAATTATATACATCAAATACATTGCTATGGCAACCAAGGTCAAACAAACAGCGGCAAAATGGTTTCAAAAAAGCAAATCAATTTAGACTGAATTAATAATTGTCAGTGAATAAGTAATACTTCAAAATTACAATTTAACATTTCTCTAAAATTACTATTATCATTTCATATATTAATTTTACATTATCATTTATCTTACGTATTACAGAAAAAATGATATGTTTGCGGGTAGAAGCTTTAACACACATTTTTTAAAAAAGTGTTAAGTTTTAAATATGTAGCTTTTTAGTTTAATTTAATAATGGCACAAAAATCAAACAGATTTGAATATAAAACGATGCATAACGAAATCCCATTTTGGCTTGACGATATAACCAAGTAAGTAAAGAATAATTAGATTTTTCAATAATAAAAGTAAGACTTTTTCTACATATTTTCATAAAGTTAAGACTTGTTTTTACTTGCAATTTTTATACATTTTGTGTGTTAGTCTTCCAATGTATCTAATTCGTTTAAATTTTTAGGAAAATGAAAGATACCCATATTAAAAATAGCAGTAGCGATTCATCAAATCATGAAATAAGGAAACCTTCAAATTACAAATCAGAGAACAGGTGATTGTAGTATATGTTCAGTACTTGTATACTGAAATTTAGGTATTCAATTTAAACACTAAAAATCCTTTTCTCTATTCAGATTTTTACGACGAACCTCTTTGGACACAAACATTGATTTTATAACGAACCCGAAAAAACATCCAATTGCACATTCTGCTGGCACACTCCGTCATGGTTATGGTATATTTAATATACTAACTTATTAAATGTACTAAAATAACATATTCTCTGGACATTAGATCAAAATTAAAATTATTTTTTCCACAACTTTGAACATGGGTTAACCTAAGTTTTCTGACAATTTCTGTAACAATTCTTCGATGGATGAGTTGTGAATGGTGACAAAAAGTAGCGACAAATAAACGACAAATGAATAATGGCCAGAACCAAGCAGCAAGTCTATTTTTTATTAGCTTCTACTAATATTGTAAAACCGTAGGATCGCTCGAGTCATACTTATATTTTTTATTCGTGCCGAAAATAAACAATTCATTCATGGAAATAAAAAGTATGTTTTAAATAATAGCTTGTTATTTTACGATGAATAACTTTCTTTTCTGATTTTGCTAAAAAGTTTGCCGTTTCATATTTTACTACAAAAAAGATTGTAAGTTCTTTGGGCATACTTCACTGCATCTACCCCTTATTTTTATTAAGTTTATGAATTTAACCCGTACTATATTTAATTTTGTGAAAAGTTTATCCTCATCACTAACTTCTATAGCTTAACCACTTCATACCGACCACTTTGATGTCACGCAGCTGCCAAACACAACCGAACGCTCGCGAGCATACGCTGTGGCTGAACCGTCCACCTTTTTATTTTTAAACGATTGATGTTTTTGTTTGTTGACCGTAGATAAATAATTAAAACTTCGTCGAATGCAGAGCTTGATACGCCCCCCTCGTTGCACACGCTCGATCCGTTTGCTCACAGGATTATTTGTAAGGAAAGCGGCATGATATCCTCAGACGTGCCATTATTGTACAAACATAAAAGTTATAGAATATTTTAGTCGTTGCTGTGTGTAAAGTTTTTGTCATAAGTTTACGCAAGTCTGTAAATGCAACGCACCCTACAAACAGTGAAATAAGTCACTTGTTTTTTCGTTTTCAAGCCAATGGGTCCAATGAAAGTAACAGGCATATCAACGTGAACAGCAACAAACTGGATTGGGGCGATTCTCCGGCTCAGACTGGGATAACTAATGACTTCCTTTCTGATCTTCTGCCGCATTATGTTACGCCGCGCCACAGACGAATGAATAACATCATAGACAATGACTTTAGTGACGTCATTATCGGCCGGAGTAAGTTTGCCTTTCTATTAATTGATTAATTGTAGAACACGTAAAAGTTATATTTGCCTCTGAAATTCGTCTAAGTCATTCCGCAATCAATCAGAGAGCTTATAAGGATAGGCCTATGGGAGGAAGAAGGATTATAAGGATCTCTGTTATATCCCTGTCTTTCTCCCACGAATCTATTTAGTAGTTAATAATAGTTATCTAAATAGTAATTAATAAACTTTCTATCTAATAATTACATGTACTAGAAATTATACTTTTTCTAACATTTCATTTGAGACTTTTCATTCAAAATAATGCTTAAATCGCCTATACAAAATTATCTGGCTGCTCTTATTAGAAATCAAAGCCACTTTTTTTCTAGCTTAACTATATGTTAGTATAGGTAAAAGCGCGTCTTTAGTGAGAATCTAAGATACTTTATTACTAGTACGTAGTTTAAGTGATAATTATACTAAATATTTACATTTGTTATATATATATATGTATATATTACACATACACACTTAAACACACACGCACACACAAGCACACACCGCTTCCCTATTTTACCATTTAAATATTCATTAACAGCCTGCAAATCAATTTCAATCATTTTTTTTGGAAATAAAGTAAATTTTAAATTTATAAAGTCAACAAGTTTAACATTAAAATTGATCCACTTTATAACTGTCTAATTGGATGAGTTTGGTAGTAACAGGAATAAGTTTTACATATTTCAGAGGCGCAAGACAGACCAAAGTTGAGAAAAAGTGTACTTTCTGGGGAAAGTCCATTGGAACCATTAAATGTAAGATTGCGAAAATCTTCGTCAGTTTCGAAGAAATCGAAAACTATCCCATCTAAAGTACAGAAAAGGAACTCTAGGAAAGAAAAAGATAATGACTTCGTTATTCCGGAACTACCTCGGGGTCGATTGTTAGAAATCAAAATTTATTCCAATTGGGGTGATAAGTTTTTAGTTGGCTTGAACGGCATCGAACTTTTTGATGTGGACGGCGAAATTGTTGATGTTGAGAAGGTAAGTCTATTATAAACTATAATTCTATGTTTTAGTAACGTTTTTACTGTAGAAGTGCAACTTCTGCAGGCAAGTCTGTGAAATCGCCATGGCGCTACAGACTGAGGTAATTTAGAAATATTTGTAATTTTGCGGTTCCTCTGGTCCATACTAAAATTTGACACCGCAAATAGTTAAGGGAACTAACTTTCGCATGAAAATTGGTTCATGCTGATAAGTTATACCTTTTTCGGTAATAATAATCAATATCATAACAGTGTGGTCTGGTGGGTGCGACGTCAGAACGCAGTCCGTGTCAGGTTCGAACCCTCTGGGCGGTGCTCAGCAATAATTTTCCGTTCAGGATTTTTTACATTATAAAGTATTTTTATTATAATGTTATACGAGAAAAGGTTAATAAAAACTAACGTAAAACCAGGTAGTCAAACACGCCACAATATAATCTATAATGACACTAATAGTATAATTTAATATTTCGATCAAAAAGATGGATTGCTTGCCATATGTCATTAATTCGCCACTGTATCTTGCGTAATATGAATGATTTCATTAATTAAATGAACTAAAAGGTGAATGAAATATGATGGTATGATTGGTTGAATGTATAAATGAATACAGAAATCCTGTTTGACCGTGTCTCAGATATGGTCAGATTCGGATACGGGCGATTGCACGAAGCACGGCCGCGCTGAGAGCATAGTCGACGGCGTGGTGCGCACAAAGGATGACAGGCACATATGGAGCGCTCCTGCGCCAGGGGACGCGCCGATCGCACTCAGTATTCTGCTGGCTAAGTGCACCACGCTCGCCTTACTAAGGATATGGGTAAAACCAGTAAAACTATTTGCATGCACGATTTAAATTTATAGAAGAAGCTTTTTGCCATAGTATCCGGTGATGTTGTAACACACTCAAGCAAGGAAATCAAATTGGTAATGAATAAATTGGTGATGGGTGTGTTCCCACGCTCAAGCGGGATAACGAAATTGCTACTCGATACTATAACGGTACTTTACGGCCAAATGATCATAACGATTTTTCGATGCACGCGTTAGTCGCCAGTTTGATAGGGAGCCACATGACCTATTACCCTCAACATAAAAGAAACTATCCTATGCGTAACCCTGAGATGCCATGTGAACCCTTGTGGTGTTCAAAGTATCTTCTCACATTGAAGAACTGTTGAGTTCCAACTAATTCTCAAAATTGGATTTTGTAAGTGCGGGTAGAGCATTAGAATTTCTGATGTAGACAAATTGAAGCTGCAATGATTCATTTCAAATTATTTGGACATTGTCGATGTGTTATACAGTGTACAGTTGTTAATCATAAATGCTCACAGAATTACAACAAGTCGCGTATTTATTCTACGCGGGGCGTCCGTCTAATCCAAATGAAGCTCGATGACCAAGTGGTTTTCCAAGGGGAGATCGCGAAGTCCAGCGGCGAGATGAAAGGACTCCTGCCGACGTTCGGTGATGTAATGTGATTTTTTTAAACGACATCCTTTTGCAAAAAAATGCTATAAGTATAACTAATAATGAATAGTCTGTAGATGAGAAATCCCCAAGATGTTAAATTATAATATTAACAAATTTAATATTTTTTAAATTATTATACCTTTGCGTGCTTTTCCACTGTACCGCCTGATGTAAGTGGCGATGCTATTGTCTTGGAGTTAACCTGCAGGCTACTTTGATATATTGATTTTTTTGTGATAGGTTGTTGGTAGGCTTTCACAGTTCCAGAAGTATATTTAAATATTTTTCTAACATTTTATACTTGTAATTTATGTATATGCCAATAAAGTAGATGAAATGTACTGATGTCCTAACGTGTGAAATGGTTGTAGAATAGAAAGCATGGGTTTAAAACAAGTATATTCCTCTAGGAATAATAACCCTGTAGCACCTGGACTTGCGGTCAGTCTCAACTCCGGGAGGCAATGAATAAACTCAAGTGGTAGGGCCACGCAAATGTCTTCGCTATTGCCCGAATGGGCAGGTCCGTCGGGGGAAGTACCACGACCTCACAGAAGACCGGCGTGAAGTGGAAGTGTTACACTTCTGCGTTTCGTCTGGTGAGTGTGGTTGCCGGGGCCCGCTTTATTAAAAGGTGGCAACGCATCTACAACCCTACGGGGTGTTGCAAATGTCCATGGGCGGCGGTAATCGTTTAACATATCGTTTAACGTTGACGACCCCAATGGCGTAGTCGCTAGTGTGCTTGCCTCCTGCGCCAGAGGGCGTGCGTTCGATCCCCACTGCTGGAAAAATATTGTGTGATGAAGAGTGTTCTTCTAGTATCTGGGTATTAGTGTTTGGGTGTTATTTATCATAATTTTAATTACAAAAGAAAAGTATGTTTAACTATGTTTGTCAGCTATCTAGTTCCCATAGTACAAGCGTTGTTTAGTTTGGGACTAGAGACCGTGGTGTAAGTGTGTCAAAAGAAAAAAAAAAATCTGCGAACATTTCAGACGATCCTATTCACGAAGGACCCGAGCATATTAGAGCGCGTGCTGCTAAACGACAAACACTTCCAAAGCCTGCTCAGGGAGAACGACCCGGCGAAGGACTACTGCAGTTTGGTCGAAAAGCGACCGCCCACCGCGAACGACGCCAGCCATATGAGCCCGCCCATTCTGGAAGTTTCCACGGCGGAGTGCGACACGAAATACGTGGCCAAGGCGATGAAATTATCCCTTATGTCCAACTGGGGCCACAAGCATATCATAGGGCTGACGGGTGGGTTAACTAGTTGAAACAGTAATCAAGAAAAGTAAAGTAAAAGCCTATGACCCACTCCCGGGCAAGGCGTAGGGTTTTAGGGCAAAGTATTATCGTCGAAATATTGAAATTTTAAAATCGGCAACATATTTCACAATCAAATTATTATTATGATTTATTTGTGTATCGATACACGATTTTCCTACTTACTGACTATAGCAGATATGATAACACATGTCTTCCAGTCAGAGTTATACCTCTAAATGAGTTTTCATAAATACTATAATAAAATATTTACGTATGAATAACTAAATAATAATGTATGAAATAATAATTGTTGGTATTTTTTAATGGTAATCGCTGTGGTGTTAACTGTCTGTTGTTGTTGAATGTTCCGCCTGTTCTTTTAGGCATAGAAGTCTTGAACTACAATAAACCGGTGAAAGTGCATAGAGCATTCGCCTACACTGCGTACATAAGCGACGACACTATGGAGGAGGGTGGCGGGCTGATAGACTGTAGGAATCTGTTTAATGGCAACAACATCACTACGGATTTCAATGACATGTGGTGCACCAACTTCTCGCCCGGCACCAAGTTCTGCCATATCGTCGTCGAGTTTAATGAACCCACCGAGATTTCCAGTAACTAATTAAAAATAATAGAAACCATTGATTTTTATATATTTGTAAAGTAATACGTGTAAATTGGCTTAAGCAAGCTAAAGGACCAGAAATTTGTGCATTGGTCCTTTGAGCCGGATAATATGGTAAAAGATATTTTTATTTTTAGAAAATATGAAGTATGAACATTCGCTGGCAAAATTCAAAGTCATATCTTATTTTAAAATAGTTAACTTGTTTGTAGCAATATTTCCTCTAATTTCGAAACAAAATCATAATAGGTTGAGAAAAAAAATCTACATTTCTTGCATGACGATACATATATTCCCGGTGTAAAAGATTCTTCCCTTCTCATGTTTTAAACTGAATAGTAAAGCCCAATGGAACGTGGCTAGTTAAGTCTTTCTATCTAGCTATGATAATTTTCAACCTCCTTCAAAAAAGGAGGTTTTCAATTCAGTTGTGTTTCATTTTGTTAATTACGTTAGAACTCGGTCATTTATGAACCGATTTTGAAAATTATTTTTGCTTTGGGTTCGCGTCATTGAGTGATATTGGACCTTTGACATTAGGAGATACATCAGGGAACTCCTGATCAATTCATCATTAGAATCAAATAAAAAGATGTGTAATGAATGAATGCGATATTTGAAGTCGTCTTTGTTTATAAAGCTCCGTACCTAGAAGGTAAATAGGGTCCCGACCCTATCACTGAGACTATAACAACAAATAATTAAAAAAAATATTCAAGAGGGGAACCCTTCGTGCGCGAGTCCTACTCCCACTACGCCGGTTTTTACTGTTAACAGAATTGCACTTGTTTAAATTGCATCATTAGAGCATGAACATACTTTTTATTAAAGCATTACGATATTTTTCAAAATGTATCGTCCAGGTATCCGAATCTGGAACTACAATGCCAATTTGGAGTTTTCGTATATCGGGGTGAAGCACGTTCGCTTTCATTTGGACGGCAGACCATTGCACTACCGCCCCCTACTACTTCGGCGGGCACCGGGGGAGACCTGCTACGACTTTGTGCAGCAATTGGACCTCGCCGCGATTGACCACGGGTTCGTGTTTCATCACTAATTTAATAATAATATAAATAAATATTTAGGACACATTTGTACACAACAATTTACAATTTACCTATATGATTGGAAAAACACAAGTTACTTGACGTTTTTAATGGCAGTGAAAAGGAAACATTAAACCAATTTCGAAATGGAGCAAAGTAAACCTGTTTCAAAGTAAAATTAATTGTTGCAATCCGATTTCTAGTTGCAAACACGCATAATGATGTGGGAATCACGACACAATTTTTTTTTCTTTTGACAACTTTTACACCACGGTCTCGTCGTGCACCAGTTAGTTTGTTTCCCCTGAATTCCCGAGTCGCCAGACTAATAACGTTTACAATGGACCGGTATTTCACAGAAGTCGCAGAAAAAACTTCGCTCACATTTGGATTATTGTCGTGTAGATGAATTCCGTAAAATTTTATGATTTAACGTTCGAACAGATTGGAGGACGCTAGTGATACCGAAAGCTTCATAATGGACTGCTTGGGTTACGGCAGTGGTGTGAACTTCGGCGCCCCAACTGGGTTCGTGCTGCAGCTGAGCATATTCTCTACCTGGGGCGACCCTTATTACGTGGGCCTCACGGGCGTCGAGCTGTACGATCCGCACGGGAACATCATTCCAGTTAACGAGACAAGTATGCGTATTATAGAGCTAATATGGGTATTATAGTGTCATGGATTTTTAAGCATGTAGTTAATAGTGTCATATATTATTATATATGTCACTATTAACTATGTACTATGCGTATTATAGTTAATAGTGTCATGGATTTTTAAGTGTAATCTATTTTTAAGTGTTACTGCGGCCTCGTCGACAACGCTTGAGGGTTTAAATATGATTTACCAAACTTCAAAAAAGCGGATCTCGATTACTTCACCATAAGATTTTTTTATGTGAGAAGGTGGCATGCAAACTGGCGGTTCACCTGACGTCAAGCGATAACCACCGCCCATAGACATTTGCAACACTCGTAGGGTTGCAAATGCTTTGCCACCTTTTAATAAAGCGGGCCCGCGACTACCTCACTCACCAGACGGAAAGCAAAAGAAAACTTCTTCTACTACACGTTGCTCTTTTGTAAGGCTGTGTTCGTGTCACAGCGAAAGTTGTCGCGTGGTCACTTTCTCTTTGCAACAATCCATTTTTATTTAATTTAATGTAAAAAGTTCTCAAGCGAGCAGGCGCTACGGTACACCCGATGTTAAGGAAACCTGCATATTTTCGAAATAATATAAAAAAAAAACATTTCGAAGACATGTGAAGTCCGCCAATCCGCATTGGGGCCGCGCGGTGAACTATGCCCCGATACCCTCTGTACCGAGGAGGCCTTTACCGTCCAGTGGGACATGTGTAGGCTGATCTTTTGTACAATTTTTAGCGCGATAAAGATTAAACACATGAACAAACGGACAGACGTGTGCGCGCACCCGGCCAGCGTGAACGTGCTGGGCGGGCGGGGGGCGGAGGGGGCGCGGGGGGGCGAGAGGGACGCCAGGACGCCCTCGCGGCTCGTGGACGGGCGCAACGCGCTCGCCCGCGACGCCGCGCACTCGTGGCTCGCGCCCATACTGCCGCGCACGCTCAACAGGCAATGGCCGCTCCGTTATACGCACACGCTCTACTAGCACTGGCCCTTCTTTAATAAGCACGCTCTACTAGCACTGGCCCTTCTTTAATAAGCACGCTCTACTAGCACTGGCCCTTCTTTAATAAGCACGCTCTACTAGCACTGGCCCTTCTTTAATAAGCACGCTCTACTAGCACTGGCCCTTCTTTAAAAAGCACGCTCTACTAGCACTGGCCCTTCTTTAAAAAGCACGCTCTACTAGCACTGGCCCTTCTTTAATAAGCACGCTCTACTAGCACTGGCCCTTCTTTAATAAGCACGCTCTACTAGCACTGGCCCTTCTTTAATAAGCACGCTCTACTAGCACTGGCCCTTCTTTAATAAGCACGCTCTACTAGCACTGGCCCTTCTTTAATAAGCACGCTCTACTAGCACTGGCCCTTCTTTAATAAGCACGCTCTACAAGCATTGGCCCTTCTGTAATAAGCACGCTCTACAACCATTGGCCCTTCTGTAATAAGCACGCTCTACAAGCACTGGCCCTTCTGTAATAAGCACGCTCTACAAGCACTGGCCCTTCTGTAATAAGCACGCTCTACAAGCATTGGCCCTTCTTTAATAAGCACGCTCTACTAGCACTGGCCCTTCTTTAATAAGCACGCTCTACTAGCACTGGCCCTTCTTTAATAAGCACGCTCTACTAGCACTGGCCCTTCTTTAATAAGCACGCTCTACAAGCATTGGCCCTTCTGTAATAAGTATACTCTACAAGCACTGGACCTTCTGTTATAAGCACGCTCTACAAGCACTGGCCCTTCTGTTACAAGCACGCTCTACAAGCACTGCCTTGCTACACAGGCACTGAACGTGTTATATGCTTACACTCGACAAGCGGTGGCCCTTAAGTTAAACGCATACATTCCACAAACACTGGTCCTTCTGTTATATGCACAGACTCTACTAGCACATGCTTCTATGTTAAACGCCACACGTGCCCTTCACAAACACGTGCCCTTCACAAACACGTGCCCTTCACAAACACGTGCCCTTCACAAACACGTGCCCTTCTGTAATACACACACACTTGACAAGCACTCATCCTTCAATTAGACGCACACACTTGATAAGAACTGACCCTTCTGTAATAAGCAAACATTCTCCAAGCACAAGCTCTATGCTATACGCACATACTCTGCAAGCACTGGTCATTAACCCCCTCACAATTTAATTAAATCAATGGAAATAATTTTAAATTACTTTTTGAATATCACATATCACTGTAGTATTACTGTGGCAATTACGTAATAATCTTCAAGAAACTCTCGCGTGTAGTAATAAAATTGCATATACTTTATTGACGACCCAATTGACACAGTGGATAGAAAAAGTTTTTTTGCACCAGAGAGCGTTTGAGGGTTCGACACTCACTACTGGAAAAATATTGTACGATTTAATGTTTTTATCGTGTCTGGATGTTTATGTATTTGTAATATGTACATAATTATTTACAAAAAGAAAAGTACGTTTATCAGTTACCTTTTCTCAGTTTGGAACTGTCTCACGTTGTGAAAAACCAATCAACTTTCAGAGTTTTCTTCGTATTCGACGCGCCAGTCTCCGTTTACGGTATGAAGATATGGAATTACGGGAAAACCCCGACACGCGGCGTCAAAGAGTTTGGGGTGGGTAGACACAGTGCGCTGGTTAAAATTGTCGTTTGCGATAGTTTGAATTAAAGAAATCAAGAATGTTTTTATTGCTGATGTTTCCCTTTAGCGAAGAATAATTTTCTCTATTTGCTCTTTTATAGGTATTAATGGATGACCTATTAATATACAATGGCATTCTGGATTGCGTAGAAGGCGAGGAGATAAAATCGCAATGGATCTGTCTGCGGGACGTGGAAATAGACGCGTTGACGCCGAGGTATATTATAGAAAATAAACATTCTCGGAAATTTTCTTCTTTTGGCTGCGAAAAGAGTATAATTTAAAGGGATTTGAATGCATAAAGAATTTTGGAAATTGAGATTACTAGTTGAAAAAATATTTCTTCAGGAACCAGTAGCTCAGCCATAATGCCTTCGACGATATGTGTAGAGTACACACATCAATCTCTTGTAGTGCTTATTCCTCACGCTCAGTGATGATTCTATTATGGATATATTTGGATCCGATATATCGATACAAAATATTCAATATCAAAAACGATATTTTTTCAAATTCGAATCCAGCACAGAGTCCGTAGGTGCCAAAGATTTAATACTTAACATACCATTTTTATGAACAACGGAGTATCTAGGATATCGTAATATTTCTTCAATTTCGGCATACCTACGTTTTCCTTTGATGGCGTAGTGCGGCTTCCACAGTGTCCTTTACGAAATGGGGAAAACGTTTCGAGATAGCCAGTGTACGGGAGCTCGCTTTTAATACAATATATACACTCGAGCAATCCGGGTTCAAATCCCGGTGCCGGCACCGATGTAACTGGCATGGATGTTAATGGCAATTTATGTGCTAACATCACGTGCTTAGCGGTGAACTAAAATATAGCGAGGAAAGGTGCATATTTAATACCGAAAAATATTTCGACGATATGTGATATTTGTCAATCCGCAGTGGGGTCGCGTGGTGGATTATACCTTAATAGCCGTACATAGCGGGCCTTTGCCCAGCAGTGGAACAGTCTGTTACTTAACTTTATACAGCGTGTCGTTACAATCGCGACAATAAATGAACACACATATAGAGAATAACTTTTTAAAATTGTATTAAACAATTTACATTCTTTAAACCTCAATATTTAACGAGTTATTAAATTTTCCAAAACAAAGAATTTTAGAACAAACTTACGTATAAAACTGTAACGTAAAGTTCATTTGTAAAGGTAACAAAGGATATGAATGGGTTGAATGAATTTAAAAGAGACAAATCATACTGTTAGAAGGAGAGGCTTGTAATGCGACGCTGTGGCAACGAATGAAAAAGTTTCTGAATGTATGAATCAGTCAGTAGTTGTATAGGATGTTACAAATTTTGTTTCTTTTTTACTTAATTAGTTTGTATGAAAAATATTTTTTTTTTCATTATGGATTTTTTAACTTAAATATGTTATTATGATTATTGGCAAGTAGCGTTAGACGTGTGTTCATTTATTGCTGCGGTTGTAACGACACGCTGTATATTTTTAAACTAAAAATGTAAATATTTTTGACTACTATTTGATATCAACCGCAGCCCGTCAGACGCTAGCCACCGCTCCACCACCGGCGGCTCGAAGAGGCCGGCCGATCCGCGCGCCCGGCCCCACACCAGCGTTTCCCAAGACGCGCACGCACACACGCACACGCACACGCACGGAGACGCGCACACGCACACGCACACGCACGGAGACGCGCACACGCACACGCAAGCCGACACGCACAAGGAATACGTCACGTAACGAGACACTAGGGGAAAGAATCGCGACAGTTTGGACCTGTGTTCGTGTATTGAATTGTGAACAAGCTCCCCGACACGCAGAATGCGGAAGGATTCAATTAAACGTTAATTTTGTTTGTTTTTTGTCATCTGAAATACATATAAAAATGTAATTACCGTAATAATAGTTTCAATTCGATTCGAAAAGTATCTCTACATTCGTTCACAGCGTTCTGTTCGTAAGTGTATTTGGATGTCATTGTTGAAGAATTTATTAAAAACAATAATGTCATGATTGCAAAATATATAATATTAACGGGAACTGTATCAGTGATACAGTTCCCGTTAATCTTATATATTTTGTGATACAGTATCACTGCACTTCATTGCACGCAAAGAGAAAATCTTTTTTTAAATAATTATAGTAATTTTATATAATCCTTATATATGTATATAATTTGTCACTTGTCGTACATTGTCCCATTGTGCAACTAAATGTGATGAAAATGTTTCTGTATTTATAATTTTTTGTAAGTTTTTTGCCTCATTTTGATATCAGTTTTACAAATGTTTATGAGTTTTTAAAACAAATTTAGATTATTAATACATACAGTACATTCAGAATTATTACTATAATAAATCACGTATTTAACGTATTTTTAACATACAGTATAAATCGGGTATGTGTTTTTATTTTAGAATTAGTATAATCATATAACAATATATAAAACTACAAGACATGTAGATGTATTTTCTTTTCATAAATTTAAATTAAGTAGCTATTGTGTTCTGTAGGTAAACACGTAGAAAGTAACAATGTAGACTGCACAAAAGCCAAATCTTTGTTTAATTCATCTACTAATTGTTATTTTACATGACTAGTAAGAATATTACAGGAAGTACCAAAAAAAAACCTTGATGAAAATCAAACAAAAAAAAACCTTTATTTGTATGTTTAAAATAATAAAACTTTTATATAATTAAATAACGGTTTACAGTGTTGTCTTATTTAAGAAACCTTTACATATATCAAGACATGATTAAAAGTATTATAATTCTTGATTGGTTAATTATACTTTATTTAAATTTAAATAGCCGTGATAGCTGTGTCCGGGCGCTCGCCTTTAATTACATTTACTCGAGCAAGGAGTTCGATCCCCGGTGCCAGCACCAATGAAATTCTTAATTTTAAGTGCTGAATTATCACTTGCTCTGCGGTGAAGGAAAACATGGTGAGGAAACCTGCATATGTTCGAAATAATAATAAAATAAAAATATTTCGAAAATATGTGAAGTCCGCCAATCCGCAGTTGGGCTGCGTAGTGGACTATGCCCTGATACACTCTTTACAAAGGAGGCGTTTGCCCAGTAGTGGGACATTTATAGGCTGTTACTTTATAAATTTAAATTAGTTCATACTGTAGTGTAGTACTTAAGTAAACAATAAAATGAAACAAGAAAAGCTGTTCAACTTAATTTATTGTTAGACTACTTACAAATCACAGGTTTTTGTTGCTTTTCATACTAATCCATTCTACAATACGGCTTAAGGGCTATTGTGGCAGTTAAGAAAAAATGACAATCAAATATTGAATACATTATTATAGCATTACACAGATATACAGACTGAATTTTTTCACTAATGTAAAATTCTAACAAAACCGTAGAAGCAATTCTATCAAAATCTTAGCCAATATAATATCGATTACTTTCAGTCTCTAAGTATATTAAGAAAGTTTCATCTGATGAAGAGAATATGATGACAACGATGATGATAAGAGAGATCAATGTCTCAATAACAACACAAAAACTGCTCACAGTTCGCTCGTGCTAGTTTTTGTTTTCTTATTTTTTGCACCTTTTGACCATATAATAAGGGAACATAAAAATTGACATCTTAATTTTCATTCCTCTGGAATAAAGCCTTCACATTTATCAAATCCATCAGGATTAAGATATGTCGCTTTAGCGGAAAACGCCGTATCTAATGTTAGAAACGTCATAGAAAACTCGTGTATATTTGTTTATAATGTATATGTCTAGCTAAAGAAATAGACGGAGTCCAAAACCTCGTTTATGTCAAAGTCTCCTTTTCCAGGGACATTTCCAAGGAGACTGTTTACTCGTTTTTTGTTCGCCACGCCTTCGACTTTATCTTCTATTTCGCTGAAATTAAAAAAAATATTATAAAGTTATCACAGAAATTAGTAATGTGTTAATAATATTGATAAAATTCACTTAATTTAAATATTTCAATAATAATTAGACACATAGTTATGTAGGTAAATTCATAAATAAAAAAGAAGATTTTTCGATATTATATGTCTGATACAAAATTAACTACATAACTTAACATACACAGTTTATACATAATGTTAATTTTACCTTTCGCTATAACTGTATCTCTTAACCAGAAATTCCGATAAGTTCTCTAGAATCGGCTGTGAGTGGAGAGCGACGAACTGTTCACGGCATATCTGAAAAATAAAGCAGATAAATTTTGCCTTAAACCTAATTTACAAACAGAAATATAATAAAAATCCTGTCCTTAGAACATTTTAGGCAGATGATCTTTTATTTTATGTCATCATTATCTCCGGTGGTAGGCCTTCCAAAGCTACGTTGTCCCTACTCGAGAAATATTATTTGCAAAGGTCATCAGATCTTCGTGCGATGGCCTGTGCTTTGTCACTTCAACTTGCAAATCTGTAGAGCCGTGTCTGTGACCCTGCTTCTTCAGCAAATTTTCTTGTTCCGTATTATGTTACGCAAAGTAACTCCGAGCATAGCCCTCTCTATAGCTCATAGTGTGACTTTAAGCTTCTCTAAAAGGCCAGCTTATAAAGACCGCGTCTCTGTGCCACATGTAATCAATTACACTAAACACTAAACACTATACAACCTTGACTTCAGGCATTGCGGAATCTTGGAAGAAGATATCATTGTGTGTAATTTCTCGAACCCTGCCCATCCGTTTTGGATTCATCGGACACCTCTTTTTCGAAGTTGACACACCTTGAAACGTTTGTCCAAGTCAGAAGACATAGTGCAAAATTGACGTTCGACATTATTTTCGTCTTGCCCATGTTTATTTTAAAACCCACCTGTTGGAAAATGACAGTGAGGTCGCTGAGCACGGTATGAAAATCGTCCCGCGATTGTCTCTTGTTTGCACTTTAGTCCGGTCGAATAGGCGCTCTCGCTCGGTGGTATATCGGCGTCCCGCTCTCACCTGGTTCATGCGGTCGACGGCGCTGGGGTGCGTCCAGTAGCAGTCGTGCACGGAGACGAAGGCGAGCCCCGCCGCGGCGCAGTGCAGCCCCGTCAGCATCATGTGCGACGAGTCCAGCGAGTGGATGAAGTTCGGCGGGAACGCGTTGCGCTGCTTCATCGTGCACGGCCGCCTGCGATAGGTTACGGTTGCACGACGATTAATGCGGCTATCACAATTAGCGTGTCGTAATTCGCCATTATAGTTAAAATAAGTTGTTGTTATGAACGCAACCGTTCATACCGAAAATGGAACGAGGCAACATTATAAGGGACAGAGAGACTACTTCTTGTTTTCTTAAAATTGTAACAGACTACTCACTACTTTCCTTTTTTATGGTACATAAAGATTTTGTAGCAAAAGACTTTTTTTATCATTTACTGGCGCCTACATTCCATCTTCTAAACACCTAAGAAGAAACAGTTGTATTTTTTTTTGCTTAGTTATCAAGTGCTCAGCGGTAAAGGAAAATATAGTTGTTAATTTAAAAAAAAAATAGCCTGTGGTATGTACCACCACACGAAGACCAGCGTGAATTGGAAGTGTTATACTTTTGCAGTTCGTCTGGTGAGTTAGGTATCCAGGGCTCATTTTATTAAAAGGTGGTAACGTATCTGCAACCTTATTGGTGTTGTCAATGTCAATAGACAACGGTTATCACTTAACATCAGTTGAACCGGCAGCTCGCTTGTCACTTATCTCAAAAAAAAGTAAGGAAACCTGCATAAATTCGAATAACAAAAAATAAATATATTTTGTTTAGTATTTATACCAACTCTTACTAAAGCCACAAAGGCGACAATAATAAGGTACAGCTTAATGTCAACATTATTTAACCAAAACCAAATAGACTGATTATCACAACTTTTTCTTAAGACCTGAAAGTATTTAAAGCTCTCTTTTACAGGTACTCTATGGTTAACGAAGAGTGCTGCTATAATGATGAAATGTTTTCCTATTATTCAAGGTGCGTTGTCTTCCATAAGCGGTTATTGTATGCACTCACTGGTGGTGGTCTAGTGGCGCGTTGAGTTGCGGGTGCTGGTATTGGGCGCGGCGGTAGTAGGGCTGCACCACGGGCAACCCCAGCGGTGTCACCCATTCCACACTCTCGCCGCACACGCCCGAGATCAGTCTGAGATACAGATAAAATACAACAATATCATATAAAGTACCATTAAAAGAGAAGTAATTTAAAATTCAACTATAACTATAAGAATTAACTTGCTATAACATAAATAGCAAAAAAGAAACATTAAGGAATACAATATTTAATTTTGAACTGTCTTCCTTTTTAACGCAAGTCGCCTCTTACTCAGAAAAGTTGTGATCTACTCATTAGCAGTTACTTTCATTACAACAGTACAGTACAGTTTTACTTATTAAAAATAATGAGAATGTGTATATGGTAATAAATTACATAAATATAGTTTTGGCTGTACCTAAAATATCAACTATACGTTTTGTATGGGACAAATGTTTTTTTTTTAATATTCATCAAATTATTTCACATCAGAGGTGAGCAGATTGCACGGATCTGCAATGGAATAAAATAAAAGGCATTTACTTTGCACAATCCGTGAACCAGTCTTGAATGAGCTTAGTGGAGGTAAACATCTCCCGCAGGCTGTCAAAAGTCTTGGTCGTCAGATACTGAGAGCATGACCACACATGCTCTTTCGGGAAATCCTCTATATCTGAAATAATAGTTATTGTAAGGTTTTATAGAAAACAAATCTGGTTATTTGCAAATGTTGCTTGCAATTACTGAATTTAAAAAATTCAAAGATTAATGATGATTATGATAACAATTTTATGCCACACATAAAATAATAGCCCAAGATTATGGTCATATAGTGGCAGCACCGTTAGTTTTAATTTAGTGTAATGCTTAGACACAGTATAAATTTTAGGTACCTTTGAGTTGCTTAGCAATCTGCAGCCGGGCTCCGTACTTAGTGACGCCGTAAACGGTGGTCATAACGGTTTGCTTGATGACCTTCCTCCTCACGAAGTTTTCAAGGATTATGGCGGCGGGCACACCATCGGCCGCGTCACGGGACCTCATCTTTTCAACCTGGAGTGGGTCATAGAAATTAGCTTGCATTCTCTACAAATACCAATATTCAATATTTAACTCTTCAGGAAAGAAGCCAGTTGAATTAAATTGTAATAGTAAAGACTGATTAAATATACATCAGTACTTGATGGGTTGTATATGAAACATTCAGTATAAAAAAAAGTAAATTAACAACATATTAACATTAAATATCAACCTATACATGTCCCATTGCTGAGCAAAGGCCTCCTCTGTAAAGAGGGTATACGGCTTAGTCCACCACTAGTGGTAAACATATTATATATAATACATTGAAAATGAAAAGTTTGTTATAACAGGTTTTAAATGGGTGTTGATTTGGAACATTATGTGCAATAAATAAACGCAGCGTACCTGTAAACCATATCAATTCTATTGTTATACTAGCATTGGTTGCTACCAATACTAGTATAATAACTGTTTGCTAATGAAATCAGAACAGGTATGATGCCTGAATGGGGTCAAACAGAACTCTAGGACGCGCTCACTCATCGCGACTTGTGGGGTATGGGCGCACGGAGACCAAGTGGCTTTCGAAACAACAGCGAAACGCGGAAATATAACAGTTCCACTTCACGCCGGTCTTCTGTGAGGTCGCGGTACTTCTCCGGATGGACCTGCCTATTCGTGCAACAACAGAGACTGCTGGCCCTACCACAGCTAGCCGGCGATTGTGCACCGTGTGCACGTAAAGTATCTCACACATTAAACGAAACGCAGAAATATAACACTTCCACTTAACGCCGGTGTTCTGAGAGGCCGCGGTATTTCCCCGGACGGACCTGCTCATTCGTGCAACAGCCGAGACTGTCACGTGACCTTAGCACAGTTAGGCTGTGTTCGTGAACCGCGTGTCCGTCCCCTCAACAGGGTGGCCACGCGGACGGAATTGCCCATTCGTGCGACAGCGGACTGTCGCGTGACCCTAGCACAGTTAGGCAGTATTCGTCAACCGTGAGTCCGTCCCCTCAACAGGGTGGCCACGCGGACGGAATTGCCCACCCGTGCGACAGCGGACTGTCGCGTGACCCTAGCACAGTTAGGCAGTATTCGTCAACCGTATGTCCGTCCCCTCAACAGGGTGGCCACGCGGACGGAATTGCCCATTCGTGCGACAGCGGACTGTCGCGTGACCCTAGCACAGTTAGGCAGTATTCGTCAACCGTGAGTCCGTCCCCTCAACAGGGTGGCCACGTGGACGGAATTGCCCACCCGTGCGACCGCGGACTGTCGCGTGACCCTAGCACAGTTAGGCAGTATTCGTCAACCGTGTGTCCGTCCCCTCAACAGGGTGGCCACGCGGACGGACCTGCTCATTCGTGCAACAGCCGAGACTGTCACGTGACCTTAGCACAGTTAGGCTGTGTTCGTGAACCGCGTGTCCGTCCCCTCAACAGGGTGGCCACGCGGACGGAATTGCCCATTCGTGCGACAGCGGACTGTCGCGTGACCCTAGCACAGTTAGGCAGTATTCGTCAACCGTGAGTCCGTCCCCTCAACAGGGTGGCCACGCGGACGGAATTGCCCACCCGTGCGACAGCGGACTGTCGCGTGACCCTAGCACAGTTAGGCAGTATTCGTCAACCGTGTGTCCGTCCCCTCAACAGGGTGGCCACGCGGACGGAATTGCCCACCCGTGCGACAGCGGACTGTCGCATGACCCTAGCACAGTTAGGCAGTATTCGTCAACCGTGTGTCCGTCCCCTCAACAGGGTGGCCACGCGGACGGAATTGCCCATTCGTGCGACAGCGGACTGTCGCGTGACCCTAACACAGTTAGGCAGTATTCGTCAACCGTGTGTCCGTCCCCTCAACAGGGTGGCCACGCGGACGGAATTGCCCACCCGTGCGACAGCGGACTGTCGCATGACCCTAGCACAGTTAGGCAGTATTCGTCAACCGTGTGTCCGTCCCCTCAACAGGGTGGCCACGCGGACGGAATTGCCCATTCGTGCAGCAGCCGAGACTGTCGCGTGACCCTAGCACAGTTAGGCGGTGTTCGTGAACCGCGTGTCCGTCCCCTCAACAGGGTGGCCACGCGGACGGACATGCCCATCCGTGCGACAGCGGACTGTCACGTGGCCGCAGCACAGTTAGGCGGCGACTCACCAGGGTGGCCACGCTGGTGTAGACGTCCCGCGGCCGCAGCCCGGGCGCCAGGTTGACGGCGGCCGCGCCGGCCGAGTCCCCGCCCAGCGCCGCGTAGTGCTGCAGCCCGTTGCACGAGCCGTCCTGGTGCACCGGGAAGCCGCACTCGTACTCTGCGCAGAGCGCGTCGCTTCAGCACTAACGATACTAGTCTCGCCGGTTGGCAGACGATGACTTCACGAAAGGAGCCTAATTATACGAAGGCCGACAATGCATTTATAACTCACAATTTTTGACATTTATAATTCAAAACAATTATCAGCGACCCGTCATGCGTGAAGAGGTCCGTGTTGTGACGTGGTATGTAGGATGGGCGGCGGTAATCTCGTATTTTTCACAGTAAAAAAAAAATAGCTCGATATTTCTAGATACTCTATACGTGACGTATAACAGTACAATGGTTTATTTATACACGTTTTATTTATCATAATTTCTAAATATTGCCAAAATCTTCTGTTTATAGATTTTACCTTCCGGATTGGGCGACCTCACGGCGTTGGCGATTTCCATGCAGCAGGCGAGGGTCTGCCACGGCTCTTCTGACTGCTTCCACCAGCCTTCACCGTCCAGGGGGTTGTCCGCGGAGTCCAAGATTTTGTCCAGTATACTATTCGCATATTCGTACCTAACGGATAAATTAATTTTAAATCAATGTCTCGAATAGATAAATCTAAATGTAATTAAAAAGATCGTAACAATGTATTCTACTAATGCACTCTAAAGCATAGGATGACATATTTTTTTTATTTCAAAATTTATACTTTGAACTATATAGAATGTTAATGGTGATGAGAAAATAACTTGGGAGTTTATACTATACTTTAAATAACATGATCCCATTTTTCAATGAGAAAAAGAAAGTGAGAGTGGTAACAGCAATACAGATAGCCCCTTGTCCGTCCCAATTTTCTTTCTTTCGATTAGACCGACGAGAGCGAGATAGAAAGAGCGTGGAGGGAGAGAGAGAGAGAGCGAGACCCACCTCTCGTCCAGCGTGCTGCTCTTCATGGTGCCGGTGAGGTTGACGGCGTGCAGCAGCAGCCAGCGCAGGCCGCGCGGGCCGAGCGGGCGCGTGTACGCTAGGCGCAGCAGCGCGCGCGCCGCGTCCGCCCCCAGCGCCGACACGTGCGGCCCCACCGCGTACACCCGCCCGCGGAAGTCCATGTTGTGCGGCAGCCAGAACGTGCGCCCCCTGCCCGGCAATTAAGCTTTGCTTATCATCATTATTATTTTACAACGAGGGAAAACATTTCGTATTTGTCACGAGACACCTTTTAGCTACATGACGCTCCTACAAAGCAACTAATGATTTTATATTTTTAATGAACATCACAACCTGAGGCACCTAATCTGCAGGTGTGAAATTTGGTTAAAAATAACACAAAGACTAATGTCGTTAAATCGTAACGGCCTCCAAAAACATTTGATGTAATTAATGACTTTACCTATTCAAAAGATCTAAGCCAAAAGTATCAGATGCACATTTCACGAAGTCTTCCGTGATGCCGCGGTACTTTAGCCGCCCATCTGTGCAACAGAAGATGTGGCCTTGCCCCGGCGGCTGACCTGTAATGGTTGGCGAGCGACAGCTTGTAGAGCGCGTCGCACCACAGCGAGTGCATGTCGGCGCGCGCGCGGTTGATGGCGAGGCGGCGCTTGAAGGCGGCCGCAGCGTCTCCCCCCGCCCCCGCACCCACCCCCGCCGCCGCACCAAACTGCGACGCGTCCAGCGCGCTCGCCGGCGGAGGGATCTCCAGCCTCTTGTCGCCACCGGACCTGTAAATTCAAGAGTTCACTTTGAACTGTCCTAACTCTCATCATAGACCTATCAGCCTCACTAACATCTAATTTTTTGAATTCCTATCCATAAACTTTGATGTCCTGAAATAGTCTTTATTGTATCTAACGATTGCTTTTGCATTGTTAAAGATTAGAACGAAGTGTTATAAATATATTGCATATCTGGTGTCCAAATTCTTCATCATGCATACATTGTCCTTAATTAATTAAAATGATATTTTTGAAAGTACATAGAAATAATAGTTATATTAAGTTTGTTCATTGAAACATTATAGTAATCACATAAATTAAAGTATATTTATTTACCTAAAAACTTTCATTTGCAAGTCCAGGATGGGTTGATTGATGACCCACGGCACCTCACCCAGCTGATTTAGACTGTCTAGAACTGGATACAGTGCACTGGGCGGAGCCTCTTCCAAGCGTTTCATTTGACTTGACACATAAAATGGCATCCTGGAAAATAAAAATAAGGTTCAGTTGTGGAAGTTTTTTTATGCAAGAAGGTGGCATGCAAACTGGCGGTTCCCTGATGTTAAGCGATAGCCGCCGCCCATAGACATTTGCAACACCCGTAGGGTTGCAGATGCATTGCCACCTATTAACAAAATGGGCTCCGGCTACCTTACTCACTCGACAAAAGGCAGAAGTTTAACACTTCCACTTCACGCCGACCTCCTGTGAGGACTCAAGGGTCGGGTACTGTATGAGCGGCGTGGCGGTGTGGAAGAGAAGAGAGGAGAATGCACAAGACTAAGTTTGTATTGTGGAAGAGAAGAGTGGAGGATGCAAAGGGCTAAGTTTCAATTGAGGAAAAGAAGGGTGGATGCAGCGGGGGTGGAGAATGCTAGGCTAAGGTTCAGTTGTGCAAAAGAAGAGTGGGGAATCAAGGGTCGGATACCGAATGAGCGGCGTGGCGGTGACGAGGTAGGCGCCGGCGGTGGGGCTGCGCCAGGGCGCGGGCGGGGCCAGCGTGGGCGCCAGCGTGGCGCGCAGCCGAAGGGCGGGCCGAGCGGCGCTCGCCCACAGGCGCGCCAGCACCGGATGCGGCTTCAGCTCCAGCCGCACCAGCCGCCCCCACGGACGGTGCACCTTGTACACGGCCGGCAGCTTCCTCCTGGCGCGTTTGGGGATGACAGTGAATTTTTAGGATGGTGTTGCCACGGCGACCAGTCACAAATTTTTGACATTTACCTACAGTTATCGTTCAACCCGTTAAATTTCATGAATACAAAAATTATATCATAAATTCCACATGGACAAACATCTGTCATAAAGAACAATTATCTGTCGTGAAACAGTTGTCACAGAAATATTTGTCCCGTATGGGAGTTGAACCCGCAACTGGCACCATCGCCAATACCTTGGCAACTATACAATGGAGATGGAATTGTGAAGAATCATACAACTCACTATACTGTGGGAGAACCACGCAGCATTCTTTGCAATTGCATGAATGGGCCGGCTCCTCCATGAAGTGGAAGTATTATGCTTTTGCAATTTTGGTCTGGTGAGTGAGGTTATGGTGACCCAAATTATTAAAAGCACTTTTTAAAAAATTGCAAATGTCTGTCGTAACAATAAGACAACTGATAAAGCTTGTTGAATACATTATCATTGTACTAAGTAATGTTTATATAGTAATGTCTTTTTGCTGTTTTGCATTGTTATTACTTACTGTTTAGATTTGGTTTTAAACATGTTGACGTCGATTTTTACATCGTTTATAATGATATTGTATAGGAATTTTCCGATATTCTGCCGCATCTCCATCGGCCATGGTGCTTCCTCTAGGTCCTAAGCAATAAATAATGTTTGCAAGTTTTTCAAATTTCACAGAAATATTTTAACAAACAATAAATGTATATAAAAATTAGATTTAAAACCTTACAGTACAACAAGTATGAAAATTCAAAAAAAGAGGTAGATTTTTGTTCAACAGTAAGCCTATTTATGATGATTTAAAAAAAAAGGAAAAAATTTATCACATTACATATCTAACTCACCAAACTAGCACCTTCTCTATTCTGATGCTCAAGAAGTTGCCACACTTGGCGCCCATTATAAGGCTGGTTCGAACCATCTATTGACTCTCGGTTTAAATACCACTTGCAATACTTCTCATATATCTGTTCAACTTTCTTTAGTACTCCATTTCGCCTATATTGTTCGATCTGGTACCTAATTTTTGAAGTTAAGATTTTTTAGAAAATTATGCATTAAAGAGGTAAAAACAAATAAAGGATAACATTTAATAGTCTATTATAGCATAATATAAAAGTACTTACTTATGGTAAACTTGAGTCCCAAGGTCCCGTTGTAATAGTTTTAAGGTAGGGCTGTAAGTTTCACTCCCATCAACCAGTTTGAATATTTCTCCCATCATTAACTCCACAAATTGATCTGTCTGTAATAAAGTAAGACAAAACATTAGCATAAAGCAAACATGTAAGTTTAATTATGAGTTACTGTATCAAGTATTGGTTGAAGTTGCAACTCAACTGTCAAATACCTTTTCGCACAAAGATTTCAGACAGGGTATGTACTAAAAAAAAAACTAACCAATTTTTCTAAGTAATCAATAATAACATAGCAGGTTTTTTAAATAATATCCAAAGTGGGCTTTGAAAAGGCTGTTAGACGTTAAGGTTTTTTCTTTAAGTTAAAAGCAAGAGATAACTTTACTGTAACTCATGGATTTTAAATCAATTTTTTGCTTGTAATTACTTTCAATGTCTTTGTACTACCTATTTCTTAATACATAAATAGTTTTTGGTTTAGTAAGCTGAATATATTTTTATTGCATATACCTCTAACACTTTGAGATATGGATATAAAGTAATAGCAGAATGTGAAGCATTGCTTTGTGACTTCAGAGTTCCCAAATTACGAAGAAACGCGTCCTTAATCACGATACGCCATTCATTTTCTGTCTCTTGAAGTTTGGATCTCTGAAATAAAGAGAATTATTCTTCTTATTTTTTTTATACCAATAAAATGTTTACCTGCCCTCATTACACTAATTAGTATGTTGGTAATTTATATAAAGCTTATCCTGTTTGTTTTATTTAACTATAGACATAAAATGAAAATTGGTTCATAATGAATTTTTGTATTGCCATTGTGCGACTTATTCTTTTCAATGATTTACTGTGTAATTTAAAAGCAATATTTAGTAAAAAAATTTTAGATTCAAAATTTTAATTATTTCACAACTTACATATAATTTCACAGCATCTGTTTCTTCTTCATTTACAGCTATATTTTGAACTTCAATTTCTCCATCCATTTCCATGTCTAGTTGCATTTGACCCTTACTCTTCATATCTTCAAGACTAAGCAAACCTTCTGCTGGTGAAGTGAGAAGCCCTTGTCTGTTTGTGGCATCACATAACTTTAACTTTTCTAACAGAGGACAGTCATAGTCAAGTGTAGGAGGTGTATATGAGGGTTCAAATTGAGGATTAATTCTCCTTATTGCCATTTGGATAACTTCACGTTGATCATAAACAAATTTAGTCTTATCAAGGAGATCATTTAATGTAATACCCTGCAAAATAATGTAAAATTAACATATTTGTATTAAATGAATAATTTTATATGAAATGCAAACTAAATTAAGATTGGTAATTTCTCTGGCTATTTTGTATCAATTACCTTTTCTTGCATTTGAAGGTGGTAAAATTGTAATATCGATTCTTTTTGTGATGACTTGCTTCTTTCTACACACTCAAATATTGCTGCATAAGTCTGTGCATTCAAAGAAAGTCCATCTTCTTGCATGATTGATACTAACTGCTTGGCATCATTACAGATTACCCTAGAACAGTAATAAAAACAAATAAAATAAAAAATTATGAAAACAAAGATGTTTACATTCCAATATAGTGAAGTCAATTGAATATCTGTTCATAATATTCTGTTTGTAATTTTATATCACTAGAACTATAATAAAATTTTAGAGTAAGAATTTTTTAAGAATTTGCAAACCAATAATTTTATTATACCTGTGATGCATAACCATGCAACAATGTATTGTAAATCTTAACATCTGTTATTTTTGGATGTTCAGGTGTCCTTGCTCCTCTAATTCTATAATACTGTAATACTTGACGACCCTGTAAATAATGAAAAACATTACATACAATAAAATTGTAATGGGAAAAGTATGAAACAAAAAATTCTTAGAGTGCTAGGCATTAATCTGTGTCAAATCTAAACGTATTGCACAGATAAGCTTTGATAAAACATAGTAACTTCAAAGTAGGTTATCTCAATAAGTCTACTTCTGAGCGGGCAATGTGCTAACTTGTGTGAAATAACTGACATGAAAAACTCAATGAACAAACATTTACATAGTTCTACATGCTGAGTTACTTTCATGTGGTATTAAGGGTTAGTTTCCTAGCTATTATAAAGTGCAGAGGAATAATTTGAATCTCGCAGACTTTGTATCTAATTTAGTGCACTCTTGATGCTTGATCCCTTGTAGCCACCCATGCAACCAGGTGTTAGCCATGAAATTGCTAATACTATGTTAGTAAAGGATAGAGTGCATAAAATTGAACTCCAGCTTACCTCTTGTAACATATTCAGTGAGCACAGTAACTGCAAATGTGCTGTCAACAATTTATGCAATGCCTCTTGTTTACCCCGCTTCTCAAGCTCCTTTATGTCTTGCCTCATATTAATCTCATGTACGGCCCGACGCTTTTCCCTCATTTTTTTCTTTTTAACCTTTATAGCCTGTTGCCTTTAAGAAAAAGAAAATGATCTGAATTTAGGACCTATATAATTTAATATTTCTAGAACGTACATATATTTAAAATACAGTTTAACATTTGTTAAGCTACTCCAACATAGCGAGGTTGTATATAATTTTATTTTAATTATTTGTTTTCAACTTTTTACATAAATGAAGTAGACTTACGCTTTTTTAACATTAAGCTTCTTTACATTCAGAGATTCGCTAGGGCAAGAATCATAGTCTTCTTTGGTTTCAATATCAGTTTGGAGTGCCAGATCGTCACACATATCTTCAATAGCAGGATGTGGCATACCTTGAAGTCTAAAAGAACAAAAAAACTTTTTAATTTATACTTTGTTTATCATTATTGTGGACTGATTTTTAGCTAATGAAATTTAACTACTTACTGAAAATTAGAAATATAGTGCATGAGTTCTTGATCATAGCTATCCATTTGATTGCCTATAAAAAGTTTTCTAAACACAGCATGGGGACTTTTTGGCAGAGTTTGCATTTCAATGTTTTCATCTTTAGGCTTCCTGTCTGACGATATTCCAAGATCAAATTCTTGATTAAGACCCTCATTTATGGCATACCTTAAATCCTGCAGTCTTTGGTCATAAATGGTTGCTTTCCTAAAGTTGTAGTAACTCTCTTTAACCGTATCAATATACTTTTTTGTTTTAAACCTTTCTTCTATTGAAGTTATTTTATGATTTGTGAAAATAAGGGCACACTTGTCATCCTCCAGCTTAATATCTTTAGATACAGCAGGCATGGTCAGCTGCTTCTTCAAAATTTTTTCTTTAACACTTTGCAATAGTTCGGGGTCAACTTCAATATTGGCCTTTTTAGGAGCCTTTTTAGTTAGTTGATGAAGTTGTCCAAGAGAAACAGAACTAGATGCAAGTTTCGATAAGTGTACAGCCCGTAATTTGCTGATTGATACTTTCATTTCCGTCATGGCTGATTCTCCGACTAAAAACATGATTATTAAGTTTTAAGTTATATTTGTTTACATTTTAAATGAATAATAAAAGAGAATTACGCACCCTCCAGCAATTCCCCATATTTTTTGTAAATATGTTTTGCTTTCTTTTTATGTGATCTTACGCTAGCCGTTTTTGTAGACTGATGCCTCTTAGGAACAAAATTTTCTGAAAAGGTAACAAAGTTATGCAACCTTTAATTAGGGTTATGTTTATAAATATTTTTTCATATTATCATAGGATGATTTTTTTTTTTCTATATTATGATATATGAATTAATACTTATTATAACTTTACCTGGGTTCTGTGATGTACGGAGAATTTTTTGACAAAATGAACATTTTAAATTGGAAGAACTGATATTTTTTAAATTATTGTGAGGTAAACCAATTCCATGTAGACTTCCCTGGTAAATATTCTTGGCTGAGATAAGCCTATGCATTATTACCTAAGTTGACATCACAAATTCACAGAAATCAAACGCCGATATCACGAAAATAGTAACGAAAACCACGTGAAATTGAAAGACATTAGTTAAAAAAGAATTCCAAAATAATCACAGAGTAAATCGAATACGGTTTCAAATGTGTCAATTTTGAAGACAGATATCTAAAAATATACAATACCACGGGCGGATGTTATTGTCCCAATAAAAAAAATCATATGATTGTTATTTTTGCTTGGGTAGAATGCACCATTAGATTAGGATTTTAATAATTATGTAAACTGATTATTTATCATTGTAGTAATGTGTTCATTATAATTTATACCTTACCATGGCATTTTTTTTTTTCATAAGAATTCTAAAATTCTGATATTATAGAGTTCTCTTTAAAAACACTTTATTACCATGTAATTATTTCTATAATTTATTACCAAACCAAGAAAAAAGTAATTGAAAGGAATGTCCAAATATTATTATTGACCTAGAGAAAAATTAAAAAAAAGTCATGTTTATTTAAACTGTCAATGTCAAAATTTTGACATGTTTGTATGATCAACAATAATTTTAATTATGTTCTTTAGTGTAAATATTGCTTATAACTAACTTATAAAATAATATTCTATGTAAACTATTACATATTTTTCTAAAACTAAACACAGCGTTCAAATGAATAAAAGTCAGTATTTGTAAATACATACACAGATGTTATATGGTGTTTTGTTAATATTATGGAAGAAAAAAGTTTTTTTTGTTAGTATAATAATTTATCGATTACTGCCTTGCTTATTATTATTATTATTATTATTTCTGTTATTAATAATAATCTACACATTTTAGGGAACACAGATTTAAGTAAAAAACTTGTGGAATTAAGATTTGAAAATGATCTTTTGTTTAGGAAAAAGAAACAACCCTGGGGGTAAGAAAGCGTAATTATATACAACTTAACTAAACAGTAATTGAAAAGATGAATTCACATGATTTCCAAAATGAATTCCATAATATTACATATGCCATATGTAGCACTTGGGCGTTGATTTTCTTTATGTGTACTTGTATTTAGAAATTTCAAATATGCACTGTTGATCTTTAAAACTGTGATTTTAATTATGATATCCCAACCACTATATATCACTGACCATGTAATGATGAAATTTCAATGTTGCAAAAGTGCTGTTTAAATAATTCAGTGTACTACATGCTTTTAAAGTTCTTATGAAGAAAATGTAAAGGTTGTCTTGAAGTGAAGTCTCACATAATATAAAAGATATTTTTATGTTATGTGAGGCAAATTTATGGTGCAATCAATACAAATAAACATGTTATAATGCATTTAGGGAGTTCCATAAAATACTTCTTGAAAATGGGTTTCCAGAAGAGATGACTGTGAAACATGTAAGAAAGAAATGGTCTTCTACTTATGATGTAAGTTTAAATAAATAATTTTAAGGAATGTAATGAGTGAGCATTAAATATTTTATATCGTTTGAAAAATATATATATAAGGTTACTTATAAGGTTAACTATATTTCATAGTTATTTAATCTAAAAAAAATATAATAATATATTATTGTTTAATTAATATGTAGTGTTTCTAACAACCTTTACAACTGTTTGAAATATTATTCACCATTTAAAAATTTTCAGTCTTACAAAATTGCTAAGAAAACTAAGAATACAAGTTGGAAATACTACAAGTTATTTGAAAAACTCTATGGTAAATCTAAAATATTAGATAAATATGAATCATGTAAGTATTTTTTTGCCAGTCTTTCATAGAAGTAGTTTTATTTGAGTTTATTGTTGTAACTACTTATTCTTGAATAGACATACATTCTTAATTCCGAGCCACTACTTTACCATGTGCTGTAATATCATCATGAAGCATCATTGGAGATAGAAGTCGCTCTTCTCTTGTCACTTAGCTTAGCTAACTAGTTTGTAGTTAATAATATGGGATTTAGTTAAATATGTATTGACCTCATCCCTTGGTAAATCATTAACCATTATTCAGTGTTTTGATATTGTTATAAAGGTCTCTGAACTGATGCACATATCATTTGTAAATAGTCAAATGTGACCACTTCAAAGCATAAAGCATAAAATTTATTAGGATAATCCAACAATAATTATTTTGAATTTTAGAAATATCCATGGGTGTAGTTGCAATAGCATATTTAAATTACTAGAAATTTATCTTTATGAAATCAATATTTTCTTAAAGAATATTATACTTAAAGGATATGTAAATTCAATTTAAACTTTATTTTATCTATTACAGGGAGTGATGATTTGCGTTTAAAGTTAATATGTTCAATATCTGAAGCAAAAGACTTAAAGTTTGATTTCCAAAGAATGTGGAAGTAAGTGTATCAGATATCAATTGTAATTTTAATAGATAATATACAAAGAGTGTGTTTAGTTTTTTAACTGTAATCTCTTTTCATATTGAAGATCACTTAGTATAATTTACACTTGCATATATCCTGTCACACAGTCCAGTCACAACTGAACCAGAGAGCTTTGTAGGGATTCTTATATGATCTTTTATTATGATCCATTGACACTTCTTTTCACATCCATACCTTCACTCCATCCATACATGCTTGTTACACCGCTCTCCCATTCAAACTGGTTGTAATCATTCATCTCAGGCATCCTCTATCAACATTTTCATAAAAATTCTCAACATAAAATCTTTTTCTTCAATCACTGTTTCCAAACTAAGTAATCCAAACTACTGAAGAAGTCCTTTCTCAACTGTCCTTATAACTTTCTCTTTCCACTTATACTTTTATGCTTCTCTTTTACTCAACATGTGTAATGGTAATGGTCTTTTAAATTTCAGAACAGTGGAAAAAGCAATGCGGATGTTACCATTACCTTGTGACTGCTGCATACAGGACCTTAAAGGCTTGTGGCATCACATAAGGACTACATTTAATGTAAGTGAAATGGCAAAAATTATTCTGTCTTACTTACTTTTCCTTTGAGGTACATTGCTTCTGTCATTTGGATGTTTGTAACATACTTTTTCATTTATAACTTAACATTCAATGATCTTTTACTTATAATGAGATATTTTTTAATGGTTGAGTCGTAACATGAACTTTCTTGCGAACCTTGCTAATAAGGAGGCCGAATTTTAAGTAAATTTTTTGTCCATTGAAAAAAATTTTCTCAGTTCACATTATGAACCTTTGATTATTTTTAATCACGACTACTGCTAATAAAGTCATTTTTTACAGCGCAAGCACAGATTAAAACTAAAAAAAGGTGCGGTCAATACCGAATGGCCTCTTTACGAGGCGATGCTGGGTTATTATGAAAAGTTCGATCCCGATTATCTGTTGAAACTCGAGACGGAATCCCCTTGCGACTTCGTGTCCAGGCAGAGGAAATCCAGTAACTATTTCAACCAAAGTTTCCATAAGGATCGGAAGGAAAATTGTGGCGAAGAGTTTCAATGTAAGTGCTATTGCACATTAACAAATCAATTTGCTACGAACACAAAATGCCACTGGATAACGATAAAACTGGGATATCATTTTAAACGAAACTTTTTCAATTTGATAATTTCTTGTATTTACGCGATTACAAATTACTACATGAAACAATTTTTACGGATTTGTCGTGTTTCGAACTTATCATTTCTATCTTATCAATCCTCACCTTCATCGCCATCATCATTACACCCGGTTTCATCCTCATCATAAAATCACCCGGTTCAAATCCACCGCTGAACATACGCCTCGCAGACTGCCTTGTACCACGATCCTGAGCCATCTGTATCCATCGACTTCCCGCACATTTGCGCAGGTCGTCACTCCATCTGCTGTGGCCAATATGTGGCATCCACTCCAGAGCCTTTGTTCTTGGATAGAGTTCGCACTGCAGATATTCGCAGTAGAAAATAAATTCTTATGCCTGCGAAATTTAAACCATCTCTCGAAACCAAAATATATCGTGGTTCTACGAGATATTTTGCAATCGAGTACATAAGGAACTTCTAAAGTTACCAATGTTAGTAATAGAACCTCTTTCCGGTATAGGGTCGTATTAAATTATTAACAGTTATCTCATTATCTCCTGTAGCGTGGTATTTTTCACTCTCTTACACTTTTTTTTAATGTGAGAAGATTACAAGCGAGCTGACGGTTCACCTGATGTTAAGTGATACCCGCCCTCCATGTACATTTGCAACACCCGTGACGTTACAAATGCTGGCAAAAGGTTGCCACCTTTTAACTTTTACGGTGGTAGGGCCACGGAACAGTGTTCGCAGTTGTACGAATGGGCAGGTCCGTCCGGGTTAGTACCGCGACCTCACAGACGACCGGCGTAAAGTAGAAGTGTTGCACTTCTGCGTTTCGTCTGGTGAGTGAAGTAGCCGGGGCCCACATTATTAAGAGGTGGCAACGCATCTGCAACTCTACGGGCGTTGTAAATGTTCATGGGCGGCGGTTATCACTTAACATCAGGTGAACCGCCAGCACGTTTGCCACTTTCTCACATAAAAAAAAAACTAAGTGGGCCCCGGTTACGTAACTCAACAGACGAAACGCAGAAGTATAACACTTCAACTTCACTTCGGTTTTATGTGAGGCCGTGGCACTTCTCCGGACGCAACTGCCCATTCGTGCAACAGCGAAGACTGTTGCGTGGCCGCCAGTGATCAATACCTATGACGTTAGACTGTGTATATATTATGGTTAGCTTACAAAGAACCAAACAACCGAGGATTTCATGCTATTGAATGTCCAATACAGGTCAAACTCTCGTTTGCAGGGTCCAAAGACATCACGGAGACATTCATACAGATACGTTTGCAAAACGATTGGCTGTTCAGAGAAAAGAAGTGGGCTTGGAAGTAAGGCTCTATTGAAATATCCATAAAATGTTTCTTTCATATAAATCTAATAGCTTAGTGAAACGGATTACGGATTTTGTCGCGCAAAGAAACTCCGACCACAGCTCCATGGCTCTCCATGGCTCGTTGTGTGCCTGAGCTTCTCCAAAAGACCAGCTTTTAGAGACCACGTCTACACACACACACACACACACACACAGTAAAGTCTTATGAGGACGCGCTAAAAAATAAAATTAATCGTAAGTCCGTGTATGGGACTTAACAACTTAACTGCAAAAGATGATGAATTAATGTTTGTTTAAAACAGCGAACTCCTTTCCATCATGATAGACGAGTACGAGTTTCCCAGAACCCTCACTGGCAGGGAGATATGCCGGAAGTGGGCGTCAACTTACTCCGTGAGTGATGATTTATTTTGCTTTTTAAACTGAGAGACATTTAACTCTTTACGTCTTTTTTTGAAGACCCGATCAGCGTAGTTGCTAAGCGACTGACTTCGAGGCAGCGGGTTGTGTGTTCGATTCCCAACCGGGATTTTTTACTTGTTATTGATACTACCTAACTGAGATGTTCGACGTTTTGTCATTTCGAAGTGTTCGAAAATCGAATATAAAAAGTTATAACAAACCACCAAAATGTCCCAAAATTTAAAAATAATTGTTCTATTATTCATATACACGAGGAAATTTGACGTGGAGAACCTCACATGAGACAAGCATTCGCCTGTGTATAGCTGCTGTCGATATGCGATCAAAAAGTTCTCAGTTTCTATCCTCATCGGCGTGCACCAATCATTTTGCGTTTCCTTTTTCGTGAGAGCCGAGAATAAATAAAACAGCCCATGAGGATAGGAACACCACGATATTCAGAAATAGATTTGATACCACGATGTCTTAATTGCACTTTTAAATCTTTTGTATAAACAGCGTGTCGTTTACCATCGCGACAATAAATGAACACACGCCTAACGCTACTTCCAAAAATCATAAAAAAAATATTAACGTTAAACAAAATCCATAATTAAAAAAAATACTTTTCAAACAAACTAATTAAGTAAAAAAGAAACAAAATTTGTAACATCCTATACAACTCGCGCCACAACGTCACACTACAAGCCTTTCCTTCTAACAGTATGTTTGTTTCTTTTAAATTCATTCAACCCATTCATATGCTTTGTGACCTTTACAAATGAACTTTAGGTTACAGTTTTATACTTGGTGTTCTAAAATTCTTTGTTTTGGAAAATTTAATAACTCAGTAAATATTGATGTTTAAGGAATGTAAATGCTAAATACTATTTTAAAAAGTTATCCCCTATATTGTGTTCAGTTATTGTCGCGTTTGTAACGAACACGCTGTATATAATTCTTCTGTTCGTGTGTCTGTGTTCTTTTTTATGTGATAAAGTAGCAACCGAGCTGGTGGTTCACCTGATGGTTACGTAACTCAACAGACGAAACGCAGAAGTATAACACTTCAACTTCACTTCGGTTTTATGTGAGGCCGTGGCACTTCTCCGGACGCAACTGCCCATTCGTGCAACAGCGAAGACTGTTGCGTGGCCGCCAGTGATCAATACCTATGACGTTAGACTGTGTATATATTATGGTTAGCTTACAAAGAACCAAACAACCGAGGATTTCATGCTATTGAATGTCCAATACAGGTCAAACTCTCGTTTGCAGGGTCCAAAGACATCACGGAGACATTCATACAGATACGTTTGCAAAACGATTGGCTGTTCAGAGAAAAGAAGTGGGCTTGGAAGTAAGGCTCTATTGAAATATCCATAAAAATGTTTCTTTCATATAAATCTAATAGCTTAGTGAAACGGATTACGGATTTTGTCGCGCAAAGAAACTCCGACCACAGCTCCATGGCTCTCCATGGCTCGTTGTGTGCCTGAGCTTCTCCAAAAGACCAGCTTTTAGAGACCACGTCTCAGTGCCATACGTCATCACTGGCTGTGGCTACACACACACACACACACACAGTAAAGTCTTATGAGGACGCGCTAAAAAATAAAATTAATCGTAAGTCCGTGTATGGGACTTAACAACTTAACTGCAAAAGATGATGAATTAATGTTTGTTTAAACAGCGAACTCCTTTCCATCATGATAGACGAGTACGAGTTTCCCAGAACCCTCACTGGCAGGGAGATATGCCGGAAGTGGGCGTCAACTTACTCCGTGAGTGATGATTTATTTTGCTTTTTAAACTGAGAGACATTTAACTCTTTACGTCTTTTTTTGAAGACCCGATCAGCGTAGTTGCTAAGCGACTGACTTCGAGGCAGCGGGTTGTGTGTTCGATTCCCAACCGGGATTTTTTACTTGTTATTGATACTACCTAACTGAGATGTTCGACGTTTTGTCATTTCGAAGTGTTCGAAAATCGAATATAAAAAGTTATAACAAACCACCAAAATGTCCCAAAAATTTAAAAATAATTGTTCTATTATTCATATACACGAGGAAATTTGACGTGGAGAACCTCACATGAGACAAGCATTCGCCTGTGTATAGCTGCTGTCGATATGCGATCAAAAAGTTCTCAGTTTCTATCCTCATCGGCGTGCACCAATCATTTTGCGTTTCCTTTTTCGTGAGAGCCGAGAATAAATAAAACAGCCCATGAGGATAGGAACACCACGATATTCAGAAATAGATTTGATACCACGATGTCTTAATTGCACTTTTAAATCTTTTGTATAAACAGCGTGTCGTTACCATCGCGACAATAAATGAACACACGCCTAACGCTACTTTCCAAAAATCATAAAAAAATATTAACGTTAAACAAAATCCATAATTAAAAAAAATACTTTTCAAACAAACTAATTAAGTAAAAAAGAAACAAAATTTGTAACATCCTATACAACTCGCGCCACAACGTCACACTACAAGCCTTTCCTTCTAACAGTATGTTTTGTTTCTTTTAAATTCATTCAACCCATTCATATGCTTTGTGACCTTTACAAATAAACTTTAGGTTACAGTTTTATACTTGGTGTTCTAAAATTCTTTGTTTTGGAAAATTTAATAACTCAGTAAATATTGATGTTTAAAGAATGTAAATGCTAAATACTATTTTAAAAAGTTATCCCCTATATGTGTGTTCAGTTATTGTCGCGTTTGTAACGACACGCTGTATATAATTCTTCTGTTCGTGTGTCTGTGTTCTTTTTTATGTGATAAAGTAGCAACCGAGCTGGTGGTTCACCTGATGTTAAGTGATAACCGCCGCCCACGGACGTTTACAACACCAGTTGCCGATGTTGCCACCTTTTAATAATGTGGGCCTCGGCTACCTCACTCACCAGACGAAACGCAGAAGTGTGACACTTCTACTTTACGCCGGTCTTCTGTGACGTCGTGGTATAACGAACCTGCCCACGAATTGCACGAATGGGCAGGTCCTTCCGGGGAAATACCACTACTTCACAGAAGGCAGACGTGAAGTGCATGTGTTACACTTCTGCGTTTCGTCTGATGGGTGATATAACCAGGGCCCACATTATTAAAGGGTGCCAACGCATCTGCAACCCTACGGGTGTTGCTAATGTCAATGGGCGGCGGTTATCACTTAACATCATGTGAACCGCCGGCTCACTTACCACCGGTACGAGTTCGCGAGGGGTTGGCAAAATGTAACGATTACGACTCTGTCTCCATCTGCCCGATAGGAATACCAAAAGGCCAAGGCGACCAACAACAAAACTTGGGTTTACTACACGCTCTTCGAGTTGTACTTGGGCGAGGGTAGCCTGAATCCGCTGGTTGATTGTGAGTATTGCAAACTGGCTTGGAGTGTCGTAACTTAAGTCGCTCGATGTCTCCTGGCGCGTAATTTTTATTTTTTCGTGCCAGTATCTGCACTCAAGATGAAACTTTAATTTGTAACTTTATTTATTTATCTTACGTCGTTGATGCCGACATATAATTTTGTCTATGACTATGTTGTTTTGTTGAAATGTCAATTTATTACTATTTTTTGTGTTTTAATCAAACAAGGTTTTGATTTATCATTATCTAAACGGGACAGGGCAAGAAGAGTGGGTGTTCAACCTGATCAGTGCGAGAACAGACTTCCGGCACCTCTTCAAGAGTTCCAAAGACCAGGTCGCTGGCTGGAGGTGAGTATCACGAGCACAGTGTAATTTAAATTCGATTCATTATTCTATTGTAGGCTATTCGGTAATTTTGCAATTGATTTTAAACTTATTTCTCGAAGGTCTAGAAAATTGAAGTTTTAACATGAGACTGGATGATAACGCAAAGTAATTGTGATTTCAAATCTGTTTATTTGAAAGGTTATGTACGTCCTGACATCGTAGGATTAGTTAATCGATTCGATCCTCTTATCTTACCATAACTTTTGACTTTTAATAGGTCGATTAGAAATCTCGCTTTTAAATTAGTTGTAAAAATGTGTTATGTGTGTAAAACATTTGATTTCTTCATTTCATTAATTTTATACAACTGACGTTTCGCGGGCTGAGACAAATACGATAATTTTCTAGCATCAAAGTAAAAATAGTCTGCTTTACTTAAACGCGAGTAATTTTTGATAAACGCCATTTCTTTTGCTGGAAAATATTTAACTTATTGTGAATTATTAACAGCTCATCCGCGTTTCCCTTAAATATTTTTTAGAAATTCCCTTAATTTTAAAATTTAAAACAAAAATTTCATATTTCAATTTTGAGTCAATGAAAAAAACGCGACCTAAAAAAAAATAAGCATAGGCGATCGGTGTAGCTTCATAGTTCGTTTTGTAATGAATCAGTAATCTATTAGCGGACTCGTGTAGAGTTCAAAGGCGCATAAATCTAGCGAGTAGCAAACGTGCCGACGAGATTTTTATACCAGCTACATTTATGGAGTGGTGGCCAGGTATGGAAGGCAGACTTGGAACCAGCCTACTCATATGCCAATTGATGGCAGACTCGCACCCAAAATAGCACTCGTTTATTTACGGATTACATTTTAATTTTCGCTGCGCAATTTATGTAGCGAGCGTAAAACATATCCATTTTATACGTTTCCACAAACATTGCCCGTTATTACTGGCCGTTTTCTGTTTCGTTTTTTTCCCGCCTTGACCCGAAATGACAAAGAACAGGTTCTTTAAACTGTTTACATCTCGCGAGTCTGCATAAATCATTTCGACCCCTTTGTTTTGTCAGTTTGACTGGAATTTTCTATACTTCTCTTTGTTTTCCGTCTAAAATAACCGAGCGCTCTAGCCGCTATATGCAGCGACGTCTAGACTAGCCATCTTAGATCTCTTTGTCTCAACTGATGTAGGTCACGCTTTTGTTCATGATCTTACCTGCTTGTTATAAGTAATGCCTTTAGCAAAATACTTTGTGTCATATCGACTCTTAAAGTTCGGAAATAATCTTATCCAGAGTGACATTGAAAATTTATAAATGAATCTAACAAGTGGTTAAGTTTATTAATAATCTTCCTTTGTTCCTTTGGTTCATTAACAAGTTATTATTGTTTGCTTAGCACGTTTTAAATTCGGGAATTACCACTTTAAATAGTTATCATGTGGTTTGTTGTTATTGGTGATTTTGACTTACGTCAACGTTGTTACCAACAAGTTTAAAATTAGTGTAAATTACTCCGTACTTATTTTGAAAAGCAGTAATATTATGGAGTAATTAAGGATCCGATAATACACTTTATATTACAAAAAAGTTTTGGTAATCGTATATATATCTGAAATATTATTCGTTCAAAGGTGTGTAAATATTTACGCGAATTCTATACATATAAAAACTAAAATATTTTACAACATACAAGAAATTTTAGTACCTCAAAATCGCCTCTTGTTAAAATCTCTAACTATTCGACATAAAAGCGTGAATCTAGCCCTAATTTGGATATTACGGGTAAAGTTATTTTGGATATACGTTGAACCGCAATATAAATCTTTACTGTCGTAGGACCACCCGGTAGATACGGCTGTTGCACGAACAGACAGGCTCGTCTTGGGAAGTACTAGTTAACACAGTTGAATAGAGAAAAGCGGAAAGCGGAAGTATTCTTCTTATTCTAATTGGGGCCTATTCTTTTAAACTTTGGCAATGCATCTGCAATTTTAAGGTGATGTAGATGTCCATGGGAGGTGAGACTTTTCTCACAATAAAGAACAACATGACAAGCTAAGAGTTCTTAAACATGTTTAGATAAAACAGTTGCTAAATTTTTCGATACTGCCAGAATTGTAACCTTTGGATTACGCGTTCAGAAGCTCTAGACACTAAGCTAAGCGGTCGACATCCCCACTGTACCAACATCTACACGTTTTATATACTTTCTTTTTAATTGCATTTGTATACATGTCTGCCATTATCTAATATGCTCCCTTTACAGTAAGCACACTTCCTCAAATAACATTTTACAATGATTGTTTGAAAACTAGAGAAGAACTAAGAGTTCTTTATTGTAAGTCAAACAATGTTAAATCTAATTTGTTGTCGAGAACACAAGCGGAAGTTATGCTATTATGTGATATGTTTGACCACTCCAAGTTTGTATGATTATTTTACGTCAGTTCATTCGTGCATACCGATATTCTTCTGTGGTTTTGAGTTTAATTATACTAATGTTTAGATAGTTATTACTATTTGATTCAGTACGGTCAATATACTCCTTGCGAATACATTATAAAATATTTAATGGTAGCAATGTTTGCTTTTAGAATCATAACGCGTGTTTATTGTGATCGTTAAAGCCTCGTAAAGAATGGAGTATTTAACATTACCCGTAAAACCATCTGCGCTCTGAGGTAAATAAGCTGGTGTGTGGTCGTATAAACGAAATTGAATTTGTAACAAAGCCATGTACTCGTTAATTAACTACCTCTCTTATCTACAGAAGTGTAGATGGTGTTATGATAAAACGCAGAATAAGAGACCTGAACATTTCACCATGGTAGTGCATCAATAGGCTGGTTCGCCTGGGGAAGAACAAAAGAATAGATAATTAAAATGAAAACTATAACTAACATGTCTTTTATAAGTGACGTAGTGTTTACACTTTGTATTTCTTTATGTAACCGAGAGGTCATCCTATGTAAGCTTAATTCTGATTGTTTGATGATTAGTAATAATTGACCATTAGGTGAACCTTTTTAAGATGTTTGTCTATACGTAATATTGGAGAGTGCGTACTTTATTGTTAAATTGTGTTCAATCAATAATTCAAGTATGAATTATTTCGTCTTATATCCTCTCACATGCTTTGCCTATTTATTATACGAATGATGACGCTTAAAGGACAGTAAAGAACAAAAGCTCTGGAACCGACAGCTAAGGCGAAGAATGACACCAATTCTTATGTGAAAAGTTGTCAAGTGAGCTGACGGTTCACCTGATGTTAAGTGAATACACTCGCCGCCCATGGACTTCTGCTACACTCGAGGGTTTATAGATGCGTTGACAACTTTTTTGGAAATTGGTTTATTTTTAATTTTTTATTAACTATGGGTTTTTTATTAACCCGGGTTAACTATGACAATCAGACGTCTAACACCTCAGTCTGTCCCGTGACCATGAACGCTGAAACGTCGGGAAAGCATTAAAAATAAACGCGATAAATCCGTAAAATTAGTTTCATTTATAAAGTATTATACTTCCACCTTACGCCGGTCTTCTGTGAGGTCGTGGTACTTACCCGGACGAGCCTGCCCCTTCGTGCAACAGCCAAGGCTGCTGCGTAGCCCTACCACTATCAGTCGATTTATTATAAATATAACATATTATGTAACTTTCACCCTTAAATAATATAATTAATACGAATATTTTAAGACTCCTCGATAGGAATTTTTATACGTAGTCGAAACGGCCCATCGCTTTACTTTGATTGATGTGTATTGCTCTAATGTTCGAGGAAGAATTATAGTGGACTGCACTATAATGCTTCATCGAACGCAAAGCTCGCGGGGTGTAGGCATCCGGCGGCCGTGGCTGATAGAGCCGCGCATGTGCTCATGCGTGCGTATACTAATGTATAGCGACCCTTTCGTGCATAATCAAATGTGCCGAAACAAAGCAACTACTATAAAACAAGCAACTCTTATACATGAAAAAATTCGTAAGCCACACCTATGAGCAAATATTGTATAATAGTTAATATTCCCTGAAATAGGCAACTTCACATCTTAACCTCAGCGGCGGATAAAATTTTGACATTGCAACACTTGATGTGACGTCATAAAATATACCGTTATATATGAATAATTTTATGTATCTTGGAGTGATCGTTTTAAGTCTGTTTATTTTTTAAAATTTCTTTAGAGAAGTCGAGAAGAAGCTAAGAAACGTAGGCATACCTTTGGACCACAGTCTACTGGACATACCGGAGATTTGGACACATTTGTTGAAAACGTTTAAGGTAAAAATACTTCAAAGACAGGGTGATCTAAAAATTTATTCTTATGCTCTACCTGATTTTTTTAAAGCACTTCAGATTTAAACTTCGTGGATATTAAATAAAATTTGCTTATTTTCAATCCATGTTCATTTTTATTTATTCATTTAAATAAATGAGTGAATCTTCACTTGGTTGTTTAAATGAATATATAAAAAAGGAACAAGAGTAAAATAATTTTTATTTCTAATAAATTTAAATTTTAAATTTTCCTTAGTTCATGCCAATACTGCGACTATAAAATTTTAACTTATATTTTCACCTTTGCAAGCCTTTTTCTGTGTTCTAAAAACATTCGATTCTAATTTCGTCTTTATAGTTTATATTGCTTTGGTTCTGTTAGCTTTAAAATATCCCAGTGATATACGGACAAAGACCGCTCCGTTCGCAGTGGAAGCAGAAGTTCGCCAACAAAGGCCTGCTGAGCGAGCACTGGCCGTATTACGAGGCGATGGCCAACTATTTCGCGCTGGAGAGCGAGGGGAGCAAAGCGAATAGAGCCAAGCGGCAGACGGTGGCCGAAAGCGGGGACGACTACGAAGACGAGATGAGGCTGTTCGATCTCAAGCGGATGATGCACGTGAGGCCCAAGCACGAGTTGGCGGATTCTAACCTCTGCAGGGCGTGCTCAAATGACGACGGCTGCGTGAACGTGTTCGAGGGAAGAGACCCCGAGGGCGTGGACCTCGCCCACAAGTTGAGACTCATCGGCGGTGTGGAGGTAAATATGTCCAGGGTGATCGCTAATCTGTTATTTTATCTTTGTAGAGCTGCAAAGTGATTTGATGCTACGGGACACCATGGCGTCTCCGTCATCGACGTAAAATACAAGTATTTTTACTTTTGCATTTCATTTAGTTGTCGGGGTAACAGGGACCTAATCTATCAAAGATTGGAATACAGATGCAATCCCATTTGTTTTGTACCCTTATATTTGCAACGACTAGTAATTATTCAATTTCAAGCTTATCTTTAGGGTTCGTAGGATGATTCCTTTGAGAATTCCTTTCTTTGGTCGATTAGAGATTTGAATAAGTGTTATATTACATTTTTATCTACAGGTCGAGCGATCCGACAGCTTACCCTCGCAGATCTGTCTGAACTGCGTCAGAGATTTGGAGAGCGCGTACAAATTCCGACGGAAATGTCAAGAAGTCGATCGTCAGCTCAGGACCAGCGCGGGTTCGGACGGGATCAAGGTCGAAATGGCGACAGACGAGAACACAGCCGCCGCAAGCGAACAGCCCGACGAACCGGACAGGGATGAAGCAACGGACACGCACTTCGGCTATCCGATAACAGTCGAGAAATCGACCCCGCCGGTGAAACAGGAGAAGCAGGTCGCGCGCAGGAGACGGATGAAGCCGCGCAAGAGGAAATACGACTACTGGAAGATATGCGAGGTGTGCGGGAAGCACACCAGGAACCTGCCCAGCCACCTGGACGCTCACTCGATGGGCAAGACCTACTCGTGCGACCTCTGCGACAAGCGGTTCAAGTTCAAAAGCGGCCTCGTGATACACAAGTCGGTGCACAACCCTACGCCGAAGAAGACCTGCGAAGTGTGCGGGAAGACGTTCCACATACTCGCCCAGTACAGACGCCACTACGTGTACCACGCGAACGAGAGGAAATACGGCTGCGAGACTTGCGGGAAGCGATTCAACACGCTCGATATATTGAGAGTGCACAAGAGGACCCACACGGACGAGCGGCCCTTCACTTGCAACGAGTGTGGCAAGACCTTTAGGACGGCCGGCTGCGTCAGCAGGCACAAGCGCATCGTCCACAGAACAATAAAAGCCGATTGATTTTGCTTTATCGTTATTTATTTTTGCAATTGTGTGTTCGCATAGGGTTTATTTATTACGCGGGTTCACTGAAATTTTGTATGTTTGCAATACAATTGTGCTTATTTTTTGTTTGTGTTCGTTTTTATTCGTGTTCCATAAATGAAATTCCTTAAATCGTGCCGGAATTCAAAACACCGGCATTTCCGTTCCCTTTTTAAAGGTTACTAGAGTTCTAAATGCATAACTGTTATTGAATTTAGTGTCAAGTTTTACAACCATTTTAGTGGTTTACGTTAAAAATAATAACATCGATAGATGGTTCAGATGTTGCAGTCTAAACAGCCGCCGCCGCTCATGGCTTCAATTCCCGCGATAATAGTATTTGCTTTTATAAATATTGTATTTAATACACCACCAACACACTGTAAATGTATTTTTATAATAAGTAAGATTTAAGAAAGTGTAAAGGGTGAGTAACCAAGTAATATAAGAATTAAGGCTAAAATTCCAAAGTTTAGAATAATTTTCTATTATCATGATAAAATGGCTACATTAAGTAGAGTAGTGTGTTAAATAAACGTAAGAATAGAAAGTAGCCGTAGAGCGAATTCAAAAAAGGCAACTCCGAACATGACGTCATTCGACCAATGATCGTACAAGCAAGGCAAGATGTGTCACCAGAGATAGCACCGGACGGCGACCCAGTATTGCTTCTGTTAACTTAACCGAAATCAAAAGGAGCAACGTTCTAAGTCTTATCAGATGCCGGAGTTTCGGTTTGCATACGAGCATAGTATTATGTGTACGGATGACGTATATTTACTACTAAATAAAGGACGTTAGAATACGAAAACAGGTAAGAATAATGTTCTTGCATCTTGTATCTTGTATTAACTGATGTTTTTGCTTTCAGTCCGAGACTATTAAAGCTTCATCTGACGCAGAACCGGTGGGCTAGCCAGAACCCACGGGTTTGGGCCCTCCGCTGTGGGTAAGGCCACGCATGTGCTCATGCGTGGGTTTAACTATGGTATGTCATCTAAGGGCCATCGAGGTCGTGGTTCGGACCGAAACCCCGATGGCCGTTGACTGTGCAATTAGCTAATCGGTGGCTGGGGGCGGTGAGAACCGCCCCGGAACGCGGGTGTACCTTGTGTACGCGTTGTGTTGGTCTCGCCGTGCTCGGAGGCGAGGGCGAACTAGTGTGTTTGTTGTTGCACTAACTGTGGGTGTAGTGTTGTCCGGCGGGACCCCCGGCAGTGGGTCCGGCGTGTCCAAGTCCCCTTTCTCGACCGGGTCGATTAGGACGTTTCGCGGGCGACGCTTGTTGACGTTCGCGTTTTGGTCGGGTTGGTAATTTGCTGCGCTTACCACCAGAGGGTTGGGATGATGTTCGGCTCTATCGAAGAACCGTTTGGTCAGGTCTTTAAAATATTCGCGAATCGTCGGGAGTCTGCAATCGCTGTGCAGGTCGACGTTGCGTTGATACCACTGCGCACCGGTTGCGCGGCGGATGAACTTATTTTGTACTATTTGCAACTTGTACAAGCGAGTAGGGTGCGTGTGGGCGAAGGTCATGCATGCGTAAGACATAATAGGTCGTACGCAGGTCTTATATAATAATAATTTGTGCCTTAAGGGCATTTTACTTTTAGCGTTAGTTAAATTGTGTAGCCGGCCGGAGACGAACGCGGCTCTATTGCGAACGTTAATAATGTGCGTAGTAAATGACATACGCGAGTCGAAAGTGACTCCTAAGTATTTGACCTTTTTCTCCCAGGGGAGAGGTTGGCCATAAAGGGATATTTGCCCCAACTTTCTACATTGACGAGGGCCATTATAAAGATGTGACGGGTAAGTACTTCGTGTGAAGTAAATCGCCACACTCTTTTCGGGATTTATTTCTATTCTCCATTTGCGGAACCAATCGCCGAGGCGGTCGGCAGCGCTTTGGAGTCGAGCGGTTAGTTGTCTAAGGTTGCGGTCTGAATAAAAGAGCGCCGTGTCATCCGCGAAAAGCGCGAGATTGACGTGGGGGTCTTTAGGTATATCGCTCGTGTAGAGCGTAAAGAGCAAAGGTGAGAGGCAGGAGCCTTGTGGTACGCCGGCCGTGAGGCGGCGGCTTGTGGAGAGGGTGCTTTCAAATCGATATCGAAAAGAGCGGTTCGACAGGAAGGCCTGAATGGTGTGTACGAGCCTATCTGGCACTTTGAGTGTGTACAGCTTGTAAAGCAAGCCGTTGTGCCAGACCTTGTCGAATGCTTTTGCGACATCGAAGAAAAGAGCACCTGTACTAATATGTTTAGGGTGATTTAGGCCTTTAAGGATATGTTCCGTTAGGCGGAATAGTTGATCGGGACAGGAATGTCTAGCTCGAAAGCCGAATTGTTCCGCCGGCAGAAGGCCGTTGGAAAACACGTGCTCATTGAGCCTGTTTAATAAAAGCCGCTCGTAGAGCTTCCGCAGGCAACTGAGGAGGCTGACGGGACGATAACTAGAGGGCTGGTTGGCTGGTTTATTAGGCTTGCGAATGCCGATAACCCTGGCTTCTTTCCAGTCGTCTGGAAAGGAGCAACTGGAGAGTAAAGTATTGTAAAAGTGGTCGCCAGTAAACAGATAAGCGGCCCAGGGAGAGCTTTAAGAATTTTGTTTCTAATATTATCTGGGCCCGGGGCGGATTTGGGTTTTAAGTTTTTAATAATATCTTAAACCTCTTCGGAGGTCACTGAATTCAAAGGATCGCCTTCCGGTGGAAGCGCAGCCCTAATCTCGATTACGCGGTCCACCTCCGTTAGGCGGGCTGTATCGATGTGTTCGCGCGATGGCGTACATTGCTGCTCTAGGTTGTCCGCAAGGCATTCGGCTTTTTCGGAGTCATCTAGGGCTACTGAAGCGCTATTAGGTCTAACTAACGGCGGTAGAGATTCGCGGGGGTCTGCTTTCAGACTGCGGGCCAACCGCCAGTAGGCGGTGTGCGATGGCTCGATGTCCTCTAGGAGAGTATCGCACGTTGTATGTCGGTGTTCCGATACACGATCTTTGACTTCTAGCTGAAGGCGTCGAAGTAGGGTTCGGTTCGATTCCGATCGTTATCGGTCGAAAGCGCGTTTGGCTGCATTTTTCTGCCTACTTAGGAGTCGCAGGTCGGGCGGAAAGTTAAACCGTCGATCGCCCGACAGTTTAACCGTCGATCGCTCGACAGTTTAACCGTCCGTTCCGAGTCTGCGACTGTGGAAGTGATGGTTTCTCGGAGACTTGCTATCGCTCGATTTGCGTCATCGAACGTAGCTATCGTCTCGGGTAGGTCGACTAAGTCCTGGGGGTCCAAGGCCTTGAGTTTGACCTCAAGACGATGCCAGTCCACTACGGATTTGGTCGGAGGGACCGCGCCGGCGTTCTGGCCCAGTTTACACAGGACGGGCCTGTGATCTGAGTCTAGTTTATGCATTGTCTCTATCAACTCGATGTCGAGCGAGACCTCCTTGAGTAACATGATATCTAGGATACTCGGTGTCGCGTGTTGGTAGTTGTCCACCGTAGGATACCTAGTGGGAGTCGCAGGAGCAATTATGCTAAAGTTTAAATTATCGGATAAGGATAAGCTAAAGAGATGCTTTCCGTTGTTATTTGGGATGCTGTGGATGTCCCATGAGCCGTGTTTGCAGTTTAGATCTCCTGCAATTATCACGGAAGGGCCTAAGTTAAGTAGCGTATCTAGGTCGCTTTGTAATAAGGTTTTGTTCCCCGAGAGGTAGGCTGAGACTAGTACAAGCGGCCTATGGCCGGTGAGCGCTAACCTACACGCGGATGCCTCTATATGGCTTAGCTCTGGAATGTCGAGCGGGCTACAATGCAAGGACCGTTTGTAATAAATTAAGGTGCCTCTCAGACGGTTTGCTAACCGGTCGTGGCGGACTATGTTGTAGTTTGCGATTCTGGGATCGCGTACACTAGGTTTTAAGAATGTCTCTTGCACTAGAAAAATATCTATGTTATAATCGCGAAGGAATTCCGCGATTTCGTCCCTTTGACCCTTTATGCCGTTTGCGTTGAAATACGAAACAACCAGAGCCCGAGGTTTTGTTCTACCTGCGGTTGTGCTTCCCATTAAAGTTTTTTATGAGTTCTAACTAACGACGCGGCGGAGCGCGGTTTTATTGCGCGGACTATTAAGTTTATGGTTGGCTTGTAAATGCCCAGAGGGCTTCTACAAGCATTTTATGTTCGCTAATGGCTTTAAATCGCGCGTTGCCAGATGTGGCGGCCGCTATTTTAGCGGACAATACGGCGAGTTCTTGTCTATTAATGCGGTCTAATAAGGCGCAGATGTTGGCAATTTGGGCGAACGGGTCGTCCTTGTTTTCGGCGAAAACCGACGGTGTCGACTGCACCTGCGGCGTCGGTGCCGTTTGATAGGCGGGAGCGATTGGTCGTGAGGCGACCGGGGGCGCAACTACCTGCGCGGCCACCTGGGGTTTCGCCGTTTACGACGGGTACGGGCGCGGGAACGTATTTCACGGGCGCGGGTTTGGGCAAAGTTGATTTCGCGGGAGTTTTTGGGGCCTTAGCGCAGCCCCTGTAGCTAGCCGGGTGGCCGGTGGTATGACAGTTAACGCAGTCCGGTGGATCTGCGCAATCTTTTGGCCGCGTACAATCGGGCGTGCCGTGGTCACCGGTGCATTTGACGCACCGGTGCATTTGACGCACATAGCCGTGTGGCCATAGTGTTGGCAGTTGTGGCACTGCGCCACAACTCCCGATCTTCGCGGGGGCTCGATCACGAGGTCGCTGAGCCCACAGACCCTCTTCAGGTTGAAGATGGCCTTACCTTCCGGGTTAGGGCCAAGTTCAACCATCACCATGTCCATAGGGACACGGGTTCTAGGGTGCCTGAGGTGGCGTACGTTATGCACAGGGTATCCCTGAGTGCGGATGTCGGTCTTCGCCTTGTCGACATCCGACTCTTTGGGGACGCCCTTGATTACTACCCGAAGTTTACTTTCTTCGGGCAAAGAGTAGGTGTGGAAACCTATCTTGTTTTCGCGCAAGTACTTAGTTACGCGACGGAAGTCGTCCGTAGTGTCAAGGTATACGCGGATACCCATATGCGTGTTTTTCGACCGGGGGTCGCTGATATTGTGGCGTTCAAACCACGAAGAAATTTGGTGCCACTTAGCCTTCTCCTGAATGATGATGGGTGGAGGAGGCTTTATTTTTCGCTCGGAGGCGAATTCTGGCATCGGTTTAACCGCCGCGGCCGCCTTTTTAGCGGGCGTCGCGGTGGGACGGATCGTTGAGGCGGCCTCGCATTCGGGGTCACTGTCGGCAGCGGGGCGTTTTTTGCCCTTTTTACGCGATTTAACGACGGTGAAGCCGTCGGCGTTCGCGTTTTCAGCGGGGGTCATTTCGACCTCCATGTCCGATCCGCCGTCCGATTGTGAGTCGGGTACGACGGAGCGAAAAGAGGTCAGGTTTGGTTGCGCGGAAGACGCTACGGGCGAGTTCGCGTTAGCGGATGCCGACGCGACGGGAGCTTCTACGGTCGCGGAGGGCGACGGGGTAACGGGCGCAGACGGTGCGGGCAATGGCGGCGACGCGAGTTCACCTAATTGCCTATGCTCGGCTTCATAAGCGAGAAAACGTTTATTTATTTATTTATTTATTTAAACTTTTACACAAAAAAATTAGTATTGTGTATAGGCGGACTTAATGCCTAAGGCATTCTCTACCAGTCAACCTATGGGCGACGCAGAGACAAAAGAGGCAGGTGTAAAAAGTTTCAAACCAAATTTTAATTTAAAACAAAAGTTATATATATATTCATATATACATAAATTTAAGACATATACATGAAAATATATAAAGTATATAAACATATTAAACCCAATGTAACAAAAATATATTACATTATTTAAGCATACAAAATAGAATACATATACTATAATATTCACAAATACTTAATAAATATACATAAATAAATAATATACGATATCAATAACTACTGATTATTTCATTCTGCCAACTTACGTTCCCACATAGCGGGGCATTCTTTGCGTACGAACTCCTCGAAAAGGGAGCCCATCGCGACGTAAGTGCCTTTGGGGCTTGTAGCCCCGCCGGCGTGTGTGAGCTAAGTAAGCCTCCCCACTTTGCGGCAGGGAGGAGTGTGCCTAGAAATAACAACAAATTTGCCTGCGCTTTAGGTGCTCTAGGATGGGTACCTAGCTGTCGCCTATTGCAACAAGCACACAGTTAATAAATGAAACAATGCCGCCTCTGAGGCGAGAAGTGTGTGTAGGATTCTACTTACAAACAGGAACCTGCCTACGAGCACAACACTACACTAACACTAAACTACTGCACTATTTGCACAAGATTGAAATTGCAACCGAGGTTGCGAGTGGCGTCTAATTCGGGTGGCATGTGCCCTCCGTCTTAGAGAGACGTCCGTTCCGTACGAGAGCACGAAGCGGAATGAAGAATAATGTTCAGAAAATTGTGGCGCGAAAAGCGCATTGCACTGGACTGTAATGGCGCGTTAGTTTGCCAACACCTAGAGAATGGACATGTTCAATTTTTTAGCAACAACTTGTTTGACTTCAAGCTAAATAATATAATATTTTGTTAGATCTATATGACACCGTTTGTTACTTAGCTGAGCCTACAGCTGAACAGAAATTGCACTTCAGGCGTCGGATGACCTGTGACCTGCGAGGGATTTAAAAGAAAATGTGAAAGATTCACGGCCGGTTTTTGAAACACTGATCATCGTAGAAGTTAACTAATCAGCTGTCAAATGGCAACTCAACTAACATTTGACAGCTGATTAGTTGACTTTTTTCTACGGTGATCAGTGTTTCAGAAACCGGGCGACACTTTCGCACAGTAACAACAATGCCTTACCACGTGATTTTAGGAGCTTTTCATAATATTCATATCATGAGAAATTTGCCTTCCATCGGGTTGTAATTCACTTGAACCTATATACAAATTCCTTTGTTTTAACATTTACATGTTCATTTCATAGAGGACAAAAGATGTATTACTCAGCTCAGTTCGTAGGTTTTTTTATTTCTTTAGTTATTTTGTAACACATTTCAGCTCTGTTTATTAAGAATAAGGAAGCCTTTAATAATTAATGCTGTGTTTTTTAAAATAGCGTATGCCAAAAATAAAAGAGCGTGTACAAGATTGGTCTTTCAGTGTTTTAAAAACGATGCCCTTTAGGCGAAGATAATGTTGTTTTGTTTTACAAACACAATTCAAACAAGGAGCACAGATGCGGAACAACTATCAGTAGGTCATACAAATACTCGTCCGGTGTTGGAATCGAGCACACGACCCGCCGCGCAAATGACCTTACCTTACTACACTACAACATTTAAAGGGATCTATCTGCAAATCAGCAAGTTGCCAATGCCCGTCTTTCCGTCAGATTTCAAGGCGAGTATGTTCAATATTCAAGGCATGAGTTATGGGACCTTCTGCACTTACAGTTATGATTACGATTCCGTTTACTATCGGGCGAAATGATTGTCGCTTAGCCCACGATGGAAAAACATCCTGTAGATATCCGTCGGCCCCTCAATTCGTAAGGCTTCCAGACTTATTTAAGGGGCGTTTCTTAGTCAGTCGGTAATGTAGCACACGCCGCGCGTGCAGAGGGCATTTCACGGTAAATAAGTCGTCGGCCTATCGTAACGTGGTCGTTTATTGGAAAAGCGTCTGTCGAGGCGCGCATTCATTCACCCTCCATGCACTGGGCGCCGGCGCAACCGCAAAGTTCATCGATCAGTTCGCGACCGACAGCGCACGCGTTTGGTGGGATAGCGTGCTCGTTACGACCACCGTACGAATCATAGCACAGCCGAAACTCTAGCGCCTAGTTTAAATTAGCCGCTTGATAAGCGACACCGCTATGAAGTGCCTGGTAAGTTTTTCCTGTAGTCCGTACGTACCGAAATTAGGTGTAAAATGTTGTTTCATAATATACTTTGTGACAAATGTATAGGAAAGTTTTAGTTGGCCGTAGTAATGCCTTAATTATAATAGAAAATATAACAGCTTTTTTTAAACACCATGTAGTTAAGTTTAAAATTATAAATTGAAAACATTAAACAGTACCTATAATTGAAGTAACGTTACATAAATTGAAAACATTAAACAGTTTAGTTGGAGTAGCGTTACTTGAATATTGTGTTATTATGTTATTTGTATCACGATAAGCATTAATTAATGAATAATAATAAAACGTCTCATCTCATCGATGCTTATGTGTTTACGTTATAACAAACGTGGTTAATAGATATTATTTCCTTAAACCACTGCAATGCCCGTGACTTTAACTATTAAAATAGATACAATTGTAATAAATAGTAACGGTTTCCAATATTTTATCAGCGTTACGTTATTATTATGTTGTTATTATAATATGTTTTAAATATTACTTTATGTTGACATTATATTTCACACATAGAATATTATTTCTAACACCAATTGCGGCAAAAAGCTTTAGTACTTATATGATACAGCTGCCCGTTCACTTTCAAACATAACTTCGTATTTCGTACAGTTAAAGTGACCCGGATAAAAATTCAAGTTTCGAAGGGCAAGCGTTAGCAGAGTTGCCATAAATTCTCGACTCATCAATAATCCCCAGCTATCAATATGAAAGTTTATTGCCCCAAGCTGCAGTCCGCCGCGGTTTTCGCGTCTCGGTGCGTAAAGATGCAGTCACGACGCTCGTGTTAAAGTTATTCTAGGAAAAAAGTCTTTATCACGCTGACGAAATAACATTTTGATCATAGCTTGAGAAATACCTGTTAACACGCTTAGTGTGAAGAGACGTTATAAATTAGAAATATGTAGATAATTATTTTCACAGGCGCAAATGTTTTTAGTATGGCATACCTATTAACGTGATGACACGAAAAATGTAATTATTGCACAAGAAACTGAGCATAAAGCTGTTCTATCAATCACTGCATAGTATAAAACAAAGTCGTCCCGCTGTCTGTCTGTCCCTATATATGCTTAGATTTTAAAACTACGCAACGAATCTTGATGCGGTTTTTTGTACTAGATAGTGATTGAAGAGGAAGGTTTATATGTATAATACATTGCACGCATGCGAAGCCGGGGCGGGTCGCTAGTCTAATATATAAAATTCTTGTGTCACAGTTTTAGCGTTTATACTCCTAAATAGGTTAATAACTAATTTTATACCCCTAATTGTTAAGGGTGGCTCACCCTTTATTTTTTATTTTTCGCAAAAATTATGTTAAAACAACGTTTGCCGGATCAGCTAGGATTATATATTATTATAATTATGACTACGGTCTTCAAAAAAGGAGAAGGTTCTCAACTCCGTTATTTATTAAACGAATTTTAAAATTTCTTTTTGCATTATATTTGGCTTAGCTCCCATAGGGTCCGTTATAATTTCATTGTTATTGTACATTGGACTGCGGAGGTACATTAGGAAAATCCTCAAAATCAAATAGAAAATGTATATTGAAGTGAATATGTATTTAATTAAAGTCGGCTTTGTTAATCATCTCTATTAACGAATTTATAATTTCTTTTTGCATTAAATTTGGTTTAGCTCCCACAGGGTCCGTTATAATTTCATTGTTATTGTACCTTGGACTGCGGAGGTACATTAGGAAAATCCTCAAAATCAAATAGAAAATGTATATTAAGTGAATATGTATTTAAAGTCGGCTTTGTTAATAAAGATGTATTCGTTTTAACTGACTGGTAAAGTCAGCATGGCATTTGGCGTTTCAAGAATATGTTCTTGAAATGAAAAAACTTAAAAAAGTATATACCAATTTTATACACCAGATTTTGCTATCCTGTCTACCCCTTATAGATTCAAAGACGAGAAATTATAATTTTGGTTTCTTTGGTTTTAAATCAATATGTATATTACAATGTATCTAGTGCTATTAAGATTTGAGATCAGACTAAAAATATTTCGATCAGGTACCAACAAAAAAGTTGTTTAATTATTAGCCAGTTTGAGAAATTCAACATTGAAATCATAGCTTTTAGCAAAAGTATACACGGTTTATTTTAGCGTGCTATTTGATTATCTCAAAAACAGCAAATACTCGTACCTACTAGATAGTCTAGTAGGTACGAGTATTTGCTGCTTTGCTTAATCCCATCGCCTCTAACAAAGGTAAATGTTGAAGTGTTCTGTTTTATGATTACCTGTTCCAATTTCATACAGAGATAACGTTGACTCGCTATGATAAAAACATTGCAGAAAAAGTTCATCTTGATCAAATGCTGTTTTCATATAACAATATTATCTTCTCAAACTAAAAAGTATAATTAATTTATAGTCATATTTTTAACTCAATCAAATCCAAAATACCGATATGGATGATTACCTATTTAAAATTCATTCGTGTTTCAAGAGCTTACGCGTTTGGCAGCTAGACTTTGGTAATGGCGATTTAGTTTTGTTTCTTACTTGGAACACATTGATAATACATGCGATTACGTCATAGTGTGCCTAAATAATAATAAACAGTTGGGTTATAACAGGATTGTTGGTAATAGCTCGAAGTAAAATCTGCTTAATGCACTACTATCGACATAGCGTTTATTTGAACGATTCGCCGGGATTTCGGCCAAGGTTCCGCACGGAGCGTTTCTGTTTTCAAATTCCTTTCCCTTTATCACTAACGTCATCTCTATGAGCTTATTTTAGATATTTGACTAATTATGTGGAGCTTTATTCTAATACCGTATTCACTAGATACTCCTTCTATTGATTCAAAGGTTTTTATGTTGTATATACTTCCATCAGTCTTATAGTGGACTAGCTGCTGCCTGCAACTACGTCTGCGTAGAATAGGTTAAAGATGTAACATTAAGACGGAAAGACAGATAAACATAAAATATATATATAAATTATAGCCTATGTTTTATTCTGATGTATAAGCTATATTATTGTAAAGTTTCATTAAAATCCATTCAGTAGTATTTGCGTGAAAGAGTAACTAACATCCATCCATCCATACAAACTTTCGCCTTTATAATATTAGTAAGGATAAATGCTCCATATGGTTTTACCCACTATAAGACTCACGCCGCAAATCTTATAAGCCCATAAACATTGATTTAAGTAGAGTAAAACCTGTATGCCTCTACTCCGTCTAAATATATCAACTGTTTTGGGATTTAAAAACAATTGGATGCATTGTTAGCAAATCGCTTTAAGCCAAGCACTTGTATTTTATTTTACTAATTTAATATTTAAATGTTGTGTTTTGAATTTCTTTCCGGATCTTGTCTGGAATCGTTTAAATGAAAATGGTAGACTTTGAGATTCATTCTGTGATTTCCAAGCATAACCGTTACAAGCCGATATTACTATTGGGATTTTCATATACATAAAAAACAAATGATCCAATCAATGAAATCACTTGTTACTTTTACTCTTATATGACCTAGTATTAACTTTTTACATTCAACGTGATAGCTCAGTGTCCGGGCGCTCGCCTTAAACTCAATATAGATACTCGAGCAACCTGAGTTCGATCCCCGGTGCCGGCACCAATGAAATTGTTAGTTTTAAGTGCTGACTTATCACGTGCTCAGCGGTGAAAGAAGATATAATAATAATAAAACTAATAATAAAATATCTTTATTCAAATAGACGCTTGCGCGTTCTTATGAAACGTCGAAATTTTACAAGGAAATTAATATGTTCGTAAGTTACCACCGGTTCGGAAAGCAATTTCTGTTGAGAAGAAACCGGCAAGAAACTCAACAGTTGCTCTTTTTTAAAAGGTCAGTTTACAATATAATGTTACAGGTATAATAGCAGATATTCAGCAATAGCTTTAGCCATAAGTTTACTTTTAACTTTTCGTTTAAATTCATCAATTTAATAATGGCAGAATTAGTATCGACTGTGGGATTTTATTATACATGCGCACACTTTGCCCCATGAACGATCTGTTTACTTTTTGTAGGCGAAATAATGGCGTAGTTAGTTTATCCTTATTTCTAGTATTTAGTTTATGTCTGTCACTATTCTTTTGATAATTATTAATATTCTGTTTAACATACAAAATATTACAATAAATATATTGAGACGCAACAGTGAGTATATTAATCTCTTTAAAAAGGTCTCTGAGTGTATTCCGGGCTCCAATGTTATAGATTGCTCGAACAGCTCTTTTTTGAAGAATAAATATAGAATTTATGTCTGATGCACTACCCCACAACAAAATGCCGTACGACAAGATGCTGTGAAAATAACTAAAGTAAACAAGTCTGGCAGTGTCGATGTCTGATAGCTGCCTAACCTTCCTAATTGCAAAAACAGCGGAGCTTAACCTGTTCGCAAGAGATGATAGATGGGGACTCCATTGGAGCTTTGAATCCACTGTAATTCCCAAGAATACAGCGGACTTAACAGGATTAAGGGTTACGCTATTTAATGTTAAGCTAAAACTTTGCCTTCTTACGCTGGGAAGGGTAAAAAGAAGGCATTTAGTTTTTTTTTTAGCATTTAACACCATATTATTAACGGTAAACCAGTGGAGGATACGCGAAAGTGCACTATTCACGTCGTCATAATTCGACACGTTTCGGTCAACCTTAAAAATGAGCGATATGTCGTCAGCAAACAGTACAACGTCACATAACTCACTGGCATAAAAGGGGAGAGTCATATACACTAAGAATAATAATGGACCCAAGATTGATCCTTGTGGGACACCCATTTTCATGGGGGGACCCTGCGGAATTTACATCATTTATTTGAGATTAAGGGAGAGATTAAGGCAATGAGATTAAGGGCGATGTCACGAATGCCATAATAATCTAGCTTTTGAAGGAGGGTTTCGTGGTCTACACAGTCGAAAGCCTTTGAAAGGTCGCAGAAGACACCTATTGCATCTTGTG